ACCACCGGATCGGAAACGCGACCCACTGCGAAGATCCGGCGAGAAACTCAGTGGGCTGTATCTATGAAATTTTAATCAATATCGAAATTGAGCAATAACAAAATAATTATGAATATTTAAAAAAAAAATTATAAACATCCTACGTTCACAGCCATATTATTCCCACAGGACTTAATTAGGTGCCAAAACTAGATCGGACACGCGTTAACATCTACAATTAACTGGCAATTAACCTATTTGGTGGGTCGACAAGCGTCAATACGATCAACATAATATAACTATGAGCATCGGTCGGCAATAAAGAAATCAATCAACGGATTAGGTATTTCAAATCAATAAAAATCAGAAAAGGCCATAATATTGCTTGGATTAGCAACGACGTAGAGTTGCTGGATGTGACTTGTGAATTTTGAATTTTGATTATATGTATTTGAATTTAAATAATTTATTGTATTATATTATTTATTTGAATTATTTATTTATTTATATTATATTATTTATTTGATTTTGTTTGAATTTAAACGGTATTATGTATGCAACATCTTGTTCCGTTATTAGCGGCGATAGACTAATTGTTGCTGTTTGCGATAGACTGATAGACCAATGCGTTATTATGTAATGATACTCAAAAAGACCTACCTCAAAATATGAGGTCGAAGTTCATCGTTCGGCCCTGGCGTCATCTTCAAAAGAGGTTTGAGTGTCGGCAGCGGCTTCTCTGTGCTCGTGTAATCACGAGTATGTAAGAATGTTTTAGGAACTCCAAATTATGACACGTAGAGCATACCATATATTTAAAAAAAAAACCATAAAGCATAATAAAACAGATTAAGACTTTAACTAGACGACGGACACGCGTTTGTGTGGATCTTGCTGAAAAGAAAATCATTGGTAACGGAATACGCTATTGGCAAGAGGATTAACCATAGTTTGTACGAAGGCTTAATTTTTTTTTAAATCATATCTTGGCTTCTAAGATTTTTCTCATGAAGCAGATTTCTTATGATGCTTTCTAGAAAGTAGATTTATATTAAGTTTTTTTAGTAAATTTCCGGATATTTTTACCGTCAAACACGTCTCAAGGTAGGTGACGTCATTTACCTCGTTGATGTCTATGGTCTCCGATAATCACCTAAAATCAGGTGGGCTATGAGCTTGTTCAAACGACAAAAAAAAACAAGTCTAAAAGTGAATTAAGTAACTATATATTTAAAAAAAAAAAAATTTTTATTTTATCTAGTAAAATTTTACATCATTGTTAGTCGGTTTTTCAGTTCTCATGGGAGTATCATATGCGAGGCGGCTCGTGTGTTACCTGTGGAGGCGGCGGTGTTGGGGGAGACCGGTGCTTTTGATTCCGACACAGGTGTGATGCGCGCGATGCCGCATAGCGTTTTGATAATAACGAAAACTTTATCAGCGATTAATTTTTAAACAAAAACAATAATTAACGTTATTTTTTGATTTGTTGTAATTTTACTAACAAACGACACGTGTTTTGAATTCGGTGTTAACGTTTTTAATGTTGAGTCGCGTACCAGAGGCAATTCATAATGAACTCAGATATATAATAACTTTAAATAAAACAGTAATATTTTAATTAACATACTTGTTCAAATTCAAATTCAAAATTATTTATTTCAACTTAGATGTCAGTTTAAAACACTTGTTGAACGTCAAAATATAAATAACAATGTTAACTCTACCACCGGTTCCAAAAAAAGCCACAGTCCTGAGAAGAACCGGCGAAACAAACTCAGTTATTTAATTACATCGAAAACATCACTGTTTTATCATCAAAGTGAATTTACATTATTCTGGTTGATAGCACTTTGTGTGAAGGTGGCCGTGACATTGAAGTTTTTAACAATAAAATAATAGAATTTTTACGCGATTCTGTCTTAATAATCGTTAATTCGAGTAATAAATGTACGAGAATTGTTATGGTCACACGGCACGAAAGTCGAATTCGGATATGTATCGTTCCCGTTAATCTAATGGGATACCTTAATGTGTGGCCGACACGATTGGATTTTGTAACAATTATCTTTGGTGATAAAACCTATAAATCGACAAAGTTCTCTCTGTGAATGAAGCACATGATATACTTCGATTTTATATCAAATACCATACCGCATAATTCGTTGCGTAAAGGAATTTTTTTAATTGAATAAAAATTAAACAACAACAAACATAAAAAAAAACATTGATACAGCATAACATATTTTTTTTAAATGTATCTCTTTCACTTATCACTAATAGTTTCAAGTGCGAAAACATTTCAACAATAAGACATCGTTGATGTAAAAGTGACATTTCTAAATAAAATTCTCTTTGTATTGTCGATTTCGTTGTTCATTTTGGTCCTATCATAATTTTCGCTATGCCCCCCTCGAGCTCTGAATAGAAAGTGACGTCAGTATGCAACAAACACGAAGTGAGACCACCAGTTGCGCGATGTAATTGACAAAATATTTTGTAAATTGTCTTGTTTGTTGACAAGTAATCTCACTCGAAAAAGGATTAGTGTCGCTTTTATACGCCCTTTGTTTCTTTAAAGCAAAAAGTTGTTTTGTGTGGGATTTCAGTGAGAGTTAAGATCCTTAAGATGTTTTAATCTCGTTATTCCTTTTGAAGGCTCTGCAAAATGTCGTTTGGTTTTACAATGAACTCGACAGTATTTACCTTTGTAAATTGATGATAAATTTTATTTTTACCTTTTCTGATAATTCAATTAAAACATAAGCAGCGTTATGTTTCCGTTAATCAACAGTAGCAAACTTGAGAAAAAATTATCTAGTCTATCGAGCGCCCTACGAATTTTTTGATCATAGACAAACAAACTTAGGCCTTTTTGTGTAGACAAATAGATAAAAAATCCAGTGTTCAATGAATGCAAACTCATGTATGGAATAATTAATATACAGTCATACGTTAAGTGTTGGAGTTAAACGACTCCGATAACAAATATATGAATATTAAATAGCACAACATTTTAAATGAATAAGGTACTTAAATATATCGAGGTGTTTTATTGTTATCTTATGGAGGCAAGCTGCAGTGACGGTCATGACGTACACAATCAAATCACTTTCAAACATCTTTGTGAACCTATGGAATGTAATAACATTAGTTCCAACTAACAGCATTTGTCTCATTCAAATTGGACAAATACTAAAGGAAAAGACGCTCTTATTTAGTGTAAGACCAAACCGTGAAATATACTTCCTAAAATTTTATCTATTTAGGAAAAATCAGCATAGTTTATTTCAAGCTTTAGGTTATAGTGTGTTAGTATATGTTTGGTAAATCGCAGGGCTGGTAGGCGAGGTAACATTAACTTTCAATCTGTGTTAGGTAGCGCAAGTAGCCGTATGATGATGCCTTTAGGGCATTGATCGTTTTTTGCGGGTGCACCCTAATCAGCCACCTTGAGACCCAACAAATGTGTGGGCAATCCGGTAATTTATTTTTTTAGCCAATAAATTACTCATACGTCAAAACTCTGGACGTGGCTGGTCGTGCCGCGGATACAAAGTGATATATTGGCTCATGTCACAGCACAGAACCTTTTCCTAACGTTTTTAATATAGCTCTCGATTAATAAATAGCCCATTTCACAATGGAACGCTTTACTAATGAGGGAGACCCGTTTTTTTTTTTCATTTAATCTTCGTGTTGTTGTTTCGACTTGAATCTCTTGTATCATTTAGGCATTCAAAGTTTATAAGCAAGCAGGGTATAATGTCTAGCGTTTCTGATGAAATATTACATTCTTGGCATAATAAAGCCTCAGATAAAGTGCAAATTATATTTATGTTATATTATTATCTTAGTTTCTTTCCTAATAGTAGCGTTATGTAGTGTCTGTATAAATTTAGTAGATGTTTCGTTGTACGATGAAGTTGATAAGTTTATTCTCACATTTTTATTCTTTATTTTCCGAATCATTTATAATTTTCGTGGTTACGGACGAATGATGTTTGATGTGTTAATCATTGAAATTTGTATTTTGCGCTAGTGTTCAGTTTAATTTTCTAAACAAATATTTTTTTACGATATTCAAGTTTCTCTCTTTCTTTCTTCAAAAATGTCATGATGGCATCACGATGTATGGCAGTTTATTTTATTGGAGTCTAATTTTTTCAATAACAGGATTCTATGTTACAAATACCAACCAGCATTTCTATTAAACTTAAGTAATTTGTTTCTATCCAAATACTCGCGATATTTGGATTGTTCAAACGTTGTAAGATGATTGCACCCCTGTGCTACACTTTAAAGGTGTCGCGTTCGACTGTAGTAAAATCAAAATCACAACAGAACTACCGATTGATTCCCGAAACATTATAGATATATTATAAAAGCTACTATCATCATTCATCATTATCCTGCCCTTCTCCCAGTCACCTGGGGTCGGCGCAACATGTTTTCTCCTTCCATACTCTTCTATCATATACCATTTCTTCGCTCACTCCCTTCTTACCCATATCGTCTTTCACGCAATCCATCCATTTCTTCTCAGGTCTACCTCTTCCTCTATGTCCTTCCACATTCCTATATAAGCATTATAATGTTTTCTCTGACCTGACGTATGTACTAGATATAGTATAATTTAATTTGGATTTGTTTATGTACAAGATAAAGTAGCTTCAGATAAGTTTGACCTGTAGTGATAAGTGCTTTTTTGAGACCACAAAATTTTACTGGTGGTAGGACCTCTTGTGAGTCCGCGCGGGTAGGTACCACCACCCTGCCTATTTCTGCCGTGAAGCAGTAATGCGTTTCGGTTTGAAGGGTGGGGCAGCCGTTGTAACTATAATGAGATCTTAGAACTTATATCTCAAGGTGGGTGGCGCATTTACGTTGTAGATGTCCATGGGCTCCAGTAACCACTTTACACCAGGCAGGCTGTGAGCTCGTCCACCGACCTAAGCAATAAAAAAAAAAAAAAAAACTTATAAATACGTGAAAGCGAGTGTTCTTGGCATCTCACAAAAATGGCTCGTCTTTGGTTAGCCGTTTTCCCGCTCCTGGTTTTCGGAAGCTTCGCCGATCCCACGGGAAAAGTTGCTAAAGAGCGAATCGGTAAGTAGTCTTATCCATCGACTTATTTTGTCTGCTCTTAGTATTTGTATGTCGTGGTTTACATTTATTTATTTAAAAGTACGTCTCTATGTGAAATTCATTAATGCTTACTTTACTGATTTACATGCTCAATTTGTGACATCTACAACGTAAATGCGCCACCCACCTAGAGATATAAGTTCTAAAATCTCAGTATAGTTACAACGACTGCCCTACCCTTCAGACCAAAACGCATTACTGCTTCATGGCAGAAATAGGCAGGTCGGTGGTACCTACCCGCGCGGACTCACAAGACCAGTAAAAATGAATTTGTAACTGAATATAAATTTCATGGCACCTACCACTATTTACTCTGCACTACCTTTGGTTGACTGGTAGAGAATGCCTTAGGCATTAAGTTCGCCAATGTAAATTTTACATGAAGCGTAATAAATAAATAAATAAAAGTAATTATCCTAAAATTTCGTTCGCACCTTATTTAACTATCACATGAAAAGTTAATAGTCTTAAAGAGTCGTGTTCTGAAAGTGTTATTGACGACAGTCAACGATGTGAATAAAAAAAGAAGCAGAAATAAACTGTACGATAATTAATTGAAATTCATTAATAATTACAGCTCCAAACGACTTTGCTAAGAAGCAAGTAGAGATTATGCAGCTATTTTTCCACATTCGTGAACCAGTACAAATTAATGAGTCTAAGAGTGCTCTTAAAACTTGGAATATCGAAGACAACATCGAACAGTTTATGGTAAAGTATCTATTATTATCTATACCTATTATTATATTGTAGTATACTTATACATATTATATATATTCACCTGGGACACACTGTCCAGCTAGGTAGATCCAACTTCGAAAAAGAGGTCAATCGTCGAATCTAGCTTGAATGAGCAGCGTTCGGAAAGCTACGTAAAATCTTCTCATCACAAATACCACAGTGTTTCAAGACAAAAGTCTTTGACCAGTGTGTGTTGCCAGTGATGACATATGGCACTGAGACGTGGTCGCTCACAATGGGCCTTATGAGAAGGCTCAAGGTCACCCAAAGAGCAATGGAGAGGGCTATGCTCGGATTTTCCCTGCGAGATCAAATCAGAAATGAGGAGATTCGTAGGAAAACCATGTTAACCGACATAGCCTAAAGGATTGCGATATTGAAGTGGCAGTGTGCAGGATACATTGTTTGTAGAACGGATGGCCGTTGGGGCCAGAAAGTTCTTGAGTGGCGACCGCGTGCCGGAAGACGTAACGTGGGTAAGCCTCCCACAAGATGGACCGACGATCTATTGAGGTTCGCCCGACGATCTATTGAGGTTCGCGGGGATCCGCTGGATGAAGGCAGCGCATGACTGGTCTTTGTGGCGCGGCTTGGGGGAGGCCTATATCCAGCAGTGGACGTCTGTGGGCTGATAAGTGAAGTAAGTAAGTAAAAAGTATATTTATTGGTATATATTATGGTATAGTTTCTATTATTTACTATACTTACTATCTATATTTATTTCTCTGTATTAAGCTCTAACAGTATGGAATTGAAATGTACTTATTATTATTTATAGTAGAAATTTAATTTTACTATATTGAATAAAGCTTTAGATATATTGTGTTACAGGATCGAAGTGCGGGTAACGAGTGGTCAAATTTACTAAAAAACAACGGGTTAATCTCTCGTCATCTACCATTTACAGTCCATGAAGAGAAACACAAACACGAAGCCATCATTTTGTTTAGGATACTTTACTCTGCCAAAGACTACGACACATTCTACAAAACAGCCCTTTACGTGAGAGATCGTGTTAATGAAGATCTCTTCCTCTATGTGCTATCCACGACTGTTGTTCACCGTCGAGATTTAGCTGGATTCATTATTCCTCCTATTTACGAGATGTCGCCTGAGTACTTTAATAATGGACAAGTGATGACCTTAGCACAGCAAATTAATATCTTGGGAGATAGTATACTTGATGACTGTAAAGCTGTTTTTAAATTTGACAATAGTATAGTTATAAGGGAAAATGATACTCTTTGGTCTTATTACATGTATGCTCAGCCTTTACATTACTACAATCATGACGAGGGCTTGAATTTATTCTATTATTACTATAATTAGCTGTATCCCTCGTGGCTCGGTGGAGACCTAGCTTCCCTTGAAAAAGATAATCGTGGTGAATGGCTGTGGTTCTTGCACAAGCAGATGATGACTCGTTATTATCTCGAGAGATTGTCTAATGGCCTTTCTGAAATAGAAGACCTTGATCATCACATAGTGAAGGAGGGATATAAGTCTAGCATGATATACAACAACGGTATACCCTTCCCAAGCCGTCCAGATAGCTTCCATCTGGACCAGTCCGATTTTGCAGATGAACTTCATAAGATCGTGGATTATGAGAGACGTGTACGTGATGCCATAGAAAATGGTTTCATTTTTAACGTGAGTTTAATAAATTTTTTTCTTTTCAATTCGATATCATTTTAACTTTTTTTGTTATTATTGGGCAGTCGATCTCACGGCCCTTGATATTAATGGATTTCCTTGGCCAATAAAGGTAAATTCCCCATCCACCGTGAGACAGGGGGCTGAATTTTCAATAGTATTGCACAACAGCTGTCCCACCCTTCAAACTGGAACGCTTTCTTATTTCGTGGTAGAAAGAGGAGGATGGTAACAGTCTATGCGGGCTTCCTGTACACCACCAATAAATTCCCGTTAATGATCGCAGTACGTTGGTACAACCATCTGAAAACGCTGCTGCCCATAACTCAGTGAACTTCTTACTCGTTTTTACGAAAACCAAGGGAACAGATAGCGTGGTGCTCTTCTCTACCGCCACCACATAGCCTGTTCTGTATTTGAAAATTATTGACAGGATTCTGGTGAAAAAATTAATTTAAGGATTCCCGAGGCTGTCGATATAATCGGACGTATCATTGAGGCTGGTGTTGATTCTCCAAATGGTCGCTATTACAAAGGCTTTATCACACTATGGAAGTCCATTCTTGGAAATTCATTGGCGCATAAAAACAATTATAGTGAAAGGTAATTATTACGAAAATATGCATTTAAGTTCTAGAATTTGTATTCGAATTAATTTTAAATTAATCTTTTTTCTTAGCTATGTCTATCTTGTCATCCCTTCAGTCCTAGAGCATGGTCAAACAGCACTCCGCGATCCTGCATTTTATATGATCTGGAAACGGGTCCTTAATTTGTTTAAGCTTTGGCATGAACAACTTCCTCCTTACACACGTGAAGAATTAGCCTTATCTTCAGTGGTAATCGAAAATGTCGAAGTTGACAAATTTGTCACATATTTCGAAAATACCTACACGAATATTAATGCAGGTATTTACAGATGAAATAATTGCAAAAGTGAGTAGACACTTATTAAGTTAATTTATATATATAAAAATGAATTGCTGTTCGTTAGTCTCGCTAAAACTCAAGAACGGCTGGACCGATTTGGCTAATTTTGATCTTGAATTATTTGTGGAAGTGTGTGGATATGTGTGGAAATGAATGAAAATGTTCGGAATTAAATAAAAATAACACTTTTGTTTTTCCTTTGATGTCGGACCAATTCCTTTTGTTTGTTTATAGTTTATTTTATACAAAAGTTTAGGTCTCTTATATATCGATTGAGGCACTACGAAGTCTACGGGGTCAGCAGTAATGAATGAATTGAATCACTACGAAGTCTACCCTGCCTATTTCTGCCGTGAAGCAGTAATGCGTTTCGGTTTGAAGGGTGGGGCAGCCGTTGTAACTATACTTGAGACCTTAGAGGTTATATCTCAAGGTGGGTGGCGCATTTACGTTGTGGATGTCTATGGGCTCCAGTAACCACTTAACCATCAGGTGGGCTGTGAGCTCGTCCACACATCTAAGCAATAAAAAAAAAAGCTAGTATGGAATAAAATACATATTTGTGTTGTCTGTTGGATAAGTTATTTGTTTACTGTATACATTATATTTTTATAGCAAGCATTGTCCCGGATGAAGTGAACGTTCTTGTTCAGCATCCAAGGTTGAATCACAAGAAGTTTAATGTGCGAGTCCGTGTGTAGAGATTCACTTGCCCAAAACGTTACAGTCAGATTCTTTTTGGGCCCAAAATATGATAGCAGAAAATTTAAAATATCACTCCACGAAAACGTTGAAAACTTTTTTTGTTGGACGAATTTATCTACGACCGTACGTATTTTTGGTGTCATGTCAAAAAAAAACCAGATTTTTTCTTAGATGTACTTATGTATATTTTTAAAATGTGTTACGAATTGTTAACAAAAGGATCATAAGATTATTACGAGGTTGTTATTTGGCTAAGAGACCTCAAAGATATCACGAGGTAGAATTATAGATGTGGTGGCTGTGAACCCCGGTAACCGCTTCCCAGATGGGCACTTCAGTAGAAAGAAAAAACGAGGTGGTAATCCCTATTATATTGCATTTTAACTGTACCACCCTTCCAATTGAGAGAAAGAGGAGTGGTAATACAACTCGTACACTCATACACAATATCTCATGCCATTAGTAATTACGTAAACTTGTTAACGTTAGCGGTTTTTTTTTATAAACACATGTTTATATTTATTGCTTTTGTCCTGACCCTGGAACCGGAACGCATTACTGTTTCGCGGCAAAAATAGGCGGAATGGAGATATACCCGTGCCGGCTAATTCCCTAAGAGAAGTAGTACTTTAGCTGCGGGATTCGAACTCCTATTGCTCGAGACGAGTGCATCGGCTGTCTTATCCTTTAGGCGACGATGACTTGAAGTCTTACCGTGGCTATTCCTAGACACACCACACCTTAACTACATCCTTGTGAAACTGGAAAGGCCTCAGGGCCCCCAGTAAGCTCTCAATCATAAAAAAAACCTTAACTACGAAGGCTCTAATTTCAATTAATGAATCAATTATTTTCGTTTCCATTTCAGTACCTGAAGGCGAAAACGTGATCGTTCGTGAGTCGACTGATAGTCCTCATTACACCTATAATTTGAGGGCAGCAAGCGATGTTTACAGAGAAGCTGTTGCGGCTTTACACGGGAGAGGAGATTACCATTTTGATCCTACGCAAATTATCAAATTTCCACATAATCTTGTGCTACCTAAAGGTAATGCACGTATGGTATCAAATAATTTCATTAATGCGCGAGTAACTAAACTGAAGTAAGATGTGACTGAGAATATGGAAAAACGGTTCCTTTAGAGACGCAATGCTAAGTCCCTTCGACCGCTTCCATTTCTTATAAATGGTAAATAGAATGTAATCCGGTAACTTGACATACTGGTTGCTCGATACTTGTCTTGACTCGATTTGACTTTGTTTAATGCCCAAATTAACTGAGTGGCTACAAGCAGTAATAATGTAATTTGTATGCGTTCTACGATACGAACACCCGCAAATCGCTGCGTTCATGAAAAAATTTCACGAACGAACCGATAAGTAAACGAATAAGAGGCTCAATGACATCATTTACTGGTGATAGGGCATCTTGTGAGCCCGCACAGCTATGTACCACCACCCGGCTTATTTTTGCCGCGTAGCAGTAATGCGTTTCGGTTTGAAGGGTGGGACAGCCGTTGTACTGTAAAACTGTGATTTAGAACTCATGTGTCAAGGTAGGTTGGTGGCATAACATTCTTAATGTGTATCGGTTTCGGTGACATCTTAACACCAGGACTGTGAGCTCGTCTACCAGTATAGGTAATAAAAAATAAAATCACAACGTGAAACTTTTATTTTTAGATTATGATTAGTTTTAAACTATAAATTTGTTAATAGGTCACTTAGCCGGTATGCCGTATGTGCTACTGGTTCACGTAACGGAGTACAAGCCACCCAGACTACCATTCGGAAGTACTTTCGATCCTGAGTTGTCCATCGGACCAGGTTCCGGCTCTCGTCGTCTGGCCGGAGACCCACTGGGCTATCCTCTTAATAGGCCACTGTATTCATGGCAGATTGAGAGCCTGCATAATTTTTATTTCCAAGACGTATTGATTTATCACAAGCCAACTCCGGAAATCAATGTTCCTTACTCTTCTGAAGTTTAAGATTTACATTATTGTTAAAACTATTTTAGTCTAGAGTATTATTGTTATTGTTATTAAATAAGAAAGCACCTTTGAAAGCAACTTCAATTTTAAATAAATAAGTAAACATATTTGAATGTGAAATATTCTTAATCGACTATTTTAATCATAAATTTAATAAAGTTATGTGTTTTTTTTACATTATTTTAAGCATGTATAAATGAATGAAAAAATGAAATTTACTTGCTTGAATGGTTGTCTTTTGTCATTTAAATAAGCCTCCTATGTTAGTTTTTACTATTAATTGAGAAATAATTGAACGTAGTAAGTCAGACAATAAAACTCTTTGATATGGATTTTTCGCATTTGCTGTATGCAATTTTGCAAACATGCAGAAACTAACGACTAATTAAAGCCTAGTAAGTATGTATTACTATTTTGCTTTAACGATTGTTTTTTATTGAAACTCCCGTCCTCTTAAGAATCCTATCTATGATATCTATCAATTAAGATTTTTTTAAATAAAATTGGAGGATCAGATTTGGAAACGGAACTAATGATTTTAATTTTCAATTTCTGTTCTGAAATAATAAAAATAATTCACGATACATTTTTTTTTGAGTATTCAATAAATTTTCCTTAAAGCTTATCAGATTAGGATTTTTTTTTTCATTTTTAGAAAGCTTTAAATAAAAATACCGAATTTAGAGACTGCTACTTTATAATATTTCAGTGAGTTGTGGTAAAATTTTGAGAGTACAAAAAAATCGGTAAGTGATAATATTGGAATATGGACACTTTTAATTTTACCGGTCATCGTTCTCGTAGAACCCGTCGCTTGCGACGAAGGGCCCGACGAGTAAATTAACCCTCAGACACAGCCCACTGAGTTTCTCGCCGGATCTTCTCAGTGGGTCGCGTTTCCGATCCGGTGGTAGATTCTGCGAAGCACTGCTCTTGCTAGGGTTCGTGTTAGCAACGTCATCAGGTTTGAGCCCCGTGAGCTCACCTACTAGTTAAGGCGACGCTGATATAGCCTCTCAAGGCTATCAGCTTAGGTAGGATTTTTTTTTTTAAATAAACCTTATTAATTAGATTATCACCAAGTGATTTCAGCAAAAATAGAACAAAAGTGCAGCTTATAACGTTACTATTGAACAGTGTTCGTTGTGTACATAGCTGATTTTCAATGAAATACAACATACTTACCGTGAAATTAGAGGTCAATTCGTGAAAGCGTATTGTTTTATTTCAAAAGAAAACAAGATAAACAGTAATTTCAGAAATACTGTTTTAGCTGTGTAAAAAAAACTCCAAATTTTGTTTTCGGCTGTGCTAATTATGTATGTAATTTTATTTTGTTCTAATTGTAATTAAGGTTTCAAATATTTGATATCGTATCTTCACTAGATAATTCCGTTCTCTTTGAGTAGGTTTCTCTATTACAACAGCATACTGTGAGTGCCGACCAGCAATTATTGCTGTTACTACTGAGGAACCTAATGTATTTTACTTTGCGTGTCCATTAGTAGATAGGTACATACCTACTTAGTTTATATAAAAAATAAACAATATATAGATAAACGGTGTCCAATTGATTTTTCTAAGGAATAATAAATCTTTGGAATCTGTGGGCTCCAATTGTTTTTATTTAAATTACAATGTAACCATTTAATATCAGGTGCAATAATTGTATAATATCATCTAAGAATTTTGAAACACAAAATAGTGTTATTATGTCCGTATAGTAGCGCCACCTATACTCGCGAATCAGTTTATTTTAATTTAGTGCCATCTCTCGGGCCAGTTAAAAAACTTTTTAAGTCAATTTTTAAACGCCACTACAAAATATTTTGTTATTGTTATTATAGCAATCAGTAGATGGCGCCACAGATTTATTTTGACTTTTCAAATCTGGTTATGAATTTAATAATACATATTGGGTATATTGCTTTAGAGAGAGAAAGAAAGTATACTTTATTGCACCATAAAACCGTTTTTATCCAAAATTCGTTCTGAAAAAGATGCTAGGTATGTTGTAGTGAACTATTATTAATAATATTTAGAGTTGTCTATCATTCCGACGACCGGATTTTACGCGCTTTTACAGAGGAGGTTGGCAAAACATCATCAAGAGAAGGATAATGGGAGGAGATGGTCACGACTCTTAGACATGAGGAATGCGACTCAGAGAGGGAGGACGGACTTTATTGAACAGTGGAGAAAAAAATATGTTTATCTATTAAACAATAAAGTATACCTACCTGATATGAAATTATTATATGAATTACATAACAATATCTTACATACACGTAATAAATCAACAGTATGGGAAAGCATGTACAAAGAAACAAAACTAAGCAGATAAGTAATGTTCTTTCTTTCTTTTAAAACAGATTAAAGTCACATTTTTTTTTTTTTTTTATTGCTTAGCTGGCTGGACGAGCTCACAGCCCACCTGGTGTTAAGTGGTTACTTGAGCCCATAGACATCTACAACGTAAATGCGCCACCCACCTTGAGATATAAGTTCTAAAATCTCAGTATAGTTACAACGGCTGCCCCACCCTTCAAACCGAAACGCATTATTGCTTCACGACAGAAATAGGCAGGGTGGTGGTACCTACCCGCGCGGACTCACAAGAGGTCCTACCACCAGTAGTAAATAGATAGATTATAAGCACCGATTCAATTATTTTCTTTATTTTTAACATGGCTACTTCGATCAACAATAGTAACTATGGCTATGATTCTTCTCTCAAGTTGAGCTCTTGAGCTCACCTACCCGTCCGCGCGAAACTGGAATCGCACCCCATCAGCTACCTAGGCGAATAGGCTAAGAAAATAAGATATGATTTTACATATCAGAGTACTAGCTTTTGCCAGCGACTTCGTCGGCGTGGAATAGTTACTTTGGGGTAACACAAAATTTTACCCGCGACTTCATTTACGTAGAAGGTGAAAATATTTTTGAATAATAGAATGTTAAGGAACTATTTAAGGTAGGTACCAAAATCACGCGTTTTAACCGACTTCAAAACCGATTCACCAATTTCTCGAGAATGCTTGAACCGACTCTGATATATACATATATTTTTTGTCTGAATGGGTAGACTTCCCCAATGGTTCTGTAATGATCAGGATTAGGATCTAGTGATGGGATCCTAGAGAAATCGTAAAAACTTGCAATTTTCAAAGCCTATCTTGAAGTGATTTGGGCGTTTAATGTTATTCTACTTATTCTGTGTCGCGCGCACCAGCCGGCCGGCGCGGCGCCTTATTACGCGCTTGGTCATTATTTTGCTGCGATGTTATTTTAAAACTGTGATATCATCTAAGATACTACTCATTGAAATGATTTATAATGATGTAAAGAGCAAATTTCTTTTAAATTAAATACTTGTAACGAATAACGTATTTATTTGGACTAAATGGTCCGCAGTAGTCAAAATTCGACTGTAATTAATTGAAATTGTAAGTTTGTACATTATTTCGCCAAGAATACACTATAGAACAATATTAATAAAGACAAACAATATTTAATCTATTCTCAATTTGACCACAGAGGTCAGGAACAAAAGTTTGACAATAAATAAATAGTATGCATGCGTGTGTGCGTCAAATACATGGTAGTGTGTGTAATGTTTTTTTTATTGATTTAAAGTATATATTATGCATTATTTAAAAAAAAATTAGCATTGTGCACTCCTTCTCTATTCTCTGTAAGTGTGGGAAATTTCATACTCGACCGTCCGCGCAATTTTCGTAAAAAGGGTACAAAGTTTTTACTTCACGTATTAATATATAGATAAGGATTAATATCATCTTTATAAAAACACCTTCACAAATAATTCTTTATTTTAGAATAAATTCGGTTAGCATAAAATAGGTAATAGTGAGATAACCTTAAGATATAGATATATTATATAAACATAAGCAGCATAAGCGGTCGCGGACTTTTTTAGAACTTTTAAAGGGGAGCAATTCTGTAATACATTATTTTAGCGAAACTTTAACCGTTTCCGTAGCGCACGCAGCGGAAGCTCACAAAAGGAAAAAAAACGAATTTGAAACATTCTTTATTAGCGCTCCGCTCGTATTGGTCTTAGCGTGATATTATATAGAAATGAAAATTAATCGATGGTCTTTTTTTACCACAGAAGAAAATCGTCGGATGTGGGAGTCGAACCTCATTAAAAACTCCTGCCGCTCATAGCCGGCGCCCTGCCCCGGACCGGCCGGGAACCCAGTCGGAGCTATTGAGATGGCGGGACAGGGTTTACGCAGAGCATATTACATCCATTTCGCCGTCCCCCAGATGCCGGACCGGCGGCCGCCAGCGACACGACCGCCGCGGCGCCGGTTCCCTCGGTCGACGGGCCAAGAGCCCGCCTTGATGGCGCCACGCTACACCTTCCCCCGGAGCGGTTGGGGGAACGCAGCCTACCACGCCGCCCCACGCCCAGGTCCCTCCCCGCACAAAGCGGGTGAAGCCCGAAGCTCTTAGGGGGCCGGGTTACGGACGGGACCCCGGTCCCCACCCCCTGCTTGGCGGCGGCGGATTTCTGCGTAGTGAGGAGAGCTTTGCCTCACCCGCCCCGCCGCCTCCTTCTGCGAGATAGTGCACTCGCAGAAGTCGAGCCTTCTAAGAAATCGATGGTGTGGTATAATTTATACGGTAGGCTGTTTAATGATTAAAATATATATCCGTGGCTTCTTGTAGTGGATCTTGTACTATGACTAAACGATCTAAAATTGATAATTGTTTCACGCTTAAGGGAAACCTGATGAAACATCAGGTCAAAGGAAATTGTTACACTTAACTATCCGGTTTGTATGGTGAAAATTAAAACAATTTTAAAAGACTACAAGGCAAGCACGTGTATATTTTATTAAATTCAAGACACATGAGTTTGTCTTTTTTTCCTACCTATGCTGATAGCATTGAGAAGCTATTTCAGGTTCTCCTTGACGTGTAGGTGAGCTCACGGGGCTCAAACCGGGAGTGTTGCTAATACTGGCCCCAGTAAAAGTAGTGCTTCGCAGAATCAACCACCGGATCGGAAACGCGACCCACTGAGAAGATCCCGCGAGAAACTCAGTGAGCTTTGTCTGTGAGTTAATTTCCTCGCTGAGCCCTTCGTTGCAAGCGACGGGTTCGACGAGAACGATGGCCGGTGTCTAATTAGGACGCCCACTCCTCACATCACTACAATAATAAGACTTAATTTGAAAGTGTTAATGTCATAAAAGTATTCCGTCTAAATTTCAACTGCTTATTTCAGAAAACGTGACTCAATGTCACCTTGAAATGTAATTGACTCAATGTCACCTTGAAATGTAATGGCATTGAAAGAGAACGCGTCTCCAAATCAAAAGCTATCTGTAGGTTAAAAAAAGAGTACTTGCATCCGTTTAAAAGGTTATCTTTATATTAGGTATGCATCTTACATAATAATTTTTTCGCTATCTCAATTCGGTGTTATCGCCATATTAACAATGTAATTGATAAGGTTCGCGTATACAATAATATTTACTATTTATCTTTACTGATTGACAAAGTTGCAATATTTTTTATTCCATTTAAATTTAAAACATTCATTTAAATTTTGAAACAAACTTGATTATTTAAACCAAAATCAACATTGAGGAAATAGAAGATTATGTTTTTTCGTCCTACTATAATTCGCCGTTTTAACTATTTACAGTTTATGAATAATAAAAAACGAAGGAAACTTAATCAATTGGTATGAAATGAAATGAAACGAGATAAGATGATATGGGATGAAATATAATCTCAGTGAAATTGTGGTCATTTACTGAGACTTTTTCAGTGGACTTTTTGGAGGATTCAGAGAAGTTACGTTCAACGGCTTTGTCTCATTTTCCCACATTTGTGCACTTTTACAGATATTAAACAGTTAACAAACCACCGTTATTACACATTTAAACCTGAAGAAACACTAAATAGACAAAATAAAACAATTCACACTACTTCACTCTTTGCTTTCCCGCCAAAAAATATCATCTTAAGCCTTCGATCAACACTTACCTACACCCGTATCTTTAGTCGTTCACACGAGCTTAACTCGACTCGACTCAACCTCCAACGCGCGTTTTTGGTATGCTTATGCCCGTATCTTTAGACGTTTCGTAAAATAGTCCTCCACTTTTAACTCATCCGATGATGCTCGAGAATTCCCTCCAAACTTACTCGAGTTTGGTATTTTTAGTCGACCATTACAATATTCCTCAACTGTCCTCGAGCGAAGTAATAATGATGAAAATTTGATAAAGCTAGCATCAAACCCATAGAGTTCTGTAGTCTATGGTCATTGTTTAATGTCAAAGTCAAGCTGCCGCTGTCTGTTTGACACTAGATGAACTTGTTTGATGTTGTGGTTGCTGAGTTATTCGTAAATATGTGTGCGTGCGGTAAATCTGAAAGTGTATTATTTATTTTCTAACCTATTATTATTTTAGATTTCGGATCCGGCTTTGTATTTTTATTCGCCGCTTTTGTGTGATTTTGGTTGCATCGTGTTGTTGAAGTGCTTTTCCACAACCACCAGTTTATTATTATATAAATAAAACTTATAATCGCATTGACTTTATTTATCAGGTAGTAAGCAAAATATGTCTCTTATGTAGGTAAATAAAATAAAGAGTTTCAAATGTCTAACCTCGAACTATTTACTTTATTAATAAATATTATCAAACTTAAATTATCAAAATATGCGGGAATCATGCACAGATCCAGGCCATTGCACAACAATATCATATATTTCCATTTGCGGTCCACATACTATTTGGACATTGATAGAAAACCAGCCTTGAGGAACGTTCAAGGTACGTCGCGACGTACCTTGACTTGACAGTTCGCTGACTTCACTCCGGTTAGGAAAATTTTCCAAGGACGTTTGAGTGGAGTATATTTTTACGACTAATCATACCAAAACGCGCGTTGGAGGTTGAGTCGAGTCGAGTTAAGCTCGTGTAAACGACTAAAGATACGGGTGTTAGTCAACAACACGATGCAATCAAAATCACACAAAAGCGGCGCATAAAAATACAAAGCCGGATCCGAAATCTAAAGTAATAATAGGTTAGAAAATAAATAATACACTTTCAGATTTACCGCACGCACACATATTTACGAATAACTCAGCAACCAAAACATCAAACAAGTTCAATGCTTAACTTTGTGTTCCCGTGACGTTTGTTCTGTAGGCTGTGCTTCGACTGTCATGAAATAATTTAGTGAAAACAACTACGAACACTCCAGTACGATAGAGTTGATGAAGTTTAATCATTGTGCATGTCTTGTTTGCCTGTTAGTCGGCTAATTAAAAAAAGCTTACTTATATTTTATAACTAATGAGACAGAAAGTTTGAGAGGGTTATGACCTAATGATAAGGCGGTATTACGAAATGTTTGGTTGCCAACACATGCATTTTGCAGATAAGGCTATAACTAGTATAAATAATGAAGAATAGACTTTCGGGGTACAGTTCGCTTCTACGGCTCAGACCATGAAGACTGTCTTGATTTTAGCGGGGCTTATTGCCCTCGCTCTCAGTAGCACCGTACCTGAATTCAAAACGACACCGGGTAAATATCGCTATGTATTTTTTACCGACTTCCAAAAAATAAGGAGGTTATCAATTCGACTGTATTTTATTTATGTGTTTTAGAAAGATTTTCTAGGTGAACATATTGTTTTGATTGTTTTTTTTATGTAAATGCTGATGCTTCTCGTGTCCTATTCCCATGGTGTCATTTAACTTTTATCCAGATCTGACCAGTAGTTTTTGGGTTATCCTTAATAATATGTATATATTAAATTGTCTTTAACTACATTTGCGAAATTCTTACTTTATTACTTGTCGACGTAAAACCTGTACTGATCTGATCTGTTTGGGGCCTCTGGGATGGACTTCTGTTCTGTACCGTATGTTCTATGGAGCGTGCTCTGAGGAACTGTTTGAGATGATCCCATCATTTTGTTTCTGCAATCGCACCGCCTTCCACCGGAACGTAGCTTATCCATACTATCTGATACACTTTGTTACTCCACAGTGGGTTACCAGGGTTCTTTCAGGGATGTTTTAATAACGTTTCAGTATAAATAAATTATTTGAATATAATATAGGCAGTTAGTGGAAACATTCCGTGCGGGCTGCCAATATGCGAATCACACAATCAGTAATCACGCAAATACACAAGTTTTGCGGCTTTTACTTATTATTTATTACACGACGTTATATTCTCTTATGGAGAACGTCGTTCGTAAAAATGCGTTAAGTACGTATTTCCTTAGACGAAAATAAAATCCGCATGCGGGTTTTGAGCACCGGCATGGTCGTATCGCTTGGTACGAGCGCACTGGTATCATTAATTAATCATCATCAATATCATTTAAATGACTTTACCCATACCATAATTTAGAAACTGAAGAACTCATTAAATAAGAAAATCGTGGTAAGATCGCGTTAAATAAGAATTTGTGTAAGCCGCGAAAGTTTAAAACGTTTTGATTAACTGTACGTATTGTTTTTAGTTGACGCTGCGTTCGTCGAAAAGCAAAAGAAGATTTTGTCTCTTTTCTACAACGTTAACGAGATCAGCTATGAAGCTGAGTACTACAAAGTCGCCCAGGACTTCAACATCGAGGCCAGCAAGGACTGCTACACAGTAAGTCGTTTCAGAGAGTCTAATGGTCGCGCAATGATTGAAATTCGATCATAATAACTGACACCTCAAGATTTTACTGGTGGTAGGACCTCTTGTGAGTCCGCGCGGGTGGGTACCACCACCCTGCCTATTTCTGCCGTGAAGCAGTAAAGCGTTTCAGTTTGAAGGGTGGGGCAGCCGTTGTAACTAACTTGAGACCTTAGAACTTATATCTCAAGGTGGGTGGCACATTTACGTTGTGGATGTCTATGGGCTCCAGTAACCACTTAACACCAGGTGGGTTGCGAGCTCGTCCACCCATCTAAGCAATAAAAAAAAAAGAAAATTTACATTCATTTCATGTAATTCATTTTCCCTTGTTGTTTTGGCATAGTTGTTTTGAGAAAAAAGCTATTTCTGATTTTTTTTAAATGATAACATTAAAGCTAGCGGAATAACTTATTATCAAAAAATCAAGAGAATATCGCTATGATGAACAGAAGAAAAATAATAATTAATGACCTATTTACTTATAAACTTTAATTGCTCATTTATATTTCATATACAATTTTTAACTCTTAGTGTAAATTAAAACTTGACATATTAATTCTAAGTTTCAAATGCATTAGTGCAACTTTGTCTTGCAATAAACTTGTTTTTTTAATCACATTATGTGGTTTGTAGAACATGAAAGCCTACGAAAATTTCATGATGATGTACAAGGTCGGATTCCTTCCCAAGAATTTGGAATTCTCGATCTTTTACGAAAAAATGAGGGAAGAAGCCATCGCGCTGTTCAAGCTGTTCTATTATGCCAAAGATTTTGAATGTTTCTACAAAACAGCATGCTACGCCAGAGTCTACATGAACCAGGGAATGTTCTTATACGCCTACTACATAGCTATTATCCAGCGCTCTGACACCGCCAGCTTCGTTCTACCTGCTCCATACGAAGCTTATCCTCAATATTTTGTCAACATGGAAGTTAAAAATAAAATGGACTACGTTAAGATGATGGATGGTTGCCTTGACGAGAAAATATGTTATAATTACGGAATTATCAAAGAAAACGAACAATTCGTAATGTACGCCAACTATTCCAATTCCCTGACTTACCCCAACAACGAAGACAGAATTGCTTACTTAACTGAAGATGTTGGCCTAAATGCTTATTATTACTATTTCCACTCACACTTACCGTTCTGGTGGAACTCTGGTAAATACGGAGCTTTCAAGGAACGTCGTGGGGAAATCTACTTCTTCTTCTACCAACAACTGTTAGCTCGTTACTACATGGAGCGTCTTACCAATGGATTGGGTAAAATCCCTGAGTTTTCCTGGTACTCGCCTCTTCGAACTGGCTACCTCCCGCCTTTCAACTCCTTTTATTATCCATTTGCCCAAAGAAGCAATGACTACGAGTTGCACACCGAGAAGAACTACGAAGAAATTCGCTTCCTCGACATTTATGAGAAGACATTCTTCCAATACCTCCAGCAAGGTCACTTCAAGGCCGTGAGTATTATTGACCTCTAAGCAATTCTACGATTGGCTTTGACAACAGCACACATATTGACTTTTCTGTGTCATTTCAGTTCGACAAAAAAATTGATCTGCACAGTAGCAAAGCAGTCAACTTTGTGGGCAACTACTGGCAGACGAACGCCGATCTATTCGAAGAAGACTTCCTCCAATTCTACCAGCGTTCTTACGAGGTTAACGCTCGCCGCGTACTTGGTGCTGCTCCTAAGCCTTTCAACCAGTAAGTTTAACGGCATCCTTAAAGAATATCAATTTTATGGTTTTTCATTTACATGTACACTAGCTTTTGCTCGCGACTTCGTCCGCGTGGAATAATTCACAAATTATGCTTTATTTTAGAAAAAAATTGCTTAGCATAAAAAAGGTTATAGTGAGCCAACCTTAACATATAGACATATGCTGTCGCAGACTTTTTTTTAGATCTTTTAAAGGGGAACAATTCTGTCATACATTATATTAGCGAAACTTTAACCGTTTCTGCAACGCACGCAGCGGAAGCTCTCAAAAGGGAAAAAAACCCCGATTTTGAAACATTCTTTATTGGTGCTCCGCTCATATTAGTTTTAGCGTGATGTTATATAGCCTATAGCCTTTCTCAATAAATGGGCTATCTAACACTGAAATAATTTTTCAAATCGGACCAGTAGTTCCTGAGATTAGCGCGTTCAAACAAAAAAACTCTTCAGCTTTTTAATATTGGTATAGATACATAAGATTGAAAATCGCAATCGTAACCTGAACATCATCATATACACGAGGCCTAATGAAAGCAAAGTTTAGTATTCTCGTATAGTGCGTCTATTGTCATCATACGATTTCCGATGTTTGGAATATTTAACAGCTTTCTGACCTTTCAAAGAAGGACGCATGATGACTTTAAGACAGAAATACTCACCACCACTTACCCAGACTCACAATATGCATTGCTGGTAGTAATTACGCAGATTCGTATGTTTGGTGGGCTTAATTTTAATAATCCGATGGTATTGAAACATCCTAAAAGTCGTTTAAGCCTGCTAAGTACGTGTTTGTTGTTTGTAAAACAGATACCAGTTAAAGGGATTGATACACTTTTAAATCGCTGAATATGAATACACCGAATATCTTAGCCATTAGGCCATGAACACCTAAATTTATTTCGGTATTAGTCATCTCAAAATATAAACAAGCCCTTATTTTTCCAGGTACACATTTATTCCTAGTGCTCTTGACTTCTACCAAACTTCGGCCAGGGACCCAGCCTTCTACCAGCTCTATAAAAGAATTGTTCAATACATCATCGAATTTAAACAGTACCAGGTACCATACACACAAGAAGCTCTTCACTTCGTTGGTCTGAAAATTTCCGACGTCAAAGTCGACAAAATGGTCACATTCTTTGACCATTTCGACTTCGATGCCTTCAACACTGTCTACTTCAGTAAAGAAGAACTCAAGAGCTCTCCTCACGGTTACAAGGTCCGTCAACCACGTCTTAACCACAAGCCGTTCACTGTGACAATCGATATTAAATCTGATGTTGCCACTAACGCCGTCGTCAAGATGTTCCTTGGACCTAAATACGATGAGAACGGCTTTCCCTTCAGCCTAGAAGATAACTGGATGAACTTCTACGAGCTTGACTGGTTCGTGCAAAAGGTTAACCCTGGCCAGTCTCAGATAACGCGTTCATCTACTGACTTTGCATTCTTCAAAGAAGACTCTTTACCGATGGCCGAAATCTACAAGCTCTTGGACCAAGGAAAGATTCCTACTGACATGTTCAACTCCTCGGACACTATGCCTTCGAGGCTGATGCTGCCTAAGGGTACATACGATGGATTCCCCTTCCAGCTGTTTGTATTCGTCTATCCGTATGAACCGACACCTAAGGAGTCAGAGCCATTCAAGTCTGTTGTTCCGGACAACAAACCATTCGGTTATCCATTCGATCGCCCCGTTCTTCCTCAGTACTTCAAACAACCTAACATGTTCTTCAAGAAGGTCCTGGTCTACCATGAAGGAGAACTATTCCCCTATCTATTTAACATTCCTCACTATACACCAGATAAAGCGCAACTATAATGCTCTCATAAGAAAAAGTAAGCGAACTCTAACTATAACAGTATATAACAGTAGAATCTCATGTGAATATGTAAAAACTGTTACTAATGTCATTAATAAAAACTAAAAATATCTACATTTTATTTTTATTTTATTGTCCTTGTAGGCATACGAACATACGGCCCACCTGATGGTGAGTGGTTACCGTCGCCCATGGACTTCAGCAATGCCAAGCTGCTGCCTACCGCTTAATACTCTCCACAAGCCACGTTTAAAGAAGGACATGTCACAGCGCTCGGGAAACACTGTGGAGGGGAGCTGGGGAGGGCCGATATTTTTTGGCGCATCCCCCGTGCTGTCATCCGCATAGCAATGCATGCCATCAATAGACAGCATGTCATTGATATACAGGATGAAAAGCGTGGGGGAGAGCACTGAACCTTGTGGAACGCCAGCGCTAATGGTCATGGTATCAAAACAGTCACCGTCTACAACGACCGTGATGCTCCGCCCATCCAAAAAGCTAACGATCCACTTGCAGAGACCCTCGGGGATTCCGTAAGATGGTAGCTTCGACAGAAGTGCCCTATGCCAGACCCTGTCGAAGGCCTTCGTGATATTAAGGCTCACAGCAAGAGCCTCGCCCTTGCTCTCCAAGGCTTCAGCCCACCTGTGAGTAAGGCATTTCAGAGGAGGGAATAAACAATCCTATCCCCTGGAGCACCACGTCTTTAAGACGGTCTGCACAGGCGTCAGGATCAGCAGAGGAAAAGCAGAACCGCCCCCATGGGTAGGATGTGTAAAATTCACGCAATCCATCCCAATCTGCTGACATATACTGCCAAACTCTTCGATACCCGGTCGTCGTTCGACGACTAGGACGAGAGAGTGGTGTGGCAACACGGATAAGGCAGTGATCAGACGATCCAAGCGGAGCGTCGACCACTACACTGTATCCGGCTGGATCGGTGGTCAGCAGAAGGTCCAACAGAAAAGGCTCGTGCCCCTCAATATCTGGGACACGGCTGGGCTGTGTCACCAGCTGAGAGAAGCCGTAGGTCAGGGCGAATTTGTAGGCAGCCCGACCCGGGAGGTCAGTGGTTCTGGACTCCAACCACTCTTGGTGGTGAGCGTTAAAGTCTCCAAGAACCACTACCTCCGCAGATGGGTACTGCTCAAGCACGCGGTTAGTCCCCTCTTGCACATGCTCTATCAGAGCTGAACCTGCATCACTGCTGTGGGACCTGTACAGGCACGCGTAGACTCGGGTACGACCCCCGTGATTTACGCGCAGCCACAAGAGGGTCAGGTCCCGTTGTTCGAGGCTTCGTAGACGGCAACAACAGACATCAGCCCGGCTTTACGCAGGTAGTTGTGCTCCAATACGTAGCCGGGGTATTCAAGGCACGAAGTATCATCCGGAGCAGATATCTACGTCTCCGTGAGAAAAAGTAGGGCAGGCTGCGCCGTCTCAAGATGGTGGTGTACGGCGTCGAGGTTGCTATGTAGACCCTTTACATTGCAGAAATCCGCATTAAATATGGAATGGGGAATCGCCGACAAAACCCTTTTTCTTTTTCGAACTGTCATATTTTTATTTGGAGAGTGGGATTAGGTGGGGTAGGAAGTTCGAGGCGAAATCATGACAACACCTGAATAAAGCGCGGAACACAGTACGTGCTCGACCACGAGTTGCATGAGAGACTGACGCAGGGCATGGAAGGGCCCCCAGTCCACCCTGTGTGCGATCGCCGGGATCCACTCCGGTCTCCGACTCAGGCACGACGACCGCACGACAGGATTTTACACCGGTTGGCGGGACAGCTTCCCGGGGCGGAGTTTAGTAGTGACACCCGGGTTCAGGTCCCCAACTGACCCGCGGGCGGCGGCGAACACCGTTTCACTGGGTCTCCCTATGCCCCCGTCAAACAATCACGTCCCGCGAGCTCGCACGCACATCTGCTCCGCATGTTCCAGGTATCATCAAGATTCACCCCGAACAAGGAAGAGGAAAGGGAAGGAATAAAACTGGCTCTCCAACCCACACGCCGGAACACAGCTAGGGTATTTCGCGGCGGACTCTAGTTGGAGGGTGGTGGCCAGCCAGTCGGACCAGTCCTATTACTGGTGGTAGGGCCACTTGTGAGTCCGCGCGGATAGGTACCACCGCCCTGCTTATTTCTGCCGTGAAGCAGTAATGCGTTTCGGTTTGAAGGGTGGGGCAGCCGTTGTAACTATACTGAGACTGTAGAACTTGTATCTCAAGGTGGGTGGCGCGTCTACGTTGTAGATGTCTATGGGCTCCAGTAACCACTTAACATCAAGTTATAATATTATGGAAAATAAAATAAATTTGTTTTTATTGTAATTCCATGACCAAACTTATCTTATACCAAACTAGCTCAAGCGCATGGGGACATTTGGCGTCCGTGCTACAGGTACCCCAATAAAGACCCCGGTGCTCATGTGTATGGGGATGTAGAGTAAGGGGGGAATGTAGAGTGAGGGGGGAAAGTAGAGTAAGGGGGGCATATAGAGTGAGGAGGACATATAGAGTGAGGGGGCATATAGAGTGAGAGTGTGTGAAAGAGCACGTTACCACGATCCCAGAAGAAAAGTAGAGCCATTGTTCGACATGAGATGAGTGTATCCGATTCGGTCATGATGAGCTAACATCACTTTTCCGAGATCGATGTTTGTGCAAACGGAGAATGTTCATAAACGGCTACCGGTGCTCATATAGATTACAGTTGACATCTACTTTGAAATTCTCAATTGTATAGCATAGCCGATTTACCGTAGTCAAGACACGCATTCTAGTTTCATGGCTGAAATAGGCACTATTGCACCTAACAATAAGGAATAAATTAATCGACAGTAGTACCGGATAAATATATGAGAATAAATCATCTTTACCTTATTTCTTATCCAAATTTTTCTTGCGCTGTAATCGCGAATGTCGCTTAAAGATCGTTGAATCTTCTTTTATAATTAGGAACATGAGGTCCGAATTCACAATCTCTTGAATTCACGAACGACTTCCACGGTAAAGGAATAACGATAAAAAGGATGTTAAATGTTAAATACATCATCTTCCGTGTATATCGGAAACGCGACCCACTGAGAAGATCCGGCGAGAAACTCAGTGGGCTAAAAATCCTACTTAAGTTGGTTACCTAGGGGTTATGCGTAAGCGGTCGAGGGCGTTATGCGTAACTGGGTAGGTGAGCTCACGGTGCTCTATCCTGAAGACGTTGCTAACACTAGCCCTAGCAAGAGCAGTGCTTCGCAGAATCTACCACCGGATCGGGAACGTGACCCACCAAGACGGGTCATCTGATGGTAAGTGATTCACCGCCGCCCACGGTCACCAGCGACGTCAGTGCGTTGCCTACCCTTCAGGTAAGAATATGCTCTTTTCTTGAATAACCCAATGTCGCGTTTATTTGTAGAGTACTAGAATACTTAAATTAGTTAAAATTATGTTTTTTTTATTACTTAGATGGGTGGACGAGCTCACAGCCCACCTGGTGTTAAGTAGGTACTGGAGCCCATAGACATGTACGACGTAAATGCGCCACCCACCTTGACATATAAGTTCTAAGGTCTCAAGTATAGTTACAACGACTGCCCCACCTTTCAAACCGAAACGCATTACTGCTTCACGGCAGGAATATGCAATGGAATAAAGTAAAACTTTGTACAAACATTTTAACAATCTTCAGATACTATTACTGGTGGAAGGACCTCTTGTGAGTCCGTAAGGGTAGGTACCACCACCCCACCTACTTTCTGCCGTGAAGCAGTAATGCGTTTCGGTTTGAAGGGTGGGACAGCCATTGTAACTATAGTGAGACCTTAGAACCTATCTCAAGGTGGGTGGCGCATTTACGTTATAGATGTTTATGGTCTCCGGTAACCACTTAACACCAGGTGGGCTGTGAGCTCGTCCACTCATCTAAGCAATAAAAAAAAACGAATGTTTGCCCGATGCGGGAATCAAACCCACATCCCTCGGCTCAGTAATCAGAGGCACTAATTACTGCACCATCTCGGTCACAGTCGGTCGATATGATGAACATGTCATCGATGCAAGCTGATGTTTTAAGGCAGAATTCATTTATTTATTATAACACATTTAATATTAATAAACAGTTTTATGTTTAAAGCAATCTGCTTTTATAAATTATTCAAGCCTACACTGCTAGGCTTTGTTTCATTTTCTTAGGCTGTTCCTACTTCATTTCGTAGTTTTTTAAAGAAAATGAAAGGCGCTGGATTTGCCAAATTTTATTATCATTATTAATTATTACATTTATTATTAGGTGATAATATAGGTAGGAGTAGGAGTGGGTGATATAAATCGTATATAGATTCAATATCTATATATCGCAGCAATATCGTTGAATCCGATATCGCCCCGCACGAAATCTATATATCGATATCAGCCGATACACGATATTGCTCGATGTGATGCGCATCGGCATATCGTACCGATTCGTGAACCGAAATCTATATTTCGATATCAGCCGATACACGATATTGCTCGATGTGATGCGCATCGGCATATCGTACCGATTCGTGAATATCAGCAATATTCGTTTGGTTCGTATCGAATCGGCCAGAGTGAGTGAGCGCACGATAGGGATATCATGTGATGAATGAAACAGAAACAGGCATTATCCATACAATTGTAAACCTTATATTTAAGTCCATATGTCTGTAGATTATTCTTAGCGTATCAGCAGGATACAATTAAGGNTCAATGAACTTTCCAATAAGCCAGATTTGTTGCTTAATGTCAATGATTCTATTTTTTTTTTTTTTTTTTGTATTGCGTAGATGCGTGATTACAGCTCGGCTGGTGTTAAATGGTAACCGAAGCTTATAGATATCATAACGTGAATGCTGTCACCTACCTTGAAATAGGAAGTCTGATATGTCAATTGTAAATTTTTTGTTTTTATTTTCTTTATACTGTTTTATTCAATCACCTTGGAAGACATCAACACATCCTAATTTGTGATTCACCCGATCCACTAACTAGAAGGAGGAACCCTGGTAACTATCGGAAGGGTTAGACGTGAAACGTGATGTTATCCGGGTCGCGATTCAGTTCCGACAGTGGATTCATTTCCGAAACAACTAGACAGGTCTCCTTCGGAAGCGCTCGGGCCATTAACAAATCCTATACACCGTCCCATCTAGAAAGTGATCCTAAATAAATAATAGCTTTAAAAAACTAACAAAATACGCTTTTATAGAAAATCCAACTAAAAAATAGAAAATAAATTTTAATAAAATTGAATTAAAAATAGTGTAAGAAAAAATGATTTTATTGTAAAAAAAACCATGGGGTGCGTGGTATAAGTAGTTATAAATATTTTATGAACAGATATGAGTAGAAGGGTTATTTTGATAATATCGTGAAAATCAGCCCACGCTTTTTTACAATAAAATATTTTTTTCAATTCAAATAAACACTCTTTAATTCAAATTTATTAGAATTTATTTTTTATTTTTTAGTTGAATTTCAATTTTTAAATTGTTTTTTTAATATAGAATTGTAATCGGTCCCTAATAAGTATACCAAATTTCGAGTTAATCCGACGTTTTGAAGGGGGTCAAAAAATCATGTTCAAAGATTCCGTTACAAACATACATACGTGTGAAGCTAATAAAAGAGTATTAAAAAAGTGTCAATCAATAATGAACCTTAAACACGATTGCGCACAGGTGCATGTCGAACTCGTCTCTGTCGTACGAGGTGCGCGCGTCGTTCTGCCGGCTCATGCTGCACTTGCACGCCGACCGCGACCCGCAGGAGCCGGTCACGCCCGTCAAGTACGCGCGCCTCTGGACCGAGGTCATCGACCGCATACACATCCACGAGTCAGTACACATGTTTACTATTTTAATTATCATTTTTGAAGTGATAAAGTACAACTTCTTTTTTGAAGAAGTGCAACTTCTTTAAGCGCGTTGAGAGTAAAATTTAAGTCGTGATACGACTAAAGAGAAAAGATAACAATTTTAATTATCATTTTTGAAGTGAAACTTCTTTAGGCGCGTTGAGAGTAAAATTTAAGTCGTGATATGACGAGAGAAAAGATAACAATTTTAATTATCATTTCTGAAGTGAAACTTCTTTAGGCGCGTTGAGAGTAAAATTGAAGTTGTGATACGACTAGAGAGAAAAAAATAACAATTTTAATTTTCATATTTGAAGTGAAACTTCTTTAGGCGCGTTGAGAGTAAAATTTAATTCGCGAACATTCGTTACGACTATTAAGTAAAGATACAATTACTAAAAGCGAGAGTGAGAAAATGGACAGAGCGTCGCGCGAACCACTCGACCGTGGAGAGAGGGAAAGGACAAAGCGAACTCAATCGTTTCTCTTATACACAGCATTTCTTGTTACAAGAGAAATTTGATTTGAAAAATTAAGAAAACCGCAATACACACTGAAAAAGAAGTTTCACTTCCTTCACGTGCACCTTTTTTTTTCTTCAACGGGCTAACGAGCTCACAGCCGTCGGGTTCAGTCGTCGCTGCCCGCCCCTAGACGAAACTGTCAATTAATAAATGGTTATTTTTGTTGATTAGAATATTTTTATAAATATATATTTCAGTTACCAATGTGTGAAGGGGGGCCCGGACGCGAACAGAGAGAAGGTAAAGGAACAGTTCGCTCGCACGATACGTTTCGTCGAGAAGTACCTCTGCAACGTGGTCAGCAGGACCTGGTACTTCAGTGACCACGACCAGAACAAGTTGACCTTCGAAGTGGTCAAACTTGCCCGGGAACTCATTTACTTCGGATTTTACAGGTACCTAATAAAACAGAATTAAATATTTCTCTCTCTTTCTCTCTTAATACAAAGCTGTAATCGTCACGTAACGGACGAGGTTGTTGACCCCTCGTCTGTTACTATGTGTATTGAGTTGACTTAAAGAAGATCATGGTTTTTGTTTATGAGGTACTTATTTTAGTATTATCGTATCAGGGACCGGTGGCGATAATTTTGTCTCCGAGAGCGTCGCTAACACTCGTTAGTGTGAACAAAATCCTTTAGCTAACTTGACAACCATTTTTTTTGTCAAAGAGCGGGTAAGCTCAGATCCAGTGCTCGAAACAGTCGGTGGCCCGTAGACAACAACATAACTGTCCGCCTTGGGACACTGGAGTGAAATTCTCTTATTAAATATTAAATATTTCACTATACCTGAGACCATAGATCTTATATCTCAAGGTGAGTGGCGCATTTACGTCGTAGATATCTATGAGCTCCAGTAACCACTTAACACCAGGTGGGCTGTGAGCTCGTCCATCCATCAAAGCAATAAAATAAAAAAATAACAGTACTTGTATTTCTTGTTCCGAAAATGATTTATACTTTTCCTTTTATGAAGAAGCATATTGTGACAGACCCAGGGTACATTGCGGGAGGGATGTGTTCACCAGTGCTCACTGCTGACACCTGTCAATGATTTTCTATAGTTTAGTGACGTAAGCGCGTCGCTTGTATCTAATCCTGGTGCTTGAATGTTTCCGTTCAAAGCTTCAGCGACCTACTCCGTTTGACGAAGACTCTGCTCAGCATCCTGGACTGTGTCACCGCCATGGATCTGCTCAACGAGACCAACGCCCTGTCCGGGGAGGTCGAATGTGAGTAACATTCAAGTCGATGATCCGCCACTGAGTTAGAGCCGCCGTAGCATACTAATTGTACCCTGATTTGGTTCACCTAGTTCAGCGTAGGGGATAACACCGCTCTCCCTATTTCTGCTGCTTAGATAGCTTATGTCCCGAGGTGGGTGGCCGTAGTGATGCTATGATGTCCAGTGATCGATTAATACAAGTGGGGCTATAACTCTTCTACACAGCTACGAAAATCCCTCCCTAGTACAGACTGGGCTGAAAACTCGATTGTCAGGATGAGAATCTACAAAAGATTTAAAACGAGATTTGGGGGTAGGTAATAATTTATTTAGATTGTAAAAATACCTATGCGCTTACATGTAACAATAGCATTCATTAAATAAACACCAACTTAATGAATTTAACCATCACTTGTTTTATTTTTCTGAGTCGAAACCAGCGCAACTTTCGCCAAAACTAGTTGTACGGTCTTGCATGCAACGTGTTTTGTGGTTTATTTGTAGACGAAAGATTTAAAACGAGATTTGGGGGTAGGTAGTAATTTGTTTATAAATGAAATCTATTATTACGTTAAGGATTTTTTTGTTTACAAGCAACACAAGAGAAGGAGTCGCCACAGCGTAAGTATATCTGTCGAACGATTTGAAAGTGCATCTTGTCGATATCTGGCATGATGAGTTGTAAGAATTTCCATAAACAGAGGTTTATCTATGAGCATCATTGAGCTGAGTTCTAGTCTACCTAAGAAATTAATTTCGGGTGACCACGCTAGAACGGTTACTATTTCAAACTCTTACTACTAGACTGTTATCATGCCAGCTTTGATATTTATACGACTGTTAAATACTTCCATATAAATTGCTTTCTTTTGGAGAAAAATTGAACTTTATGTAAATCTATTTAAGGTGCATCTTGCATTGTACAATATTTGTTCCAGCCGAGGGCGGTGTACTCAGGAGCATAGGTGACATGGGAGCCGTTATGACTTCGATAACACTCGGATCTGTCGCTAGAAATGTAAGACTATTCATAATCGACCTTACTTGAATTCAAATGTTATTAAATCGGAGAGATTTTATAATCACTAATAATCTTAGTTTGATTTCCGAATCTTTAGTTTAGTTATTTCCTAAGCTGGTCTTTCCTGGTGTCTTACCTGATGACAGTGGTGGATTTACACTAGGGGCAGCCGGGGCAAGTGCCCAGGGCAGCAAAATTTTGAAAGTAAATTTTTTTTTTAGGTTTATCAAGTTTGCTCAATATAATTAATTAATTGTAATAATTAAAATTTTTCTTTTTAATTGATAATTCAAGAAATTTAGTTCATCCATTATTTGTGAGTTATAATTTTGGCACTTTAGGTAAAAATTTATAATCAAAATGATTTAATCAATTTATTTCCTTGGAGATTTAAAATAATAATCGATTATTTTATTTTCGAAATTTAATTACAGATTATTTAATTTTTTTTTTTTTATGTATTATAACTATGAGTCACCCTTAGTCAAAATTTATAATTATTAGGAAAAAAACAAATATTTATTTATGTTTTTGGAATATGATGATTATGATAAAGTTTCTGCAATAAATTAGTTATTTTGATTTTGAAAACTAAAATATATAAACTATAAGTTTAGGTAAAATTCCGGTATTGGGGCGGATTTTTTTCCGGTGCCCAGGAGCGGCATGAAGTTTAAATCCGGTCCTGTCTGATGATATGGCATACAGTAGGTGTGGAGAGTCGCCTATATGCTACCCAAAATAAGGGGGAAAAATACTAGCTTTAGGACGTAGAATTAAAAAAAAATTTGATGCTCTTCGAACTTTAGAATATCGTGTGCTGCATGCAGTATACATTTGTAACAATGACAGTGACAAAAAAATATTCAGTTCTAATGTTTGTTCAGCAAGTGGGAGGTACCGCGACCACCCCGGGAACGGGCACCGGGCTGCAGAGAAGCGCCTCCGCCCTGATGCTGGCCAGGGAACATCCCCTCGTCATGGACACGAAGCTCAAGATCATTGAGATATTGCAGGTGAACGAGAACTCAACCCGTATACAGGGTGTGTCACACCACTAAACAAATTACATTAATAATACACTATACTATTTATATTTTAACTAGCCGTGAACCCCGGGTTCGTTCGCGTGATCAAGGAATAGTGTTAATTATTTACAGATAATACCACAGTTTTTTCCTAAGAATGAGTTACAATTCCTCAATAGATTGCCCTTATTCCATATTGCATGAGGTCGACGCAGCGTGTCCCCTTATCATGCACTGTTAAAAGGGCTACCTCAGGACTCTTGTCTCAAGGTGGGTGGTGCATTGACGTTGTAGGTGTTTAGGGGCTCCGATGACTACACAATACCAGGTGGACCGCGAGCTCGTCCGAGTGGACTGTCTAAGCAATACGACATACTGGATAGTTATCTGACGATAATTAAACGGCCGATCACCTGCCTCACGTCAACCCTCCTTCGGTTCTATCTCCAGTACGTCCACAGCAAAGTGCCAGAGGAAGGAACCGTTTCTGTTTATACTTAGATAACTTAAATACTGTTACGCCGGTAAGAGTAACGCCATCTATCGCCGAATAGCCGAACGAATATCGAAGGATCTAGTAACATCTAGAACGCTCGTGCAGTACAAAGCCATCTATTGTCAGATAGCGGAAACAATACTAGAGATGTGTGTGCAATATTCTCGATAGTTCTAGGGATGTGGTATCGACTATAAAAGCGTTGCAGGGATGGCACCAGTCAATTACTAATCGGAACTACTCTAAGCGAAACGAACGGATCACCTAAGAAGAATTTTATAGTGTTCTGTGAGTGTTCTAAGTCATAAATACAATTTTAAGTTATACTTTGGTGGAACATTTATTTATCCCGAACCCCAGCGCGTAACATTACTTTATGGCTTTACTTGAATGGTTTAAGTACATGGTTATTGAAACCTCCAGTTCATCCTCGACGTAAGACTTGACTACCGCATCAGCTGTCTGCTGTCCATCTTCAAGAAGGAGTTCGAGCAGGCCGGGGATCAGCGCGCGGCCGACTCCCTGGGCCGGGCCGACGTGGAGGCCATAGGGCTGCAGGCCGAGGGCATCTTCAGCTGCCGGTCAGTTGTCTATGGATGCAGTGAATTCATGCTGCCTTTAAGGCTACGTGAAACAGAACGCGTACTTAGCGCTGCGTTTTAACGTCGCGCTCTTTACATGTCACACAAATTGATTACATGAGTCCAACGCTCCTTGACGCAACGTAACGCCAAATCATAGTGCCTTTCGATAGCAGTGTGAAAATTTAAAAGTATTAAGATGTCGAGTGATTCAGATGTGGCATTATATGAGCGTGGGTATTTTACTAACTAATTCTATCAATTTTTCGTTTTTTTTTTTATAACGCCATCTTGTTGTGTCTTTAAGGCGGCTAGTTGCCCTCAATTAAGAAAAATAGTGTTATTATTCGCCAATAGATGTCGGGAAGAGTTGATTATTGAAAACACGAATAAAACAACATTTTTTGAAAATAAATCGTAACTAGATCGATTTATCGCCCCCGAAATCCCCTGTATACTAAATTTTATGAAAATCTTTGGAGCCGTTTCCGACATTCAGATTATATACATATATATTAATATACAAGAATTGTCGTTTAAAGGTATAGGATTTTAATACACATTCACTCGGGCGCTACAATAAAATTTGTAAAAAATGACAACGCCTGACGTCAAAGCGTCTTAAGGCCGCGACAGAGCGTTGCGTACTTACAGCGCTGAGGCTCTGTTTGACAGTACATTACCATAGTAGTACAACACATCTCGCCGTCAGTTTAGCGCTCTGACGCGGGCTAAGTACGCGTTCTGTTTGACGAAGCCTTTAATTCTTGAGAATAAGGTCGAGAATAGTTTCTCACGTAGATTACGAAAGCTACACACAAGCTTGGCACTAAACACGTAGCGAACAAAGTCGTTTTTTACATGAAGCTTTTTTTTCATTTTATCGATCATGTCTGATGGGAGTACGTGTCATGATGTAGTCATAGCCTAAATGTTTCAACATTTATTTTTGTGTGACAAAGCGTTATCATGTACTACATACAGTCCTGCCTATTTCCGACAAGAAGCAATTAGCGGTTCCGGTCAGTTGGAAGACTCCGCAAGGATGGGACAGCATTTAAACAAACCAATATGGAACTCGATCTCATGTGTTAAGGATTCCAGTAACCACTTAATAACATATGGACCATTAACTCGTCGGCCCACTTGAAAAATTAACAAAGTCTTAATGTAATTAATTTTGGTAACCGATTCTTTTTATCTTCACTTTTCTTATCTGAAGCTTGCTATGAATCCTGTTTACACGCCTATTTTATCTCAAAGTGTGAGCAGGACGACAATAAAGTTTCTTTGTTAGTAATAGACCATTCTATTTTCTACACACTTTCCTGTATAGTCTTGTAGATGGGTACTAAAGCATGACTATGTCGGTGTTTGGGAAAATCATTTTAACCGTAGTTATGTGATTTTGTTCAGGGAAATTTAAAAGCACGATGATGGAGTATATTGTGAACACGCGGATGTCCGTCACGCCCATTTGTGCCGAGAAGTCACTATTTATCGACTTCACTAAACATGCAAACTGCAAAACAAAAACAAACCTAAATAATGAACAAAATCACAGCACTGCTGTAATTGAGGGGAACTTTAACAGACTTTTGTAAATTAATTTCATAAAAACATTTCAGAGCTGTACAAACTGTGCCAGAGAGCTGCCTTCCAAAAAATGTAGATTTGTTAGTAAGATAATAAAAGTATTGCACGATAACATCTATCGCTTCGTATAACGCATACTGACTCGCATGTACCTAGCTTTGCACCGCCCCCACACGTCTCAACGAGTCAACACTGGCCGTCTAACAGGCGATGGCTGTGTGACGTTGGTTTGAAAATGTATTAAATGGTGAATGGTGAATACATGGCAAAATGATGGAAAAAAATCCATAAAATGTGGACAATTCAGATAAAAAGATACTCTATTTTAACTTCAGTACGAAATGCTGCATGGTTTTAAATAGCCTATAGTGTTCGCTCAATTATTGAAAATCGACCATAATCAGTGATAACTTAATAACTTTAAAAAAAAGTTTTTAAGTTATTTCACATCTTAAATTTTGTCTTTTGTTTCATTATTTAAATGTGGAAAACAAATGATTAATTAAAAAAAAGACTTTCATATTACTTGACTGCTGATCAAATGAGATATAACACCAAACTCTAATATGGTTACTATATTAAAGATCACTTAACAAAAAGGCAAATCTATTTTATTTTAAACACAGGACAAAATCTAAAAGCTAGAAAGTTCAGTTTTTGAGAACGTAGGTAGCTTTTAAAAACTTACCGCTGCCCCTAAAGCAGCAAATACAGATGGGAAAAATATTATTTGTACTTAAATTAACCGATTTCTGTTTCAAATATTTTCAGCACTAACCTATCTATTTGAACTGGATAAAGCAATCCTTTACTGCTCCGCTTTTTTGCCGTTTCGGGTGAATACTGAATCCGATTCAAAACTAACCAATCCTTACCTTAATACCAAAATAAACCTTCCTTTGAAAATAACATTGAAAAGAGAGTGATGTGAATGTGATGATTTATATCCCTTAATCCTGGTTTTTAAAGAGTAATCCATATCAAACTTATTCCGAGTTTACCCCAATCAAAGATTTCTTATCCTTTCAGTGTATATTAACAGCTTAACCCTCCATTCTTCTTCTTTGGAAACGGATTGAAATTAAAATGTATAACTGAAACTCCAGGGACGGCTTAGACCTAGACGAATGCGGGGGACGCATGGTGTTACGCGTCCTCCTGCAGCTGTGCTCGCAGGGAGCCTCGGCGGCGCTCGTCTCCGGAGCCCTAGCGCTCCTGTTCCGACACTTCAGCCAAAGGCAGGAGGTTTTAGCTGCTTTCAAACAGGTTTGTTTCACCTTGACAATGTAGTTTAAATCTAAGCATTGTTTTTGTTTTGTGCTAGAATAGATGCTTTAAATTTTGTACTTTGTATTTAAAGAGTTAAAGATTTAAATAACTCTTGATCTAATCGAAGTACATGAGCATGACTTCTAGTTCTACCTAGGAAATATCTATTCCTATCTTCTTTATCACATATTGTTCCAGAATAGAACAATAAGTAATCTGTAAAGTTAATATATGAATTAAAAAAAAGGATTGTGTGGTTTTATAAAATCACGGTAAAAGTGAAACTTTTTTCACATTATAGAAATTGAACTCTGACAAACAACATTTACATTAAACACTGACAAAAACAAACAAAATAGCGTGGAGCACTGGCACAAATGAGTAATAGTCTGTACAGTAGACGGTCAGCTGCTGCGAACTATAGGCGCCGCCATATTGGCCTTGGCTGCTCTAATGAGCGCCTATCACACTATCTCTACTCACGTCACGCGACATGCAACACACAGACAAAAAAGTTTGAGACGATATAAGTTTCACTTTAAAAGGCTGCTGCGTGTTTCAGGTCCAGCTCCTGGTTTCTGACGCTGATGTGGAATCGTACAAACAGATCAAAGCGGACTTGGACTTACTGCGGCAGAGCGTTGAGAAGTCCGAGCTCTGGGTCTTTAATAAGGGACGAGCTGTCTTACTCGATGAACTTGCCGGTGTGTGCCGCGCTTATGTTACCTTCTGCGTGTGTGAGTGCGGGCGTGCGTGCGTGCGGGCGTGAGGGCGTGCGTGCGTCTGTCTCAACTGTATTTTAGGAATCGTTTAACATTTCAAACCAGAAAACATAAACGCAAGGAAAATAAATAAAACGATTGTACATATACGTTCACGCTAATATCACATAAACTATTCATTTTATTCGTAAAATAATGAAACTGGTCGGGAATAGCGTTTAGTAAAATTTATATTGTGGTGTAAATTCCTTAATAAAGATTTCATACAAAACCATCATTTCTGAAACGAAAAAAAATTCAGCCAAATCGTTGGAACCGTTCTCAAGCGATGCGCCATCACACAAATGCCAATTGGCTTATGCATAAATGAATTTCACGTAGGCATACAAATACTACACATTATATTATACGAACTGGTACGAAATGTTATATTGCTATTTCAATGTATAACATAATTATACCTCTTGCGAGTCCGCGCGGGTAGGTACCACCGCCCCGCCTATTTCTGCCGTGAAGCAGTAATACGTTTGGGTTTGAAGGGCGGGGCAGCCTTTGTAACTATACTGAGACCTTATATCTCAAGGTGGGTGGCGCATTTACGTTGTAGATGTCTATGGGCTCCAGTAACCACTTCACACCAGGTGGGCTGTGAATTCGTCCAACTATCTAAGCAATAAAATAAGATATATATATATTGTTGACGTTCAATAACGATAATAGCCTAAGTGGCGGTTTCGGTTACATTGCTGGCTGGCTGGCTAGGTTGGTTGACGACCGCTATGCTACAGATGCGTTGAACGTGTGACAACAAGGTTGCGTGCGCGCAGGTCCGTCGGGCGCGGTGGGGCCGGGCGGGGCGGTGCTCGAGCGCAACGCGTCGCTCGACAACGTTCTGGACACTTCGAGAACAGCCAAACACGACCACAACGAATATAAGAAGATTAAAGAGGCGAGTCGCTTTCAGATATCGAGTTGGAAACGAACTTATTAGTTTTAATCTCACTTCTGCATTATCTATACTATATCTATCTAAATCTATATATTTATATATTTACGGATGTTTCGTTATAACTACTGAACCATGCATTTGATTGACTTGAAACTTTGTATCCATGTAGAAAATACATGTACTTAATGGATAGGCTAATATTTATATGAGTGTTGGACTCCCTAATAATAATGACAATAAAGAATAATGTTAATTTTAAATGCCCAGCGAAGCGGGCGAGTTTTGTATAAAACTCAACTTTATTTACTAAAAAAGGATTCAAATCATTAATCCTGTAACTGCCGTGTAGGACACCGGTACCCTACATGGCGTCATGAAGTAATTATGTCGATATCTGTTACTGAATATAGGAGCCAGAATGTCTAGCAGACTAGGAAAGACGAATCCGAGGATACTAAGAATGAATCTATTTTAAGAGACCTAAAAGACTAAAACATACATTGACAAACAAAAGAAGGCAAAGTTGGGCAATCCAGGCGCTTAGTAACAGAAATTTACATTACTCCAGTGCGCTGCGTAGGGCACTGGTGACCTACGGGGCAGTCAAAGGGCTAAATAAAAACGAAACTTTTGTTTTGAAAATATCAAAAGACAGCTTCGTTTGCGCTAACGCGAAATTTGACACAGATTTGTAATATCAATTAAAAAATATATGTTATGTTTATGCAGATCCTACAGCGCATGATCAAGTACTGTACGCACGGCAACAGCGGCGCCGACGACTGCGGCCGCCCGCGCCGCCACGAGCAGCGCCTGCTGCGCAACATCGGCGTGCACAACATCGTGCTGGACTTGCTGCAGGTCGGTCGCGCGCGGTGCATACCACTGCGCTTAGTGCGAGCTTTTTAACGTTCTCGATAGCGTAAAAGTTAACTGGTGGTAGGAGCTCTTGTGAGTCTGCACGGGTAGGTACCACCACCCTCCTGTTTCTGCCGTGAAGCAGTAATGCGTTTCGGTTTGAAAGGTGGGACAGCCGTTGTAACTATATTGAGACTTTAGAACTTATATCTCAAGATGGGTGGCACATTTACGTTGTAGATGTCTATGGGCTCCAGTAACCACTTAACACCAGGTGGGCTGTAAGCTCGTCCACCCAAATAAGCAATAAAAAAAAATTGTAGGTAGTTGGAACGCTTGCCTATGTTTGCCGCTAGGGGCGCTGTTCCAACTCCATGAGTCAACTTTTACGCTAACGAGAACGTTAAAAAACTCGGACTAAGCACACAAAACACCTCATCCAATGGTGGAATTGTTATCAGATTGTAACGAAGGTATCTGTTGTCGCAAATCAAGGTTTGAGGTCGAACCCTACCAATCCGTCACAAATTAAACTCAACAATTTTTTTCCGAACCCAGGTGCCGCACGACGAGGACGACGCAGCGATGGACGAGCTGCTGTCGCTAGCTCACGAGTTCCTCCAGCACTTCTGCCACGGAAACCAGCAGAACCAGACGATCCTCCACAAACACCTCGACTTGTTCCTCAACGCGGGAGTAAGTATGTCACCGTCGCGGCACAGATCTATCAACAACAACAGTACAATATTGGTGTTGCTGTATTTTGTTGGTTATTTATTTATAAAAAATAAAAAATAGTTTAAAAAAACTAAAAAATTACGCTTTTTTTATAATAAAATCATTTTTTGTTATACTATTTTTAATTCAAATTTATGAATTTTTTATTTTCTATTTTTAGTTGGATTTTCTATAAAAGCGTATTCTTTTTAGCTTTTTTAAATTATTATTTATTTTTCATTTTTTAGTTGAATTTCAAATTTTTTTTATATTGAATTGTCATCGGTCCTTAATAAGTATGCGAAATTTCGAGTTAATCCGACGTTTTGAAGGGGGTCAAAATCATGTTCAAAGATCCCGTTACATACTAACATACATACTTCTGAAGCTAATAAAAGCGTATTAAAAAAGGAAACTTAATGAAACGAAATGAAATTGGTATTTGTGATCCGTATCCTTGTTATGTTAGCTAAAAAGACAAAGAATCGTGCGATTCATAGCTGTTATCGTGGGATACGGCACCGCTGCGACATTGTCATTGTCAATGTGTGGTGGACCCAGATCCGAGAGGCGCAGACGGTCTGCGCGATCTTCAAGGACAACGCGTCGCTGTGCGGGCACGAGGGCAACGAGAAGGTGGTGGCGCACTTCGTGCACTGCGTGGAGTCCCGCGGCAGGAAGCCCGACTACCTGCGCTTCCTGCAGACCATCGTCCACGCCGACAAGCAGTACATACGGAAGAGCCAGGACTTGGTCATGCAAGAGGTGTGCAACACAACTCTTACTTAATTAATTTGATCGACTCCTTAAAGGGACCTCGTTCTGCATAGAACTAGAAATATAATTTTTGAAATTCTTAGATAATAGTTTTATGCAATATGTAACAATTCATTTATATTGAATTAAGTTTTTTCTGTTTATGTAAAAATTTCTGCTATTATTTATCATTTTGGATACATAGAGTATATTATTTGCTTACTTTTTTTATGTAATACAAACAAATATGCATAATTACATACTTGCTTTACGTAGCACTAAATGTTACTCGCGGCTATGCTCGTGTGGTTACAGAAAATTGTCGGTATAGTGTCCCGTATGAATGAGACGTTTTTTTCGGGATCCAAGGTGCCCTGTGTCACCATCTTAGCCTAAAACTGTCATTTTAAAGAATCACGTCAGTCCATTGCGTCGTTTCCACGTGAAAAAAGGACAAACAAACACACTTTCACATTTATAACATGAATATATGGATATATGAATTTCTTCGTTGTTTCATCACAGATGGTGAACGCCGGCGAGGATGTCTTGGTCTTCTACAATGACAAAGTTTCGTTCAATTACTTCATACAGATGATGAAACAGTACAAAGAAAAAGGGGAAATGCCCGAAGCTCTTACGTGAGTGGATACCCTGTGTTACTAATACTAGATCACATACTACTACTTCAGAGAATCTTGAGATGCTGTAGTCTAAATCGGATTTACATATCGCCTTTTCGAATTAAAAGCGTACAATTTCCAAAAATATTCGAAATTGACTTAATATGGGTAAACATTTGGTATCACCAGTATTTTTCTCATAAATACCGTCAAAAGAGCGTAGTTTAGTTTTCGTTTTTTTTTAGCTTTCGCTATGTTTTGGCTACTATTAACAAAATTAATACATACTTTTATCTTGCTTTAATAGACAGATATTGTAACTGATAAAAAAAATGTTGCAAATATGATTAATATTAAAAACATCATATTTATGTTAAACCTATAAAACACTCTCACTCTACAAAATTAGTAAGTTTTGAGATTATACGGTTTTAATGCGAGAAGACGATATCATTCATATACTGAGACCTTAGAACTTTATCTCAAGGTAGGTGACGCATTTACGTTGTAGATGTCTATGGGCTACAGTAACCACTTAACACCAGGTGGGCTGTGAGCTCGTGCATCCATCTAAGCAATTAAAAAAACTAAGATTTGGGAAGACCACGTAACAATTAAACAAAGCCAACTGAAATTAACGCCATTTTTAAATATATTCATTAACACTATTGAACTTATCGTCTCATACTACACTATAATAATACCCTATCTATGTAATAAAGATTTTATCTATATACTAATATATAAATTTACAGTAGTTTTTACGGATGTTCCGTTATAACTACTGAACCATGCATCCCATTGACTTGAAACTTGGTATCCATGTAGAAAATACATGTACTTAATGCATAGGTAAATATTTATATGAGTGTTGGACTTCCTACACCAGTTGCGGGGACGTTAATGATGAGAATGTTTGTAGGGGTGAGAAATACTAATGTTAATTTTAAATGCCCAGCGAAGCGGACGGGTACAGCTAGTATATGTAATAAAGATAATTCATTTTGTTAGCTTATCTTTGACGACACGAACAGTTCTGTATTGAATGTGGGCTTGATAGTAACATGGTTGAATTCACCACCAGATACCACATCCAGCTCGTGAAGCTGCTGACGTGCTGCACCATGGGGAAGAACGTGTACACGGAGATCAAGTGCCACTCGCTGCTGCCGCTGGACGACATCGTGTCCGCCATCACCAACCCGCACTGCATCCCCGAGGTGACGACTGCCGACTGGGAACCTTAGCTTGAGGGCAGACGACCGTGTATCTTTTGTCCAGCACGGTTTATTTATTTATCTTTTCAATTATCTGCAACATATCCAGGGGTTAAAAACTATTTGGACTTTTTGGCGGGAACGCGAGGAGTGAAGTTGTGTGATTTGTTTTATTTTGTCTATTTAGTGTTTTTTCAGGTTTAAATGTGTAATAACGGTGGTTTAATAACTGATTAATATCTATGAAACTGCACAAATGTGGGAAAATCAAACAAAACTGCTGGACGTAACTTCTCGCGTTCCTCCAAGAAGTCTATTGAAAAAAGGCCCGTTAAATGACCACCATTTTACTGATATTTATTTCATCATTCAAAACTTCATAAAATTGTCTAGACATGGATTTCCAAGCAAAATTAAAACTACACATGACAACTGAATGTAATTATGTTTAGGTGAAAGAAGCGTACGTGGGCTTCCTGAACCACTGCTACATCGACACGGAGGTGGAGATGAAGGAGATCTACAGCAGCAACTACATGTGGGACCTGTTCGAGCGGTCCTTCCTGCAGGACATGCACGCCATCCTGCAGAGCGGCGCCGCCTGTGAGCACCCGCTTTATTACTGAACCACAAGGACAAAAGAATGATTATTTGAATTTTTAGTACGAGTCAATATTATAACCTATATTATAACTATATTATAACAATATTATAACCTATGGCTACCGGACCACATAGGTAAATTCCGTTCCGCATCCCGAAATATGAGCTTGAGTTTTATCAGATCATGAACCAAGAACATGTGACTGTGACAGAACTACGCGCGACTAGGTAATGCGACTGGACCTCATGTCCGAGGTGTACAGCTACTATTCAGTGGCGTGTGTGGGTTCCGGCTGACCCTCCCCCTCCCCTCCCCCAGGGTCGGACGTGCCGTCGTCGTCGCACAAGCCGTCCACCACCAGCACGCACCGCGCCTGGGTCAACTACGTCACCGACGTGCTCATGCACACCATATGCACGTTCTTCAACTCGCCCTTCAGCGACCAAAGCACAACCGTGCAGGTAACTGTCACTGTCATTGTTTATATACACTCTACATTTAAATTGTATATGTTTTGAGCAAGGATGTTACTGAAACATAAATCGACTGTGGCTTGATGAGTAAGTCTTTATAATTTTACTTGTGGTAGAACCTCTTGTGAGTCCGCACGGGTAGGTACCACCGCCCCGCCCATTTCTGCCGTGAAGTAATGCGTTTCGGCTTGAAGGATGAGGCAGCCGTTGTAACTATACTGGGACCTTAGAACTCATATCTCAAGGTGGGTAACGGCATTTATGTTATAGATGTCTATGGGCTCCGGTAACCACTTAAATTAGGTAGGCCGTGAGCTCGTCCACACATCTAAGCAATAAAAAAATTGTAGATTTGCCTATTTTCTAACAATATTCCCCACGATATTGTCATATAATGTAATCTTCATAATTTCGATTTTGAATTGTGAACCAAAATTGTATCAGTATTTAATAGCCACACTATCACTATTGCAATTTTTATATTAAACACACCCACGTTCTGTCCTAAAAAAGGATCTTTGTTTTTTGCAACTGTCAATAACTATATTAAAAATGGTGAAAACAAACAATTCAGGACAATTTCGTTTATTGAGAGAATAGATAATGATAATGATAGAATAGTATTTAGAACTTGATCAGAAAAGAATGACGAAGTCCCCCAAATCGAATCTGCGCTTGCCAAATCACATTACTAAAACAATCAGATCGCTCTATATTTGTTGTCAAGTAATTATTGTCCTCTGCAATTCACGAAACTTCATAATTATTATGTTATTCTCCTATGCTACCGCTGGACCTGGAATACGACTGCGTGAGTGTTAAAACATCTATTAATTCCGTAAATCGGACCACATATTTGAATCCTGTACTATTATTACACATATTGGCATTCTAATATTGATATTCAGATACAAGTAATGCCATCTGTCGTCAAATAGCAAAAAATGGAAATCTAAACTACTAGTAATATCGAAAATATTTCAGAGAGTTGTAGATATATACGCCGCAGAGACGACATTAAGGTAGTTAGTATTACTCAGTGCTACTTGAAGCGGAATAGCAGAAGGATTGTCTACTTACTAGCGCACAACAATATCTATACCATTCTGTGCTTATTTCTGCCGCGAAGAAGTCGTGTGTTACTTTTCGAAGCTAAGCTAAAACGTTGCTTGCAGACCCGTCAGTCGATCTTCGTGAAGCTACTTCAGACGACGTTCAGTATATACCAGTGCCCGTGGCTCACGCCGCCGCAGAAGCTGAACGTGGAGAAGTGTATACGGACGCTCAGCGAGGTCGGTGAGTTGCAGCAGCCTCCCCTCCGGGAAACCTGGTCGTCGACGTGTCCAAGACAATACCTCCAACGCTCAGCGCAGATTTTCATTGTTAATTAGTTTCCAATTATTATACTGTATATATACAGGCTGACTGGTTGAAAACTTTATATATTCAAGGACATGATAATTCATGGCCATATGAAGAAATACAAATGAACGTGTACAGAGAAATCCTTCATTAAATTAATTAGTTAAAGTTTAAAATTACTGGACACCGCTCGGCGTCCGCGCGCGTTTTGTTTCGAGGCTGAATGGGTGCGCAGGGTGGGGGTGCGCGGGGGTTTGAGGCCCCGCCCGGCGGGTGAGAGCAGGGTCGCATCCAATCAGTGCGCCGCGTTCAATTGATGCCACGATTTTTTTTATGGGATTTTATGACCTGGTCACTAAGACCTTTAAGTCAAGTATTATTTTAATTTGAAAACTTTTTTATATTAAAAATTATATTATGAAATGAAATGAAAACAAAATGAGATGAGATGATATTATGGGATGAAATATAATCTCAGTAAAATGGTGCTCATTTACTGAGACTTTTTCAGTGGACTTTTTCAAATACCCCGAGAAGTTACGTTCAGCGGCTTTGTTTCATTTTCCCACATTTGTGCATTTTCACAGATACTAAACAGCTAATAAACCACCGTTATTAGTTATTACACATTTAAACCTTATAAAACACTAAATAGACAAAATAAAACAAATCACACAACTTCACTCCTCGCGTTCCTGTCAAAAAGTCCGATGCCGCGATCGTCGACCGGTGTAAAGAAAACAAGCACCTTGTCGCGTGACCGGCTAATCCGTTACAACACGCGCGCGGCGCGAGTGACCACGCTTATTGTTTTTAGTAGATAATCTATATATATAAAAATGAAACCCGTTTTCCGTTGTCACGACATAACATGAAAACGGCTTGACCGATTTGGCTAATTTTGATCTTGAATTATTTGTGGAAGTCCAGAGAAGGTTTAAAAGGTATAAAAATATGAAAATTCTCGGAATTAAATAAAAATAACAATTTTGTTTTCCCTTTGACGTGTCCCCCGTCGGACGGATTCCTTTTGTTTGTTTTAAGTTTATTGTATATAAAAGTTTACGTCTTTTATTTATCGATTGAGGCACTACGAAGTCTGCCGGGTCAGCTAGTTAAAGATAAATTAAGCAAATATTAGGCATCTACTTTTTTTGCTTAATTAGAACGAGAATCGAGTACTGAGCACTCTATATCAATATGTAAAGTGTTCAGCCAGTCAACCTGTATAACTAATATTGGATAAGAATCCTGGAAGGTAGGAAACTTTTTAGAATGTTATCCTGCCGTATCCGACGTGCATGCTTAATGGCAATAAAGTCTACAATAAGTTGAATATCAAATCGTAAGAATAAAAGGGATCGCAATGTGCAGCCCAAATATTTATACTACTGCACATTGCGAAAAACGTCCTACCGGTATCTCTGTCTTGCCTACCGCACGGGTAGGTACCACCACCCCGCCTATTACTGCCGTGCAGTAGTAATGCGTTTCGGTTGGAGGGTGGTGTGGTCGTTGTCAGAGCTGAGATTTAGAACTCATGTATCAAGGTGGTTTTACACTGGTGGTAGGACATCTTGTGAGTCCGCACGGGTAGGTATCACCGCCCCGCCTATTTCTACCGTGAAGCAGCAATGCGTTTCGGCTTGAAGGGTGGGATAGCCGTTGTAACTATACTGAGACCTTAGAACTTATATCTCAAGGTGGGTGGCGCATTTGCGTTGTAGATGTCGATGGGCTCCATAAACCACTTAACACCAGGTGGGCTGGTGGGTAGTGGTTGATCTCCACCTATTATACCATAAAAATGATTTTTGACAGCAAAATCTCGCAGTATCGCGATCCCGCTGGAGCTCGAGGCTAAAATACAGACCGTGTTCGAGAAGGCCGCCGCGCTGTCCCGTCAGACCAGCAAGTGGCTGCAGGCCTCGAAGACCTCGAAACTTGAGAAGATGGCTTCGCAGGTGCGTTTCTTAAACACGAGTCATTGTTTACCCGAAACCTTTCCTGGGGCGGGGCGTGGTAGGTGACCGCACGTTCAAATTTAATTTTCAGAGATTTCGTATTATAGAAAATGTTTTTTTTTATTGCATATATGGGTGGACGAGCTCACATTCCACCCGGTGTTAAGTGGTTACTGGATCCCATAGACATTACAACGTAAATACGCCACCCACCCTGAGACATAAGTTCCAAGGCCTCAGTGTAGTTACAACGGCTGCCCCACCTTTCAAACTGAAACGAATTACTGCTTCACGGCAGAAATAAGTAGAGTGGTGGTACCTACCCGCGCGGATTCTCAAGAGGTCCTACCACCAGTAATTACGCAAATTATAATTTTGCGGGTGTGATTTTTATTACAGGATGTTATTCCTTCACCGTGGAAGTCAATAGTGTACATTTGATAAGTACGTATTTCATTAGAAAAATTGGTACCCGCCTGAGGTTCGAACACCGGTGCATCGCTCAACACGAATGCACCGGACGTCTTATCCTTTATGCCACGACGACTTCAGTTATTGTTGTTAAAATAGTGTCGCGTGTTGGCAGTTGAACTTGCAGAACGATAGGTCGGTGATGGAGGGTCTGCAGGAGATCGTGTCCCTGCTGGAGGAACAGCTCCGGCCGCTGCTGCAGGCGGAGCAGTCGCTCCTCGTGGACATCCTGTACAAGCCGCACCTCCTGTTCACCAGCCCCGCCCAGCCCGACGCCAGCGGGATCTTTATATCACGGTAAACGCTGACACAAATAAACGTGTAGTTATTCTTATTGTTTTACTAGCTTTTGTCCGCGACTTCGTTCACGTGGAATAGTTCACAAATAATGCTTTATTTTAGAACAAATTTGGTTAGCATAAAAAGCGTTATAGTGAGCCAACCTTAAAATATAGACATATGCTGTCGCGGACTTTTATTTAGATCTTTTAAAGGGGAACAATTCTGTCATACATTATTTTAGCGAAACTTTAACCGTTTCTGCAGCGCACGCAGCGGAAGCTCTCAAAAGGGAAAAAACCTCGATTTTGACATATTCTTTATTGGTGTTCCGCTTGTATTGATCTTAGCGTTATGTTATATAGCCTTCCTGAATAAATGGGCTATCTAATACTGAAAGAATTTTTCAAATCGAACCAGTAGTTCCTGAAATTAGCGCTTTCAAACAAAACTCCTCAGCTTTATATTATTAGTATAGATTGACCGTTCCTATGAGGTTTCCGGAGGACAATACAACCAACCATAATAACCTCACCATAAACCTCACAATTGCGTGTATTATGTGTCACAACATTCCCCAAAGTAGATACAATTTCGACCACAAAGATAGGTATTTCGAAAAAAATGAAAAAAAAAATCATTGTTTTATTCTCAGATTAATACGTCACACCGAGAAGCTTCTAGAAGAAAAAGAAGAAAAACTGTGCGTGAAAGTCTTACGCACGTTGAGAGAGATGATGGCCGTTGACCCGGAATATGGCGAGAAGGTATGCTTCAGCTGGTACAGCGCACAAATTAATCATCGAAAACCATCAAAAGTACCATCAACAAAAAAAAATGTTTGATGGATGCTCTATGCATTTCCTTGTTCCGCCTTGTTTGACGGGAACACGAGTAGTGAAGTTATGTGATTTGTTTTATTTTGTCTATTTAGTGTTTCTTCAGGTTTAAATGTGTAATAACAGTGGTTTATTAACTGTTTAGTATCTATGAAAGCGCACAAACGTGAGAAAATGTAACAAAGCCGCTGGACGTAACTTCTCGGGATCCCCCAAAAAGTCCACTGAAAAAGTCTCAGTAAATGACCATCATTTTACTGAGATTATATTTCATCCCATATCATCTCATCTCATTTCATTTCACTCCATATTACCATTTTTCATAAAAATAAGAATATAAATTAAAATAAGACATGACTTAAAGGTCTTAGTTACCAGGTCATAAAATACATTTAAAAAAACAATTTGTCGTCAGGGCAACCAACTGAGGAACAAGTTGCTGTCTCAATATTTCGTGAACCGCAAGTCCGAGCCGAAGGTGCAGCCCCCGCCGCCCCCCGCCCCCGCCACGCACGGGCCCGGCGGTGAGCACCCGACAACCTAACAATACACTAGAATGTTTAGTTTAAAAATATGCATACAATAACAATATTAGGTACATGTCGACGCTTGAAAGGCAAATGTGACTAAGCGACAATGCGTGAACTTTACAGTAGACTAATTTAAAGTTGAAATACCTGACAAAAAAATCTATTTTAACGAATCTAGCTGTAGGATTGAAATGATTTTAATAGACCTAGAAATATATTTTTTTTGCGCATCGAAAATTGTTATTACCTATTGTATAAAGCAGTTATTGTCGCTTAGTCACGTTTGTCTTTCAAGCGTCGATATGTATGTCCGGTACTAACACCTTGGTTCAAGTACAGACATTACAATGAAACTATTGAAAAATTTTGGGTTTTTTTTGTGCTTATGGTATTGCAGGGGTACACGGTCATCACTTACAATCGTATTACGTAACTGCCTAGCGAAAGTCTGTAACGTTAACAGATGTGAGGTACTAAGGTCGACCTATTTAAATAAACAACTTCAAATCGCGTCTGGCAATACCACTGTCAGTGACCTACCAAGCAAGCCTTTCTCACAAAAGACCGAAATAATTGTTTTTATCATTTAAAAAAAAAAAAAACATGCATATTTTTAAACTAAAACAAAATTCGGCAAACATCTAACGTGATCTAGTTTGCACAATACTTAGATGTAGCTAATCGAATCAATTAGGAAAATTAATTAGTAATAAAGTTTCTTCGATTCCTTTGACTATAGAAAATTACGTAAGTCTTAAAGAAAATATTTTATTACAAGAAAAAAATCACGTCACTAATTCTTAATGATATTTTTTAACAAAAGTAAATGAGTAATGGAACAAAAACTAGACGGCACATACAGTAATGGATCGTGTAGAAATACTATCGTTTTTTTTTTTTTTAATTGACAACATGCATGCCCTCCAGATAAACATCATCAACAGCTGAAGCCAGGTGGGTGGTGTGCCGAGCGAGGGCTCTCTGTGTTGTCGCCAGAACCATACAGTCGGATATTTGACTAACTAAAAGCAAAATATGAAACAATAACTAATAGTCGAAATCGGATGTCTGTGTCAAACTTAACATTAATGGCCTTAATTAATATATTGTTTATAGTTCTTACACTAATAATATAATAATTTGGTTTATAGTGATTACATAAAAACACTATGTAATGACTATTTTTAATATGTAGTGTGTTTGATTAAATTTCTTATTAGATATTGAAACAATGTATTTTTGTATGAAAAATAATATATGTTCAATAAATAAATACTTAAAGATTTTGTAATCTATGAGAATCTAAAAGAGTATTACATAAAGTTGGAGATACAATAATAATATATTTAATAAATTCGTAGATAAATAGAAAGTAGCCCGCTAATGAAATGTCAGTGTTAAAACGAAGGCCGTTAAGTACAGATTGGCTCGACAAACAACACAATAACTGCTTTCTTGTGCACAAGTCAGATTAAAGCAAAATTTGAATTAATCTTTTGACCAGTCAAATATTCGATGTTATGGTTCAGATTTGCAGCTGTTTTGCTTGTTAACCACCCCATTATAATATATAGCATCCCCTTGTTTGATGTAACAGTACAGTATACTACAGTGTTTTGGAAAAGTAACAAAATATATTATTTTAGCACGCGTCGTAGGTAGTCGTTCGCCTTATAATGCCCGATCGCCATCTTGACTATTTCTCTTCCGTCCCTTTCTTACCCATGCATTCATCCCTTTCACTCGAAACGTTCCGTTTCCCACAACGTTACGTTTATTTTGAACAATACAGGATAAGGAAAATTGTCACAAACGTTTTTGTTTTTAAAAAACAATGTTATTCAAGTGTCGTGGCATGTAATGTTCTCACAGCTCCAAATTAAAATGTACAACAATTTCGCTGAAGCTAAATGTTTTCTAAAATATAAATAACATAAAAACTATATTTAGGACCGCATGTTAAATCTGTAATTATCAAAGTAATGAGACACTCTATTAATATATCGAATAAGAGCTTGCTCGTTGTCTGTTTATTTGTAAAAAAATGCACTTACCGCTGCCTGTTGCAAAAGCTATTTGTAATAATAATATTCGATATTCAATCGAGATTAATTCGAGATTAAATGAAGTTTATTACACGATACAGCTAAGGTCTTGATGCGGACCGGCCAAACTCTGGCGCAAGTCCAAGCACACCTGGACAAGGAAGGCGCCTCTGACCTGGTCGTGGACCTCGTCATCAAAAGCACCAACCGCCCCGCCATATTCCTTGAGGCCATACAGCTGGGTAAGTTCACGTAGTCTCTTTAAATCTATACTAATATTATAAAGCTGAAGAGTTTGTTTGTTTGAACGGAACTACTGATCCGATTTTAAAAATTCTTTCAGTGTTAGATAGCCCATTTATTGAGGAAGGCTATAGATAGGCTATATAACATCACGGTAAGACCAATACAAGTGAAACACCAATAAAGAATGTTTCAAAATAAGGGTCTAAATAGTTCCTTAACATTCTAAAATTCAAAAATATTTTCACTTTTACGTAAATGAAGCGGGAGTAAAATTTAGCGTCATGCCTAAGTAACTATTCGACGCGGACGGAGTCGCGGGAAAAAGCTAGTCTTTGAATATCACTTATAATAATTTAATAATATCGATAATAAAAATCAAACCCGCACAAAATCTAATTTCCGTAATTACTGGTGGTGATAAGATCTCTTGTGAGTCCGCACCGGTAGGTACCACCACCCCGCCTATTTCTGCCGTGAAGCAGTAATGCGTTTCCATTTGGAGGGCGGGATAGCCGTTGTACTGTAAAAACGGACACTTGAAACTCATGTCTCATGGAGGGTGACTTCATTAATGATGTTGATGGTGACCACCGTTGACCACCTAACACCAGGAGGGCCGTGAGCCCGTTCGCTAATCTAAGCCAGTAAACAAAATTTTAAAAACCCAATGAATATAACAGATTTATAATGATATAATTGTAATTAGAACTACTATTACGGTTTAATCTCGCGTTTCGCCCACAACCAAAGAAAGACCTTGGCTCATCAAGAATTTCCGTAAATAAACGAACATCTAAAGCCATGCTATTAGGTTCCTGTTAAAACTGGCCGTCAGGGACAGGAATGTGGACAATGGTAGTGAGAATGACGCGCATTGATGGAGGTCCTTGAAAACACCCCTAGGTCGCACGCAAGTCGACTGGAATTCTCCAGATAATGTACAGCTGGGGTATAGCTCGCTTTTCCCCCAGCCCTATTTCTGTGGTAACGATATATTGGATGCGGAATCGCTACCTACTGTGGAGACTTCGATCGATTAATAGAGCTGAATGCAAGTTAAATATCTATATTTCCAATCCAATATATATGTTAATCGATTTTTCTAGGAATCGCTCTTCTAGAAGGGGGCAACCCTATAATACAGCAAAGCATTTACACTAAACTACAAAACGGAGAAATATCTCAAGCATTTTTGAAGGTAACTTCATTTATTCATTCACCTATCTATATATTAATACGTGAAGCAAAAACGTTGTATCCCTTTTTACGAAAATGGCGTAGACGGAGGAGTATGACATTTTCCACACTTATAGAGAATATAGAGAAGTGCACAATGCTAATATTTTTTTAAAATAATGCGTAAAAGATACATTGAATCAATAAAGAAAACATTACACACACTACATACCATGTATTTGACGCACACACGCATGCATACTATTTATTGTCAAACTTTTGTTCTTGACGTCTGTGGTCAAATTGGGAATAGATTAAATATTGTTTGTCTTTGTTAATTTTTTTATAGAGTAGGTTTGGCGAAATTTGTGATTATAGAAGTATAAAATACAATCATGATAGTGTACAAACTTACAATTCCAATTAATTATTATAGTCGAATTTCGACTACTGTGGGATCTCTAGTACATATTATTATTATATCTTGTCTTGTCTTGTCTTGTCTTGTGAGTCCGCACGGGTAGGTACCACTACTCTGCCTATTTCTGCCGTGAAGCAGTAATGCGTTTCAGTTTTACGTTTACAATACGTTATAGATGTCTATGAGCTCAACCACTTAACACCAGGCGAGTCGTCATCTAACCCACCTGTCTAAGCAATTAAAAAAAAATATCTTACGTTAATTGAAAAGATAATTGTTCCACTGTTCGCAAACGATTTCTTAAAGTTTAGTAACCAGGCAGGACTCTTAACAGAATTAATCTAATCATTCTCATTCTCACCAGGTGTTCTATGATAAAATGCGTGAAGCACAACAAGAGATCAGGTCGCTCGCGGCCAGCAGCACCACCGCCGCCGGCGCCGACAAGCAGCGGGCCCCGCACGCGGACGCCAAGAAGCCGCTTGAAAACGGTAACTCCTCGACCTCAACCAACGTATGGGCGAGCTCACAGCCCACCTGATGTTAAGTGGTTACTGGAGCCCATAGACATCTACAACGTAAAGGCGCCACCCACCTTGAGATATAAGTTCTAAGGTCTCAGTATAGTTATAACGGCTGCCCCACCCTTCAAACCGAAACGCATTTCTGCTTTACGGCATAAATAGGCAGGGTGGTGATATCTACCCGCGCGGACGCACAATAGGTCTTACCACCAGTATACACCAGTAGTGTCTATAGGTTTTTAGCGACATTCACGTTATGATATTTTCGATAAACACCTAACACCTAAACCTATCTGGTCTCAGTCCCGGAGTCCATAGACATCGACAACGTAAATGCTGTCATACACCTTGAGACGTGACTTTTTAATCTTGTTTTTACAGTATGGTGTGGGGGTACCTACCTGTGTGGACTCACAAGAGGTCTTACCACCAGTGATTACGCAAATTATAATTTTGCGGGTTTGATTTTTATTACACGATTATATTCATTCATCGTGGAAGTCATTCTTGAACATTTGTTTAGTACGTATTTCATCAGAAAAATTGGCACCTGTCTGCGGGATTTGAACACTCCGTGCATCGCTACATACGAATGCACCGGACGTCTTATCCTTTAGGCCACAACGACTTCTATATTCGTCTTTATTGCTTCAGGGGTGAAGTCGAGTCCGGGGCCGCTGGTGGTGGGCGAGGAGATGGATGAGGAGGTGAACAGCGCGTGCGGCACCGCGGTGCACGCCTACTCCGACGTGCACACCATATCGCACGGTAACTGTCGCCCGCGCCGGACCGGGTGTAGACCCTCGTGCCGCTCTTGCTAGGGCAGATCTTAGCAAATACACAGGCCCCGTGAGCCCAATAACAAAAAGGAAGCCCCTGGAGGCTACCGTAAGATAAATGACAAAAAAAAAATGGCTTCCCTACTTTTTGTTTTGTTTTATTGCTTAGATGGATAAATGAGCTTACAGCCCACCTGGTGTTAGGTAGTTACTGGAGCCCATAGACATCTACAACGTAAATGCGCCACCCACCTTGAGATATAAGTTCTCAAGTAAGGTAAGGTAAGTAAGGTCTCAAGTATAGTTACAACGGCTGCCCCGCCCTTTAAACCGAAACGCATTACTGCTTCACGACAGAAACAGGCAGGGTGGTAGTATCTACCTGTACGGACTCACAAGAGGTCCTACCACCAGTTGAGCTACTATTTTCAAATGGGGCGGATACTCTTGTTGAATCATTTTATTTTTATTTTTTATTTTCATTATATTTTGTACACACAGTTGTTAGAAGAAACACGACAATAAGGATACAGAGTACAAGGGCACTACTTATTTTACGTTGAAATCTCTTCTAGTAGTTTATTTTATTTTATTTCTTTTTCTTTTACTTTATTATATATAATACTTTATTTTATAATATTTTTATATCATATCATATCTCAGACACCAGCAACTCATGCTCCACTCATTTAATTACTAGATTGTATTTAGATACAGAGAGATAGACATAGATACATCCAGCAGTAACGCGAGGTCTGCGCCCGCAGGTAGCACGGCGCTGGAAGAGATCATGTGCGAAAAGAAGCGGGAGTCCAGCAACTCGGACGTGCTGCCCCCCAAGGTGGCCGTCATGAAGCCCATACTCCGCTTCCTCCAGCTCTTGTGTGAAAACCACAACCCTGATCTACAGGTCATTATAATAAATAATAATAATAATATTTATTCAAGCCTCTTAAAATACAAACACGTACAAGAATTCTTAACACCAGTATAATAATATACATGGCTTTTTTATGAGGTATACAATAACAATATTCCCTGACTTTTATGCTAGGAAAACCTGTGACTATGACTATTATGACTGTGACTCTCCTATTGAACCTTGATGCGTCTGCAGATTTTTCAAGTTAATCCTGCTTCTTGAAGTTAGTAAGAATTATATTTAAAAACTATTAAATAGATAGATCCTGTTATCTACCATGATGACCGATGGCAACACTCTAACGCTTTGACCGTCCTGACCAGCAAAACATTAAGATTTAGAAAATTATTATCATAATTTTTAGTTTGACTTAATCTAAAAAAAACATGTTATTTTAGATTTAGTCTCTATATCTAAAAATGAATTGCTGTTCGTTAGTCTCCCTAAAACTCGAGAATGGCTGGACCGATTTGGCTAATTTTGGTTTTGAATTATTTGTGGAAGTCCAGAGAAGGTTTAAAAGGTAGATAAATATGAAAATGCTCGGAATTAAATAAAAATAACAATATTGTTTTTCCTTTGATGTCAGACCCCATCAGACCGATTCCTTTTGTTTGTTTTAAGTTTATTTTATACAAAATTATAGGTATTTGTTAATCGATTGAGGCACTACAAAGTCTGCCGGGTCAGCTAGTAAGAACTAAATTTACTCGGATTTTTTCTGTTGTACAGAACCTACTAAGAAACCAAAACAACAAATCGAACTACAACCTCGTGTCGGAGACGTTGATGTTCTTGGACTGCATCTGCGGCTCTACGACCGGCGGCCTCGGACTCCTCGGACTCTACATCAACGAGGGGAACGTCTCCCTTATCAACCAGACGTTGGAAACTCTTACTGAATACTGTCAAGGTGATCCCGCAACACGCGTCTCATAGGAATCAGTTCCTTGTGTACTGATTAAGTCTTTTCAAGATTTCTGAAGTGAAACTTCTTTAAGCGAGTTGAAACTAATATTCGTTACGGCTTGAGAGAAAAGATACAAGTTAGGGCGAGCAAGAGTGAGACAATAGACAAAGCGTCTCGCGAACCACTCGACCGTGGAGAGAGGGAAAAGACAGCGATCTAGGTCGTTTCTCTTGCATTCCCTGTTATAAGAGAAATTTGATTTAAGGATGAAACATGATAAAAATCACAGGCCTACATACCGCAAAAGAAGTTTCACTTCTGTCACGTGCACCAAGTTGCACGCGCGCCTCTTTTTATATAAAGGGTGTGTCTTTTTTACAAAACATGGAAAGCTAAATTTGAAATCTAAAAAAGAATTGTATAAATACTTTCTTATTACTCTATACTCTTTTTCAAGCTCGATTGTAATCAAAACTGAAGCAAATACTTCTTAATCTATGTTCCTAGTCAGGATTCAATCTCGTTGATATAGAAAAAAGAACACTATTATTACACAAATAAGACTCATTTCTGTGGCAGTAAACTTATTTATTGCGTTGTAATTGCAAAAGAACTTTTCTTCATATATTTTATTTATTAAATCTGTGCAACATGAGACAAATGTACAACCTACTGGTGGACCTCTTGTGAGTCCGCGCGGGTAGGTACCGCCGCCCTGCCTATTTATGCCGTAAAGCAGTAATGCGTTTCGGTTTGAAGGGTGAAGCAGCCGTTGTAACTATACTGAGACCTTAGAACTTATATCTCAAGGTGGGTGGCGCATTTACGTTGTAGACGTCTATGGGCTCCAGTAACCACTTGGCACCAGGAGCTCGTCCATTCATCTCTGCAATAAAAAACAAAAAAATAATAACATGTGTGCAATTCACACGTGTTAGAAGTGAAACCTTCAAAAATTAAAATATAATTATCATAAATGTCTAAGTACATATATTATTAGTAAAATTTTGTTATTAGTAAATAATTGTAAATCACCTTTTATAGTATGAGGTAGCGCCCTCTGTGAATTGATATTTTAACTTCACGTATATCCTAAATTAAAATTCACTACAAGAGGTTTCATACACACGTTACTATTAAAACATCTCACAGATGGCGCTGCATTAAAAATAACATACTTTATACGTATGTTTTAAAGTATGTAGGAACTGAGCGTTCTGTCTCACTTTTTCTCTCGATCTTTCTCACTTGCTTGCTCCCTACTCTCACTCCATGGCTAGTTGCTTCATGCTACGTTCGCCCTGTCTTACTCTCTCTCAATCGGTCTCGATCGCTCTCTCTCTCTTTTTCGACACTTCCGTTGAATATCTGCGTGACGTTACATCTGTAAAAATTTTACCCTCATGCGCCTAAAGAAGTTTCACTTCAAAAACACGAGCCTTATTCATAGATTTTTGTATATAACTTAATCGTCGTGTGGAGCGACCTTTATTTACATTTTAATGTTATTATTAATTTATTTGTTCAATTATTTAATCGTATATTAATGACAGATTGAGTTATTGTGCAATAATTAATGATTTTCTAATTTATAAATGTGTGGTTTTGATTCTACATGAATGTTCATACACAGTGGAAGTTGTTTATGAATTTTCTATATCAGTACACATTTAGAAAATTTGTCGTCACAAGTGCGCCGAGCGTCTCGCCTGTTAGGCCACCGACTCCTCGTGAAGTCTGAGTGTAATTAAATATGCAATTTCGAGAAGGGCACATCTCTGAAAATGTAAAATGTTCAGGAAATGAAAAAAACCCTGATTATTTTCTAAAGCAGTGTAAAATTTAAAATAATAACTTTTGATTTATATTTTAGTGTTAATTAGCAATTGAAAATTACTGGAATTATTATAAAACGGGTGTAGGTAAGCCTCAAAACTACATGTATATGAAAAAAACGTAATTGACAGAATATGCGACATGTGCCCTTTTCGAAATTGCATATTTTTTATTTTATTTTATTGCTTAGATGGGTGAACGAGCTCACAGCCCACCTGGTGTTAAGTGGTTACTGGAGTCCATAGATATCTGCGCAAATGCGCCATCCACCTTGAGATATAAGTTCTAAGGTCTCAAGTATACCTACAACGACTGCCTCGCCCTTCAAATCGAAACGCATTACTGCTTCACGGCAGAAATAGGCAGGGCGGTGATACCTACCCGCGCGGACTTAAAAGAGGTCCTACTACCTATTTGCCGGCCGTCTGGTGTAGTGGTAAGTGACATGGTCACTACACAAGAGGGTCGCGGGTTCGAATCCCGCCAAGGGAAGATATTTGTGTGATAAATAAAAAATATCTTTTCCAGGGTCATGGATGTATATTAAATATAAGTACGTGTATAATAAAAATCTTACATTTTAATCTTACAAATTAATCTTACTTTCCGTTATCTGGTACCTGTAACACAAGTTCTTTACGAACTTAGCACGGGACCAGTTAACGTGGCGTGATTGTTAGTTAATATTTATATTTATTATATTTAAATTAAGTAAAGAGTTTGTCTCCAGGACCGTGTCACGAAAACCAGAATTGCATAGCGACGCACGAGAGCAACGGGCTGGACATCATCACGGCTCTGATCCTGAACGACATCAACCCGCTCGGCCGGACGCGCATGGACCTCGTGCTGGAGCTCAAGAACAACGCGTCCAAGCTGCTGCTCGCCATCATGGAGTCCAGGAACGACTCCGAGAACAACGCCGAGCGGATATTGTACAATATGAACCCCAAACAGCTGGTCAGTGCAAGGCCTATACGTCTTCTTCTTCCTCTTCCTGGTCGTACACTCTTGACAGTGGGGTCGTGGTCATGCATCAGTCGGATCCTGCGATGCCGATGGCACGATGTTTCGCAGAGTGAGAGCAATCATTTATGTTGAAGTGAGTCACAGATTTTATGAGGTCGGTCCATCGTGTTGGGAGATCGTCCTATACGTCTACGATAACTAAAATTCATAAAAGTTAAATATTTTTATTGGGATGGGAGGGATAGCGGGAGGGCAAACGTGGGCGAAGATCTGTCAGCTCGAGGTATCCCCGGATCGGAATCGTGATCAGCTGAGAGCATCCGGCGAGAAGCTCAGTGCGCTATAATGTTATGGGATATCTAAAAAAATAAGCATAAATTAAGCTCGCCTTTTGTACCTTTGAAATCGTTCCGTTTTCTACAGAACTGAATATACAGATTTAAATTTGATTTCAATTTGTATGTCGTTAAAAGTGCTTATTAAAAATCTTCTACCACCGTTTTCACGAATAGCGTAATTTTGGGACAAATCGGTGAAAGTATTTTTTCTATATTTAAAGTGATATTCTTCCAATTAATATTCGACTATAATCAATGATACCTCAAGCGGTCATCGTTCTCGTCGTACCCGTCGCTTGCGACGAAGGGCTGGCGAATAAATTAACCCACAGACACAGCCCACTGAGTTTCTCGCCGGATCTTCTCAGTGGGTTGCGTTTCCAATCCGGTGGTAGATTCTGCGAAGCACTTCTTTTGCTAGAGCTAGTGTTAGCAACACTCCGGTTTGAGCCCCGTGAGCTCACCTACACGTCAAGGAGAAGCTGAAATAGTCTCTCAAGGCTATTAGCATAGGTAGGGGGAAAAAGGTACCTATAAGGTACGGTACCGTATAAAGGCTTAGTAATTTTCTAACATTTCATTTTTTCATGACAATGGATCTGAATGTGGTTGTGGTCCCAGGTTGATGTTGCGTGCTCAGCCTTCCACCAGGAGCACGGCGCGGACTCGGACTCGGAGAGCGAGGACGACGCGCCCGTGCAGGCCGTCTCCCCCAAGGAAGTGAGTGCACGCTACTGTCCCTCTGTGCAGACTAAAATCAACTCTATTTATGATCTCATAATGACTATTATCATAGAACAATTAACAAATATCATACATAGAACGGGTACCAATTTTTCTAATGAAATACACGTACTTAACAAATGTTCACGATTGCCTTCCACGGTGAAGAAATAATATCGTGTTATAAAAAATCAAACCCGGAAAATTATAATTTCCGTAGTTACGGGTGGTAGGACCTCTTGTGTGTCCACGTGGGTAGGCACCACCACCCTTCCTATTTCTGCTGTGAAGCAATAATGCGTTACAGTTTGATAGGCAGGGCAGCCGGTGTACTGTTAAAAATAAGACCTTAGAATTCATGTCTAAGTTAGGTGGCGGCATTTACGTTGTAGATGTCTATGAGCCCCGGTAACCACTAAACACCAGGTGGGCCGTGAGCTCGTCAACCCATCTAAGCAATAAAAGAATTTACTGCAACGATTTGAAGAAAAGGCAACTGAAAATTCTTGACTGCAATACAATGTACTTACAAAAAACGTATTGCCCCGGGTGAGGATCGAACTCACGACCTTAAGATTATGAGACTTACGCGCTGCCTACTGCGCCACCGAGGCCGGTGTGGGAATGAGTGAAATAGGTCATCGTATCATCGAAATTCTATGTATAGAGTTTTTTTTTTTTTTAAAACAATAGAAAGACACTTTTTTTTTTTGTCTTTACTCTGGGATTCTGAAAAATATATTGTATCTATGGATTAAAAAAAAACTAATAGCAACCTAGACGCTCGCGTCCACGAAAATGTTGAAATATTCGAAAAATCTGAATTATAGATAAAAGACAAGATTAAAACGTGTTTATATTATACTTTATACTTATAATGACATCTACAAACTAGTTCTATTCGATTTCACGTTTCAGGGCGAGTGGCGACATTTACTTGGTCGTTTTTATGAGCTAGCGACTTAATATACCGACTTCGGTTCCCTCTGTATTTTGTACCGCATGTTCCATGGGGAGTGCTCTGAGGAATTGTTCGAGATGATACCAACGTCTCGTTTTTACCATCGCACCGCCCGCCACCGGAGTAGAGTTCATCCGTACTACCTGGAGCTACTGCGGTCATCCACAGTGCGCTTCCAGAGGTCTTTTTTGCCACGCACCATCCGACTATGGAATGAGCTCCCCTCCACGGTGTTTCCCGAGCGCTATGACATGTCCTTCTTCAAACGAGGCTTGTGGAGAGAGAGTATTAAGCGGTAGGCAGCGGCTTGGCTCTGCCCTTGGCATTGCTGAAGTCCATGGGCGACGGTAACCACTCACCATCAGGTGGGCCGTATGCTCGTCTGCCTACAAAGGCAATAAAAAAAAAAGAAAAAAAAAAAGTTGGCCAGCTGTATGTCTAAAAAGCTACCTATGATGCAGTATAATAATATTTTTTATTAATTAAAGACAAATTCCACGCCCCTGTAATGTCGAGACAGCAATCATACAGTAGTGTGAGTCGTGAGATAAGACAGTTTTTTAGCTCTCGTTTGATAAGAATCTAGTATTTACTGTATGTACAGGTCATTCATAAAGTTTATCATTTTACGTTATTAGTGATCTGTCAATGTCATTGTTATCAGTCGATATCCTCGGTGAACTATAGAATTGTATGCATTTTGTGTTAAATGCCGCCACCCTTGACATATAAGTTCTAAGGTCTCAGTATAGTTACAACAGCCGCCCCACCCTTCGAACCGAAACCCATTACTGCTTCACGGGCTCAAGAGGTCCTACCACCAGTACAGTCAATGCAGCCTCATGTCTCAAGGTGGGTGGTGCTAGTCACGTGCTATGCTATGGGTGGTGCTAGTGTGATGTTTGAGCTTCGGTAACTCCTAGAATATTGTGTAGGTGGTGAGGTCGTTAGCTCATCTTGGGCAATAAACATAAAAACTTATATATGTAGGATTGGTAAGAACGGAACGTTAAAATGTGGTGAGAGAAAACGGTAAGAAAGAGATAAGAGAATGACAGAATTACTTTTATTAGCTTCAGAAGTATGTATGAGGCTAATTGAGTCGTCTATTATCAAAGGTGGCAATCTGTGCATTTGGAGACAAAAAAATGTTATTGATATGTCAATACAGATTGATTTGAATATAATCGTCTCCTTCAAAGAATACGGCTCAAAACCTGCATTAAATAAAGGTTAATAGTTAACCTGTTATTTATCTAAGATGTCGTTCCGAAGAGTTTTGTGACTGCCAATGGAATACAAAGTCAATAATTCGTTTTTCTGATTTACCAATAATTATCCAAAAGTCAGATTGCCGGCTTTGATAATAGTCGACTCAATTCTTGTGAATTGGCGGTAGTTCTTTTGACGTTCAACAATTTCATTTATGTTGAATAAAACTTTTTTGATTTGATTTGTATGTTAGTATGTAACGGAATCTTTGAACATGATTTTGACCCCCTTCAAAATGTCGGATTAGCTCGAAATTTGGTATACTTATTAAGGACCGATGACAATTCAATATTTAAAATATCTTCTATATAATAATTAAATAAATAATAGTTTAAAAAAACTAACAAAATACGCTTTTATAGAAAATCCAACTTAAAAATAGAAAATAAATTTTAATTAATTTGAATTAAAAATAGTGTAAGAAAAAATGATTATATTAGTTTAGTAGTAGTTATAAATATTTTATGGACAGATATGAGTAGAAGGGTTATTTTGATATTTTGATATTTATATCCTGAAAAGCACCACACGCTTTTTTTTACAATAAAAGCAAAAAACTTACATTATTTTTAATTCAAATTTATTAAAAATTATTTTCTATTTTTTAGTAGGATTTTCTATAAAAGCGTATTTTTTTAGTTATTTTAAATTATTATTTATTTAATTATTATATTATAAAAGATTTTGGAGAAGGAGAGTAAAAGTGCAACAGTAAAATAATTTTGTTTTATATGGCACGATCCCAATTCTACATATATATAATTTCTTAAGAATTAGTATACGGAATTATTATTATTAATTTTCGGAATCACTTTTGTTCGAATTTCGTCATTGCGTAGTTCCGTTATCGCGACGAGAACGATTTTGAATGTGGAACATGAAACGTAGCCTTCTTTCCGTCCGTGTGCTGTGTGCTTAGTGCGTGTTTCTTAACGTTTTCGATAGCGTAAAAGTTTGGAACGTTTGCCTACGTTTGCCGCTAGGGGCGCTGTTCCAACTCCATACAAATTTGAGTTAACTTTTACGCTATCGATAACGATAAAAAACTCGCGCTAACCACACAGATCCTGGGCAGATAACAATTGTACAAGTGATATAACAAATGATATAACAATTGCACAAGCGCCCCTAGCGGCAAACAGGCAAACGAACACATTCCATACAAATACGAAGTAACTTTTACGCTATCGATAACGATAAAAAACTCGCACAAAGCACACTGAACCCTCGCCGAATTTGAATGAATTTTTTTTGTGCCAGGTGGGCCACAACATCTACATACTGTGCCACCAGCTGGCGGCGCACAACAAGGAGCTGGCGGCGCTGGTGCGAGCCTCGCCCGCCGGCCCGCACGCGCTCGCGCTGCAGTACTACCGGACTCACACGGCGCAGATCGAGGTACGCATAAGAACTTGGGACCTCAGGTCTTCATCAGAGCGAAGTGCCTTTGGAGTTTGGCAACGAGTCCTCAATTTTATCAAGGAAAGTTGAGACCTCATGTCTTCATAAGAGCGAAGAGCCTTTAGAGTTTGGCAACGAGTCCTCGACTCTCTCTCTACCACTAATTTATCACTATGACTACATAGTATAAAACAAAGTCGCTTTCTCTGTCCCCATATTCCTATGTATGCTTAAATCTTTAAAACTACGCAACGGATTTTGATATGATTTTTTTTAATAGATAGAGTGATTGAAGAGGAAGGTTTATATGTATTTATAATAACATCCATTAAACAGTGGAGAAATAAATTACAGTTTCCGAAGCGAAGCGAGGGCGGTTCGCTAGTATACTAATACGTGAAGCAAATTCTTTTTACCCGTTTTTACGAAAATTGCGCGGACGGAGGAGTATGAAATTACCCACACTTATAGAGAATATAGAGAAGGGGTTCAGAATGTTAATATTTTTTAGTTATGCATAAAAATACGTAAAATCAATTTCAAAAAAATTAACACACACTAGCATGTATTTGACACATGACATTATACTCTTTGTTTACTGTCAAACTTTGTTTTAAGTCTGGTCAAATTATTATTGAGAATAGATTAATATTGTTTGTCTGTAAAATTATTTGTTTATAGTGTAGTCTTGGCGAAATCTGTGATTAAAGACCTATGATATATAATAATACAATAGTCTTTGACAATAGAACCAATAATAATGTTAAAACTTATAATTTCAATTAATTATAGTCGAATTTGGACTATCAGAGGACCATTAATGTCTAATTAAATCACACGTTAAAGTAATATCCTGATCTGGTATTGTAAAGACATCCTATGGGAAGGAATATAATTTGAAATCTGATTTTACTAATGTATTCCTGCCCCCGCGGGGGTCGGGGTGCAGATCGTCCGCACGGACAGGAGCATGGAGCAGATCGTGTTCCCGATCCCGGAGATGTGCGAGTACCTGCCGGCCGACAGTAAGCACAGGGTGCTGCAGAGCGCCGAGCGCGACGACCAGGGCAGCAAGGTCGCGGACTTCTTCGCGAGGCTCGACCACCTCTTCCACGAAATGAAGTGGCAGAAGAAATTACGAGGTATCGACGGCAATTTTTTTTTTTTGAAGTGAAACTTCTTTAGAATCCTTGGGTGTGATTTCAAACTCGATGAAACGAAAAAATAAGTCCGTAGATATAAGTTCTAAGGTCTCAAGTATAGTTGCAACGGATGCTCTACCCTTCAAACTGAAACGCATTACTGCTTCACGGCAGAAATAGACAGGGTGGTGGTACCTACCCGCGCGGACTCACAAGAGATCCTACCACCAGTATTATGCTAGTTATATGCGATTCGGGGGCCAACACCCAACACCCGTTGCACTCTTTCACCCCATGTCCGAAAAAAAAACGAATGAACTCAGAGTCGTGGCTTCAATTCTTAGTTCGGGTTATTAATTTAAAAATAACTAAAACATTACACACACTACCATGTATTTGACACACACACGCATGCATACTATTTGTTCGTCAAACTTTTCTTATTGCTTACAGTCTGTGGTCAAATTGAGAAAATAAATATTGTTTGTCTTTATTAATATTGTTTAACTAAAGTGTAGTCTTGGCGAAATGTGATTATAGAAGTATAATAAATAGTCTTTCACAATAGAATCATAATAGTGTACAAACTTATAATTTTAATTAATTATAGTCGAATTTCGACTACCGAAGGACCACTAGTATATGTGTGTGTACATAAGTGTATGTGTGTGTAGTCTCTGGTTCTTGTAGTAATGAGAGTCATGGATCGGACCCAACCGACCAGGTGTGATTGGTCCCCGATTATACATTAATTTATTGAGCAACTCCACCCGCCTTTTGTTCCCAGGACAACCTCTTCTGTTCTGGGTTTCATCTTACATGTCGCTGTGGAGTAACATATTGTTCAACTTCGCCGTTCTGATCAACGTCATCGTGGCCTTCTTCTACCCGTTTTCAGACGAGAACCCTCGTGAGTAATAATTCCTATTAATCTATAATGTATTCGCGGTCTATATTTAGGTAGATTGGCAGACCGACAGGACTTTTTGGCGGGAACGCGAGGAGTGAAGTTGTGTGATTTGTTTTATTTTGTCTATTTAGTGTTTCTTCAGGTTTAAACGTGTAATAACGGTGGTTTATTAACTGTTTAGTAACAATTATTATCGTAATATCAGCTTGAGAGAAAGAAGCTTCATTTTGTTGCCATTTGCAATTGCATGATTGAGAAAACAATGTTATACGATGACCTATTTCACTTATTCATACACCGGCCTCGGTGGCGCAGTAGGCAGCGCGTAAGTCTCATAATCTTAAGGTCGTGAGTTCGATCCTCACCCGGGGCAATATGTTTTTTGTATTTTTATTTCTTAACAAATTTGAAAAATAAAATAATATTGCTTTCTCTGTCTATTCAGAATTTATTCTTGCATTGTTATCTAAGTTTGTTTCAAAGGAAATAAACGCATTCCGAATAGTAGCTGTGAAAGATTGCAGAGTCTATAATATGTTGTACAAGTTTTGATATGTTAAAGAGCACAATACAGGCCACATCTTGTGTCCGAAGCTTCCGTAACCACTTAATGTCAAGTGGGAAGTGAGCTTGTTTACGTTTTAACATTTAAAAAATATAAGTCTGTAGTACTCACACGTTTCAGATAATAGCCACAAAAAAAAACTGGTAAATACAATTTCATGATCATCAGATTTTGTAATATGGTTTCTTATTCAAACTACCATGTCCTACAGGGACTATTTCATCTCTGACCCACGGCGATTCTGACTTCGAGATGTTGCGCGGTATACATGCGACGCTATGTACGCGTGTGACAGTAGACATTCTTAATCCCAGGGACATCTACATCCTATGTAGGGGAGAGATAAAGATTAGGACAGAGGAAGGATTTTTTTATGGCTTAGATGGGTGGACGACTCGCGGTCCACCTAGTTTTAAATGGTTACCGGAGCCCATAGACACGACATAAATACCGCCACTCATCTTGAGACAAGTGTTCTAAGGGTCTCACTTGTAACAGTACAAACGCTGCCCCGCCCTTCAAACCGAAACGCATTACTGCTTCATGGCAGAAATAGGCAGGGCGGTGGTACTTACCCGTGCGGACTCACAGGACGTCCTACCATCAGTAATTACGCAAAGTAAATGCACTTTCTTCCCACCACCACTTCACCGTGGAAGTCGATCGTGAACTTTTGTTAAATACGTATTTCATCGGAAAAATTGGTACCCACCTGCGGGATTCGAATGCCGGTCCATCGCTCGATACGTAATGCACCGGACGTCTTATCCTTTAGGATTTCATCTTAAGGGTCTAATGTGTTTTTTTTTTAATTTATTTTATTGCTTATATGGGTGGACGAACTTACAGCCCGCCTGGTGTTAAGTGGTTACTGGAGCCCATAGACATCTACAACGTAAATGCGCCACCCACCTTGAGCTATAAGTTCTAAGGTCTCAGTATAGTTACAACGGCTGTCCCGCCCTTCAAACCGAAACGCATTACTGCTTCACGGCAGAAATATGCAGATTAAGTAGTGTGGTGTCGTGTGTGCGCGCGCAGGTCTGGGCCAGCACGTGTCGCTGGCGGTGTGGGCGGCGAGTGGCGCGGCGGGCGCGCTGGTGGCGTGGGTGCCGCGGGGCGCGGGGGTGCGCGCGCTGCTCGCCTGCGCCATAGTGCGCCTGCTCTGCTCCGCCGGCCCCGAACCCACGCTCTGGGCGTTGGCTATGCTCACGGTCAGCACTGCACTTAACAAACACTCAATACCCCCCCCATTCTATAACTAGAGACTATGTCACTGTAAGGCAGCGGTCGGGGAACTTTTTTAATTAATACCCCAAAATATTTTTGTGTAAGTTGATATTACCCCATGGTGAAGAACAAAAAAAACTAAATAGCTTCTTTTTTGAATCTCTCATATTATAGCCCCCGTGATAATTTTTAAAAGAAAACAATAACTAAAAAAATAATTTAAACATCATTTATTCAATTTATCAATGTAATACCTAGTAATATATAACGGTAATAATATGTAGTAATATATGTAATATACAGTTGAAGAAGAAAAATCGCCCCACAGAAAATATAAGTAAATGATAATTTCTTGTTATTTTATAATTCATAGGTATATTTTTCTTGTATTATTAGACGAAAAAACTAGTTTAAATTTTATATATAGCCCCCATAAAAAAGCTTTTTAAATTTAAATGATTTTTTTCGGGAAAATAAAAGAATAGATTATATATCAAACAGAAATGATTTTTTTAAGAATCAAGCTTTAAAATTATATTATATATATTTTATTCATTTATAGCTATTATATTTTAGATCGTTTCATCGAGTTTGAAATCACAACGATTCTAAAGAAGTATCACTTCAATATATACTTTTTACTCACAAAAGTTTCATTTTTACCCCCTAAAATTTCAACTTACCCCATTTGGGGTAATTTACCCCGGTTCCCCGATCGCTGCTGTGTAAGGCATCATTCGCACGGAAGTTTTTTTAGCGCGCGTTTAAAAAGTGTTCAATTTGAACAAATGCATTTTCATAGCATAATACGTCAGCGCTTTTAAAACGCGACGCTTCTTTATCACGCAGTGTTGCATTTTGAGCGCTAAGCGTTGGGCATTACAGATTACGTCATATCGAGAACGTTATAAAAGCGCCAACGCCGAGTTTTAACGCAACGTTTTTAAAACGCCCGTGCGAATGAGGACTCAATGTGTTTAGTGCGAGTTTTTAACGTTTTCGATAGCGTAAAAGTGGTCACGACCCTTAGTAATGAGGAAACGACAAAGAAGAAGAAAAGTTAACTCAAAATTGTATGCAGTTGGAACATTTGCTTACGTTTGCCGCTAGAGGCGCTGTTCCAACTTCATACTTTGAGTTTAACTCTCGCACTAAGCACACAGATCCTGGGCAGATAACAATTGTACTATAGAAAAAAATCCAGTTAGTGTGCACGGATCAAATACGCCATCCTTCAACCGGTATCCGGTACTATAGTTATGGAACACGACTAAGACTCATAACTACCATGAAGTGGCCCGCGAGGTCACCCCATATCAAATCATTTGAATATGTAATAAACAGGAGTCGTATAACTTATATGCCCACTCCCTCAACTAAGAAGTCACTTAACATTGTCAAAGTAGGCATGCATACCTTTTTTAATACTACATCTCAGATATATATTCATCTCTTTCCTACACTAAATGAAATTGAAGTGACAAGCTTCACACGATAAAGAGGCTTTGGTTTTTCTTCGTAGATCCGAAAATAAATATCATTAACTAGCGACCAGCCCTCGCTTCGCTTCGGAAACTGTAATTTATTATTGATTTCTCCACTACTTCATGGATGTTATTATTCTTATAAACCTTCCTCTTCAATCACACTATCTATTAAAATAAACCGCATCAAAATCCGTTGCGTAGTTTTAAAGATTTAAGCATACATAGGGTTATAGGGACAGAGAAAGCGACTTTGTTTTATACTATGTAGTGATTTAATGTACTGTTTTTTTTTAAATTTATTTCAGATAATAGTAAAAGGTATCCATCTAGTCAGCATAATGGGTAACCAGGGTACGCTGTCCAAGTCGACGCGCAACGTCCTCACCGACCCTGAGCTCCTCTACCACACCGTCTACTTGTTGTTCTGCTTTCTCGGGATATGCTGCCACCCGTTCTTCTTTTCTGTCCTGGTAGGTCACACATCGATATACCGATAGTATCGATAGTAGCTCTCATCTTAAAGTAAACCCTACTCATCGAACTCGACAAAGAGTTGGACTTTTTGGCGGGAACGCGAGGAATGAAGTTGGGTGATTTGTTTTTATTTAGTCTATTTAGTGTTTTTTCAGGTTTAAATGTGTAATAACGGTGGTTTATTAACTGCTTATATCTGTGAAAGTGCACAAATGTGGGAAAATGAAACATAGTCGCTGGACTTAACTTCTCGGGATCCTCAAAAAAGTCCACTGAAAAAATCTCAGTAAATCACCACCATTTTACTGAGATTATATTTCATCCCATATCATCTCATCTCATTTCATTTGATGTCTCAAATTAATCATCTTCATTTCATTTCATCATTTTTCATAAAAATAAGAATATAAATTAAAATAAAACATGACTTAAAGGTCTTAGTTACCAGGTCATACAATCTCATAAAAAAAAGACAAAGAGTTCGACGTGCAACCATGCATCAGCCCGCTGTGTTTCTCGCCGGAACTTCTCAGTGGGTCGGGATTCCGATCCGGTAGTAGATTCATTCGCGAATTAGCTGCTCTTGAGTTGTTAGGTCTCCTTTGGAGGCGCTCGGGCAGCTGATAGCCAAAAAAACCTTAAAGTAGCCTGTTCAAGCAGTTACCAAATCGTAAATTTTATTAATTTTTGATACAATAGAAGAAATTTAACGAAAACTTCAATCGATATTGACAATAAATAACAAATCTTGCACAGACACAAGTTCGAGATTGTTTAGTATATAAAACAACATACGGACCGATGACGTATTTAAATTTTATATTGCATGTGTGTGTGAATGAGCACGCAACCTACTGCAGTGGTTAGTGGGGCCCATAGATATTACAACGTGCATGCCGCCCCCCACCTTGAGACGTGAGGTCGGCTGCATATAGCGGCGGTCCCCTCTGACGCGTCGGTTCCCCCTGACGCGTCGGTCCCCCTGACGCGTCGGCACTCCCTGACGCATCAGTCCCCCCTGACGCGTCGGTCCCGTACAGTTGCTGGACATCGTGTACCGAGAAGAGACGCTGCTTAACGTGATGCGGTCAGTGACTCGCAACGGGCGGTCCATCCTCCTGACGGCCGTGCTGGCGCTTGTCCTGGTCTACATGTTCTCCATCGTAGGCTACATGTTCTTCAGAGACCACTTCCTGGTCAACGTCGATCGGTTGGACGGTGAGTACTCCGAGCTGGGTAGAGGACTTAAATGAAGTTTTATTAATATTTTCGACGTGTTCCCGGGAACATGTCGAAAATCCCCGGGGATTTAAACAGGAATTATTATTCAAATCTTTACCAATACATATTAAAAATGTGAAAACTTATTTGGATTTTGGTTTGAATACCTTGTTCTTCTCAATCACGCAAAAATTACTACAGGTTTTTTTTTTATTGCTTCGATGGGTGGACGAGCTCACAGCCCATCTGGTGTTAAGTGGTTACTGGAGGATTTACAACGTAAATGCGCCACCCACCTTGAGATATAAGTTCAAGACTTTCAAGTATAGTTACAACAGCTGCCCCACCCTTCAAACCGAAACGCATTACTGCAGAAATAGGCAGGGTGGTGGTATCTACACGCGCGGACTCACAAGAGGTCCTACCACCAGTAAACACAAGGATATTGGTGCGTCCCCCCCAGACGACGACGACCCCCGCTTCGAGGCCGACAGCTGCGGGCGCGACCCCGCCGACAAGTACCGGGGGGCGGGCGGGTGCCGCGCGGCGCCGCGCCTGGTGTCGGTGGGGGGCGAGCTGCGGGAGCGGAGCTGCGACTCGCTGCTCATGTGCATCGTCACCACGCTCAACCAGGGCCTGCGCAACGGGGGAGGCATCGGGGACATCCTGCGGGCGCCGGCCAGCTTCGTACGTGCATTACATTTGAAAGTGAAACTTCTTTAGAAACGTTGTGATTTCAAACTCGATGAAACGAAAAAATAAGTCCATAGAGACACAAACACATAATTGTATAAGATTCAGCCGGTGAAAGAATGAGATAGAACACATTAGACGTTCTCAATGTAGTGTTTTTTTAATACAGCGCCATCTATGAGATTTTTAATACAAAATTATGTATGAAACCTTTTGTAGTGAATTTTAACTTAGGATTGATCATACTATAAGGGATGATTTACAGTTATTTACTAATGACAAAATTTTACATATACTTAGACATTTAGGATAATTGTATTTTAATTTTTGAAGGTTTCACTTCTACCACGTGTGAATTGCACACACTTATTTTTTTGTTTTTGCTGACATGGCTGGACGTGCTCATAGCCCACCTGGTGTTAAATGGTTACCGGAGCCCATAGACATCTACAACGTAAATGCGCTACCCATCTTGAGCTATAAGTTCTAAAATCTCATTATAGTTACAACCGGCTGCCCCGCCCTTCAAACCGAAACGCATTATTGCTTCACGGTAGAAACAGGCGGGGTGGTGGTACCTACCCTTGCGGACTCACAGGACGTCCTACCACCAGGAATTACGCAAATTATAGTTTTTCGGATTTGATTTTTATTACACGATGCTATTCCTTCACCGTGGAAGTCAATCGTGAACATTTGTCAAGTACTAAATACTTCACGCGGATCCCCCGAGACCGCTGCCCCCCTCCGGTCCCCATGTGAGCGGGGCCGCGCGTGACATGGTATATGTGGCAGGAGCCGTTGTCAATTAAATATTCCAACTGCTTCGCCGGTCCCCCCCCCCCCGGTCCCCGTGCGGGGGGCGGCGCGTGACGTGTCGTGTGTTGCAGGAGCCGCTGTTCGTGGCGCGCGTGGTGTACGACCTGTTGTTCTTCTTCGTTGTGATCATCATAGTTCTCAACTTGATATTCGGCGTGATCATCGACACGTTCGCGGACCTGCGTAGCGAGAAGCAGCAAAAGGAATTAATACTTAAGAGCACCTGTTTTATATGTGGTTGGTATATTTGTGAGCGTCACGAGGGTTCCTCCCGCCTTGGGTCAGTGGTCTGGCTGAGTAGGTGATCTAATCCGTACTATTGTTTGGGTGTTTGTTTGTCCTTCTTTCACGATAGGAGAAGGATCCTGGCACTATCTTGGTAGCTACCTTTTATCCCGAAAAACATCTCATTTCCATTAGAAACTACACTGCCACTTTTCATTGACCACGCGGGGTAGCTGTGATTATACGAAGAAGAATTTTTGTTGTGTGTTTGTTTGTTCGTAGTGACGTTCGAACGTGGTACAGTAACATTTCATGAAGTTTTTACTTGAGTTAAAGGTTTGAGAAAAGTAGAGAGACGTGAAGAGAGTGTGGAGAAGAGTAAAAGAAATGAGTTCAAAGAGTTTTAAAAATGTCCGACTTCCCCAATTTTACAAATTATACCTATAATCAAACTGGGCAATAGTCCGCTTTCGACGCTCCGCACTTTATACGCGCACTTAATAGCGAATTCGATTCCCGATATCCGAGAGTAAATATAAAAAATATATAATACAAAATAGTATTTAGTTTTAGTCTCGTTTGTGTGTTTTCGGTACTCAAATACACACACACACACACACACACATACACACACATACACACACATACATAAGGCGAGGACGTTTATTTTACAGTTGTTTTTGTTTTCGATACTCTACAGTGAATCATTTGCTGTTCCAGGGTTGAACAGGTCAGCCTTTGACAATAAGACAGTGTCCTTCGAGGAACATATAAAGAGTGAGCATAACATGTGGCACTACCTGTACTTCATGGTGCTCGTGAGGGTCAAGGACCCCACAGAGTTCACCGGCCCCGAGAGTTACGTGCACTCTATGATAAAGGTCAGTATCTATGAGGTCGGCTGCTGCCGATGTTATGACCACTGGCAACTAAGAGCACTTTTATACTTATATTTTGCACCATTGTTTTTGTCTAATATACTGAAGTTGGGGGAGGTAGTATGTCCTGTGATCCCATATGGGTAGGTACCACCGCTCTGCCTATTTCTGCCATGAAGCAGTAATGCGTTTCGGTTCAAAGGGTCGGGCATAGTACAACAGCCTATTGTACAATTGAGACTTAAGACATAAGTTTGAAGACGGGTAGTGGCGTTTACGTAGTGCTGTCCATGGGCCCTACTAACTACATTGCAACACCAGGCAGACTGTAAGCTTGTTCACCCATCTACACTATAAAAAAATTATGAACATGTTTTTTATTAATTTATTGGTAACACATATATCTTCGATATTCGTGAGACTCCATATAGCTATTGCTCGCGGACCCCAGCGCTATCTGCGTCGGTTTCAATGCTGTGGTCCACACGCACTCAGCAGTCCCCTTATTCCGCCAGTCCAACAACTTGGACTGGTTTCCGAGACTGCGGGCGCTGTCCCTGATGGGCGGCGGCGAGGGCGAGGGTGGGGAGCTGGAGCTGCGCGCGCTGCAGGCCCAGCTGGACCGCGCGCACCGCGCCGTGGCCACGCTCACCGAACTGCTCACCGACCTCAGGGACCAGGTGGGGGCCAGGGGCGTTGGGAAGGGAGGGCTAACACAAGCGACTGACAACCCAGCATTCTCATTTTTACTAGTGTTAGGACCTCTTGTGAGTCCGCGCGGGTAGGTACCACCGCCCCGCCTATTTCTGCCGTGAAGCAGTAATGCGTTTCGGTTTGAAGGGTGGGGCAGCCTTTGTAACTATACTGAGACCTTAGGACTCATATCTCAAGGTGGGTGGCGCATTTACGTCGTAGAAGTCTATGGGCTCCGGTAACCATTTAACATGAGGTGGGCTGTAAGCTCGTCCATCTAACTACACAATAAAAATAAAATAAAAAAACCTTATCTATGCCATTAATTTCGCCGACCAAAGCGCCTTAATTCACAGAACATCGTATCATTTTTGTCACTATTTACTAGTTTTGTTTTGATACATTAAAATTCTTTCTTGTTTATACATTAACATAACCAATCTGCTCGGCCGATATGAGACGAGTGACCGTAGTCGTGGATCAGTGTCTCGTCTCAACACGCCCGACCTCATGCAGACCTCACGTTGCCCGCACAGATGACCGAGCAGCGGAAACAGAAGCAACGCATCGGCTTACTGAACTCGACCTCGGCGTACCTCCAGAACTTGCAATTGAACCTGCCACCGTGAGCGACACGCCGGCCCCGCCGCAGCGACGCACGACTCTCGACCTTAACTATATCAGCATTGGATCGAAATTTGAACGACACTGGTTGAATATGTACACACACCTTCAAGAATATCCTTTACAAACAAATCAAATCACATGTCGTCTTTTCGCATTAAAACTGTATAATCTCAAAACTTACTAATTTTACAGGAGAGTGTTTTAAAGGTTTTTTATTTTAACATGTGATATTTTTAATATTAATCATATTTGCAACATTTATTTTTTAATTTTTTACCAGTTACATTATCTATCTTTTAAAGTAAGATAAAATTATGTATAAATTTATATTTTATAGTAGTCAATACGTAGGTAAACTAAAAAAAAAGAAGTAAAACAAAACTGCGCTCTTTTGACAGTATTTATGAAGAAAAAAAATGGTGATACCAAATGTTTATGCATATTAACTCAATTTCGAATATTTTCTAGAAATTGTACACTTTTAATGCGAAAAAGCGATATAATTGGTTAGATAAGTTATAGTGATTCTTAATCGAACCGTACCGTTCGTTCTATAAGCAATATACATCGTGTTCAATTTTTAGACTAATACTATTATTCATATTTTCGATATTGAATTTAGATCTATGTGGTTTTTCGATTCATTATTACCAGCAGCCTCGTGCGTCCCTGCTTCAACACAACGCCCTCAGCCAAAACATAGAACAAGACATTCCATCGCACAGTTGTTACCAAGCAACTTCGATTTCCACTGAGACGCTCCTGCGATTTTTACTAAAACATACCTAATGATAATAGGGATAAAGCTCACATTGGAATATACGTAATCGTAGAATCTATCAGATTTTATTTTGTAGTTAATAGAAATATCTTATTTAAATAAGAAATTTATCTAATTGTAGTGTCGAGACATATCTGTCATGATATTTCGTGTACTTATTAGATCGTTGGATTTGTTATCGATTTTATTATTCTCTTTTAATTTTACGAATATACATACACACATCCCTCCCATTTATATATTACTTAAGTAGAAACCATTAAAAACATTTTTAAATAAAAATAATATTTTGGAGTTTAAATACTTATATTACATTATTAGTATTACATAAGTATATTATATGTGCGCACGAGTCATGCACATATTTTTGTCATTTTACGTGAAAAAATAAAATTAACAAAAAATACATCAACAATGAAAAATTTGTACAGTAACGGGATTTCTAGTCCGAAAATAGCGCTCAACTCGAATATTTGACGTCATATGTAGGTAATGTACCTTGATTGTGCTTTTCGAAACCGAATGAGCATGAGGTCGGTGACCTCACGCCGATCTCTAGGGTGAGGTAGTTAACACGTAAATACTTATTGAAATAAGCTCATACAAAGATGGACATGTGATCACATTGATTGCAGTATACTTAAGACGCTGTTGTTCTCAGAACTTTGTTCTTTTTTGTTAATGTTCATTGTTGTTCTGACGGAGGAGAACCTTGAGGGGTACTGGAGGAGGAGGCTGTGCCGTACGGGAGAAGCAGAGATTGTTGACGCGTGATTGTTTGACTGAGGAAGCGATCACTCGCGCCCTCTACGATTTGTGTACTTAAACAGTTTTATAGTTTGGGAGAAATGGATAATGATCGATTTAAAAATTGCAACTTTAAATATTAATTCAATAAATTCACCGTGTCTATTTTTTCTTACAACAAAAAAAAACTAATCTATTTTCATCTCTGTACGTAGTAGAGTCACTAAAAATTTTCTTTTCTCTCTCTCTCTCTCTCTCTCTCTCTCTCTCAAACATTACGTTATTTTTTGTAATCATAGTTTTAATTACAGCAGTCTTTTTAAAATCCACTAAAAAACTGAATGATTCGGTTTAATAGCCTCTGTCTGCCCTACTCCCCTTCGGAACACGCGTGTAGTGGAATAAGCTCAATATATTTACTTACCTATCTACATTAGTTAGAAAACTATGGAATAAATTTAAAACAAAACTATCGTTCAAACAGTATCTTTTGAAGATCTGAATTGCGTTTTAAAAATTAATAACTCTTTTTGGTTGTATTTTCTAAATGTTTAATTATTATTGTGTGTGGTAGTATTTTTTGTCGTGTATATTATATATATTTAAAACATTTGCTTTTGTTAAGTTTTCTAAAGATTTTTATGTAATTCGAAACAAACAGTTTTCTTTGTCAAAGTTTTTACGAATGATCACAGAAAGTGTTTATATAGCAAGTGATATTTATTTTCTCATTGGTATCTCGACAAACAAAAATATATGTTAGTAGAGTTCTTTAAACTTATTAACATATCTTACGAAAAAAACTAGAATGTTCCAACAGTGTTTGAGACAAAAGGCTTGCAGTTTAGATCATCTCGGATATATTAATATGTATGTTAAATTAGTTTGTTTAGAAGCTAAAGCTTAATAAAAAAAGTTATTATGTATCCAAACGTTGACTGCGGAATGGATAGGGCCCTGGCCTTCTCGAAGTCTCCGTTACAAATACAAACTTAAATTATGAGAACGCGCAATGTATTAAGTAATAAATAATAAACTAGTTTAACACTGACAAATGGCGTCTCTATAAATAAAATTGCCAGTGCAGAAAATTCCAAGTGTTACCAATAATTATTATATTTATTGATGAAACTACGGCTGGTGATATATCAGTTTAACCTTACTAGGGTTACGTAATTAGTGAAATAAAGCTATCTTTTTAAACTTATTTACATAAAATAAAATTGAAGTTCACTATAAGTGCATTTAAATTTTAATTTGACTTTTAATACAAAACGTATTAACGTGGTTTTAAGCGAAAATATGGCGTATTTCTAAATTATCATCTCAAAAAAGATAATACTTAAAGATTAATAATATTTTGTAACAATTTTCTAGTTTAAAATTAGTTACGGATCATTTAAAAAATTATGTACTTAAATGAAACTAATTCTCCTTGTGTCTTTGAAACGACTTCTATCTATATAAAAGTTCTCTAACTTTCTATTTTTAATAAGTCGGTTGTAAACATGAAGTTTTCTGCTCAATACGTGCTCGAAAAATTAAACAATAGCTTAGCAATGCGAAATGCTAAGATAACGAAATTATCTTCTTACCGCTAACGCCATCTGTTGGTCAGGTAGCAACTCAGTAGCGCCATCTATGAATTGTATGATCGAACTTACTATTCCCTAGAAAGTATTCGACCAATCAATTTTTTTATGTCTATATCTACTGTTTCTGTAAACGAATTCTAGTTTTTTAATTAATACATTTTTATACTGTCGTAGAGTTTTAGAGAAATATTTATTTTCATCGCACTTATACATTCCTAGTGTATATTTTATATATTATTATTATTTACTTTCTTTTTTCATGATCTATTCGAATCTTGAGGTGGTTGCTTCATAGAATTTAATAGTTGAATAGTGTTTTTGAATATTAAACTTTACTCCCATCTAAATTAGATGTATTCTTCTTGTAAGCGAAACCTCGTTTTTATGTCTTCTCGTTCTATTAGATTTACGAATGTAGAGATATTATAAAAGTTATTATGTTATTTGGGAGTTGACCGGTCGGTTCTTAGGCCGATACGAATCGGTTTTTTTTTTGTTGTTGTATTAAAACCGAAATAAAGATATGGCACAAATTGTGTTTTTGTTTTTCTGTTGTTCTTTTTATTGGAGATAAGATTCCGGCAGCCCGGTGACTAACGATGTTATCTTCCTCACATTATCCTATTAATCGGTAAGTTTAGTATCTAATAAGTTTTTCGGAAATTTCACGTCAGCTTTATGGATGAATCAACAATTTTTGTAAATACCGCAACTCTTATCTGATTAATATATGTATATAAAAATGAATTGCTGTTCGTTAGTCTTGCTAAAACTCGAGAACGGCTGAACCGATTTGGCTAATTTTGGTTTTGAATTATTTGTGGAAGTCCACAAAAGGTTTAAAAGGTAGACAAATATGAAAATGCTCGGAATTAAATAAAAATAACAATTTCGTTTTTCCTTTGATGTGCCCCCCGTCGCACGGATTCCTTTTCTTTGTTTTAAGTTTATTTTATACAAAGGTATAGGTCTTTTATTTATCGATTGAGGCACTACGAAGTAGAAACTTTTATCAGATAAAAGTTTTTAAAGAGAGTGTCGGAATGTTACTTCACCGTGGCGCGGCCCAGTAGCTTCATGTTGGGATGTCTGCGTCGGTGAGATCAGTAACCACCAGGAACAAAAATAAAGTAAAAAAATTCATCGAAGAGCTTAACGTGACACTTAACTTAAAACAAACTTAAAAAAATTATGCGCGTGCATTTGATGCACGTGAAAGAAGAGAAACTTCTTTTGCTGTGTATAGTAGGTATTCCTCATTTTTCATCCTTAAATCAAATTTCTCTTGTAACAGGGAATGCTGTGTATAAGAGAATCGACCTAGCTCGCTTTGTCTTTTCCCTCTCCCCCATCGAGTGGTTCGCGAGACGCTTTGTCTATTCTCTCTCTCGCTCGTCCTAAATTGTATCTTTTCTGTCTAGCCGTAACGAATCTGTCGCGAGTAAAATTTTACTCTCAACGCGCTTAAAGAAGTTTCACTTTAAAATAAGACTACTGTATTTCTACATTAGACCCTTAGTACGATTACTAGGATTACTTCGTAGCGGACAACATGTTTTTTTTATGATTGAAAGATTACTGGTGGCCCGGAGGCCTTTCCACCTTCACTAGGACAGGTGGGCGAGCAAAGGCTCAGCCGGGGGGGGGGGGGGGTGTGATTTGCTAGCAACTGCCCGAGCGCCTCCGAAGGAGACCTAACAACTCAAGAGCAATTGCTTCGCGAATGAATCTACTACCGGATCGGAATCGCGACCCGCTGAGAAGATCCGGCGAGAAACTCAGCGGGCTGATGCATGGGTTAGGTTGCACGTCGACCTCTTTGACGAGTTCGACGAGTACGGTTACCGGGGTACCTCAGCCTGCTCCTAGTGTTAGAGCTGAAGGTATCTAATGCAAGAGTTATTGGATCTGATAGATCCGTAAGGACGTGTCTAGGGCGACGACGGTGACTTGCTCCTGCGTGATCAGGATTCGGGGAGTAGTCAGCGGCGGCAACGATAAGGCGATTATCATGACGCATAGCCTTATCGAAGTAACGTTCCGACACTGGCTTCATGTGTTTGCGGATCGATTCGAGGCCCAGGTCGTCGTGTATGTCGACGTTCCTCACGAACCACGGAGCCCCGACGGCTAACCTGCTAAAGCGGGATTGTAGGGATTGGAGAGTGTATATGTGTGTGCGGGCCGCGTGAGCGAACACCACACTCGCGTAAGTCATGACGGGGCGGACAAAATGTTCACAGCCTAGTGGTGAGTTTCTCATCGGATCTTCTCGGTGGTGATCCGATAGTAGATTCAGCGAAGCACTGCTCTAGCAAATTTTCTAAGGTCGAACCCGTGAACTCATCTACTAGTCCGGGCGTAGCGTGAATAGCCCCTTAGATTACCAACAAATAGGGAAAAAATTCAGAATGATATACCCGTACCGTCGCATCCCCTCTAATAGACCAAATGAGGAACTTCGCAGTTAAGTTGGATAATATATACCCGTAATGCAACAGGCATCCCTTCTAGTAGACCAAACGAGGAATTTTGCAGTTAAGTTGGATAATAAGCGGATACGACTCTCATGTGAACAAACCTTTTTTTTTATTGCTTAGATGGGTAGACGAGCTCACAGACCACCTGGTGTTAAATGGTTACTGGAGTCCATAGATATCTACAACGTAAATGAGCCACCCACCTTGAGATATAAGTTCTAAGGTCTCAGTATAGTTGCAACGGCTGCCCCACCCTTCAAACCGAAACGCATTACTGCTTCACGGCAGAAATAGGCAGGGTGCTGGTACCTACCACGAGAGGTCCTAAAACCAGTAAAAGAAGAAACCTGTGAAGGGGTCATAGCTGTGACTTGGGCAGGGGTCGCATCCCCGTAGTTTCAGTCCTTATCGTTCAATAACCGTATAGATTGTTATCACTAAGAACCCCTGGTCGGAGGAATACGCTATAGTATTCTCACGAAGACATACAAAGGTGATTCAATTGAACATGATAAATGGTTTTATCGTGCATCGATAAAAATGATACCAACATCTAGGGCGCAGTGTTTTTATAACTTCACAAACACAATGTTGTGTGCGGTGGTCATTTTGTCGTTAGTTCTGTGCTGTAAGTCTTGCTTTTATTCTTTTGTCAAAAAGATATGATTGTGCTGGTTTAATGTTTTCGAGGAGACAATTGGTTTCCTTTTCCCGAAGCTGAAATAGCCTTTCAAGCCTATTAGCATAGGCAGGAAAATAAAAAAAATAATGTGCATTTGAATTATATATAAAAAAAACGAAAAATCTCATTCACATAATGTCTTAATAGAACATGTAACATACAAGATAATTATAGGTGGAATGATAATTAACTCATGTGGAATGTTCAGGTAGATACAGACAGTCCTTTTAGGATTAACGTAAATGACATTGTGAGTCATCAAATATAGTGTAACAATGCGGTCTGCATAATGATATGCTAAGTTAGCACTTGTTAAGTCTCTTTCCGGTGGCACATTCTAATTCAGAATTTCAAGGAAAGTATCCGCTTTTTCCGAAACATTACTAAATTTGTTTTTCAGTAAATGGCTTTAAATAAAATTGAATTTTAGAATAAATCCTGTTTTATAAATAAAATATTTTTTTAAGAGCGTCATGGCTCCTTGTAGTCGCATTTGACGCCAACAGTATGCTTAGTGCGAGTTTTTTAACGTTCTTGAGAGCGTAAAAGTTAGCCCAGTTTTGTATGCAGCTGGAACAGCACCCCTAGCTGCATACGTAGGGAAACGATCCCATGCCATACAAATATGAGCTAACTTTTACGCTATCGAGAACGTTAAAATACTCGCACTAAGCACATAAAACTATCTACCATATCATTTAACGGCCGCCGACCACAACACACATTACTCACAGTGATATACGTTCAGTCCCATACCTACAGTATTTCATGACAAGCAATGACAACATCTAGTAAGCCACGAGTTTCGCTTTCTAGTTCGTAAATTTAGTACTATCTCTCAGGATAAATGTCAGATGCGAAATACGAGACCAAAGGAAAATCATCCTTAAACTTTCGAAGAATCAACACAATATAAGTTTTTTTTTTTTATTGCCTTTGTAGGCAGACGGGCATACGGCCCACCTGATGGTGAGTGGTTACCGTCGCCCATGGACTTCAGCAATGCCAGGGGCAGAGCCAAGCCGCTGCCTACCGCTTAATACTCTCCACAAGCCTCGTTTGAAGAAGGACATGTCATAGCGCTCGGGAAACCGTGGAGGAGAGCTCATTCCATAGCCGGATGGTACGTGGCAAAAAAGATCTCTGGAAACGCACTGTGGATGACCGCAGTGGCTCCAGGTAATATAGCTGAACTCTACTCCGGTGGCGGGCGGTGCGATGGTAAAAACGAGATGCCGGTATCATCTCGAACAATTCCTCAGAGCACTCCCCATGGAACATACGGTACAAAATACAGAGGGAACCGAAGTCCCTAAGCAGACCCAGAGGTTCCAAATACACGATTTTATTAAATACAAGATATTGCAAAGCTAATATAGAAATATAACGAGGACAGTATGTTAAACTTAGACGTCGAAATCGGAGTAGTGTTTTTAATCCGTCTATTTTAAGTCAAAGTGTCTGTACTGTGACTTATCTATCTACTGATTAGTAAAATGATTTGGAAAAGGTAACATTTCATAGAACGAGCGAGATATAAACTATTCGTCCCGCTAAACCACTAAATGTAATTTAGACAGTTCTTCTGGGGCAGCCCGGAAACTTCATTAAGCTGGCATTTTAAATCGTCGTGGCCTAAAGGATAAGACGTCCGGTGCATTCGTGTTGAGCGATGCACCGGTGTTCGAATCTCAGGCGGGTACCAATTTTTCTAATGAAATATGTACTCAACAATGTTCACGATTGACTTCCACGGTGAAGGAATAACATCGTGTAATAAAAATCAAACCCGCAAAATTTTAATTTGCATAATCACTGGTGGTAGGACCTCTTGAGAATCCGCGCGGGTAGGTACCACCACCCTGCTTATTTCTGCCGTGAAGCAGTAATGCGTTTCGGTTTGAAGGGTGGGGCAGTCGTTGTAACTATACCTGAGACTTTAGAACTTATGTCTCAAGGTGGGTGGCACATTTACGTTGTAGATGTCTATGGGCTCCAGTAACCACTTAACACCGGGTGGGCTGTGAGCTCGTACACCCAGCTAAGCAATAAATAAATAAAAACAACTTAAAAATGAGCACTCAAGCTAAAAACGCAAGAATTAGAACGTCAACCGTGAGATTAGTAGATTAGATACGATTATCGCACGGTTCGTCAGCAAAGTAAGATTCATACACGAGTGTTTACCCAATCTACAAGCAATTACTTATTTATACTTACTTTTATTTTTCCGATTTTTTCACACGATAAAGATAAATACAGATAATGATATACATATCAGTAACACGATATTACCGATTCCTTGAATATGGCTAGCTAATAAATTTAATTAATAATGTTATATTCGTTTTTTTTTCTATACAGCCGTATAGAAAAATTAAGTTAATTAAAGTGTGTAACCCTTTGGTTGCTTGAGTTGCATTTACATGTCTATTAAATTTAACGTAATTTTCACGAGCTTTAACACGTCCAATTAACTAGTAAAGCTGCACACATTTCAAGGACCGATGATAAAACAATAATTTTATTATTTTGACTTAATATCGAGATCAAGATTAGTGGGATAAAAAATATCGATTTAGTTTTTTGTGAAGTCGTCGTGGTCTAAAGGATAAGACGTTCGATGAATTCGCGATGCATCGGTGTTCGAATTCCACTGGCGGATACCAACTTTTCTAATGAAATACGTACGTAACAAATGTTCACAATTGACTTCCACGGTGAAGGAATAACATCGTGTAATAAAAATCAAACTGGCAAAATTATAATTTGCGTAATTACTGGTGGTAGGACCTCTTGTGAGTCCGCGCGGGTAGGTACCACCACCCTGCCTATTTCTGCCATGAAGCAGTAATGCGTTTCGGTTTGAAGGGTGGGGCAGCCGTTGGAACTATATTGAGACCTCAGAACTCATATCTCATGGCGGTATTTACGTTGTAGATGTCTATGGGCTCCGATGACCATTTAACATCAGGTGGGCCGTGAGCTCGTCCACCCAACTAAGCAATAAAAAAATTTAGTTCGACTCGCGTATACAGCCTGTTTTTTTTTTATTGTTAAGTTAAACTTCTGTTTACTCAATAGCACAAGCAAGAGATCTGAATCTCGAATTTGAAACGATAGCAGCCGTCCCGCTTCCGCTGAGCTCCGGATCTGATACTCGCATTATTGGGGGCTCGCCTACCACCATCGAAACATATCCCTACACAGTTCAGGTAAATAAGTAAACGGTAATTAGTAATTAAGTCCCGTTGACCCGGATACGAGGACCATTCGACCGTCTAAGGCATAAACTAAATTCAGTTACCCACCTTGAGACAGAGTTAGAAGTGAGAGAGCGAGACAATTGGACTCCAAAGCACAAAATTAAAAAGTATAGTCAACAAGTAGATATATTTTTAAAGTAAGAGGTTTTATCGCTAAAGGCGATCTCTTCCAGACAACCGTTAAATTTCCAAAAAATTTGGAAAATATAAAGATACAACAGGCATGTTGCGATGTACTATTCATTATTATAATTTTTTTTTATTGTCCTTGTAGGCAGACGAGCATACGGCCCACCTGATGGTGAGTGGTTACCGTCGCCCATGGACTTCAGCAATGCCAGGGGCAGAGCCAAGCCGCTGCCTACCAAGTCAAGCCGCTGCCTACCAAGCCAAGCCGCTGCCTACCAAATGCCTATTAAAGGGTCAATTATTAAGATTCCGTACACAGAACCCTTTAACGCTGGTCGAAATAGGCTTATGGCACCCTAGTGGTAATACCCTACCACGAGTGCTAGATAAAATTTACTAATTGATATATGCAATTTCATTATTCAGATTTTATACAACGGTCAATTGTCGTGCGGAGGCTCACTGATCACCAAGAGGCATGTGCTGAGCGCGGGACACTGCTTTATAGACACGTTAGTGCAACTTTTGTATACATATCAAGGGTATTTTTAGTATAAGCGACATTTTTGCACCTTTACAGGAGAGTCTTTTAGAATTTGGAAAATATGTCATAACAAATATATATCTTCAGTTATTCGTATAGAGTAAACTTAATTGAATTAAAATTAAAAACATCGAACTCTTGATGGTGATACCAAATAAAACGCTCCTTTATTTACAAAGAGAAATGTCGCTTATTAAGCGAAATGTTGTTTAAACCAAATGGCGTTTCACCCCCCATATATAGTAATGTAGAAAATGGAGTTCAGTTTTACATAATTCAATAATGCTGTGTAAAATAATAATTTAAAAAGCCTTTATTTTCCTTTTTAAATTATTATTTTACACAATATTACTCAATTATGTAAAACTGAACTCCTCTTTTTTCTCAATTACAGACAGTTTAGTAAATCTACCTGAGATTATTTTTTTTTAATTAAAAATTTCCAAAGGTTTTACTTATAAAACTCTTTACATGCAAATGAGACGCAGCCTGACAGTGTGGTGGTATTGTTAAATTGAATGATGCTAAGGTTAAATTATTTTGCACGTAAAAAATTATGAGTATAAATTTTACATTTTTTTTGTCAGTAACGGCAACGTGGCCAGTCCCACATTGTTCAGCATTCGCTCCGGAAGCAGTGTTCTATACTCTGGTAAGTTGTATTTAAAATAACGTTAATATCTTTTAAAATTTCGTCAAGGTTAGCGGTAGGCAGCGGCTTGGCTATGCCCTTGGCATTGCTGAAGTCCATGGGCGACGGTAACCACTCACCATCAGGTGGGCCGTATGCTCGTCTGCCTACAAAGACAATAAAAAATAAATAAATAAAAAGGTGTATAATAATAAAATTATAGTGGCGTGTAACGGTGGTAGATTCTGCGAAGCACGGCTCTTGCTAGGGTTCGTGTTAGCAACGACGTCAGGTTTGAGCCCCGTGAGCTCACCTACAAGCTCGGCGAATCTAGAATAACCCCTCGAGGCTACAAGAATAGGTAGGGAAAAAAAAGCGTGTAATGATATAAATTATCGTGAATTCCGAGAAGTCTGTTTAAAATATTATTTGCGCATCATAAAATTAATAAAACAAGTTTATCATTGATAAATTTTATTTTAGCTCATTGCACGCCGACCCTGCGATAGTGATAATGAGGGGTTCTTTTGCTTGGTAGTCTGCCGTTTGTTGCCATGATTACACCGATATTATTTTTATTTATTACGAAAATGTATGTACAGATATACGAATATTTAATATTATAACGAGCACACATGGAGGGGCAGGCATGCGGGCGGAACGGCAGGGACGCCGCCGGTCGACCACGAAGGTTCGAGAAAGGCGTCGGTCCTACAGTCGAGATACCACCGTCGAACTATACCTTACATCGACATCATTAAAACACGTTAAACTGGGATAGTTTTAATTCGTTATAAATGGCGCCCCACGTTGGGTCGGCCGGCGGCGTCTCTGCCGCTCCCCCGCATGCACGCCCCTCCAAAACCCACGAGGAGAACTAATAGGGATGTGCGCGTTGTAATATATACAAAATTATAAATATTTATTTAACGTACTTTTTTTTTCCTACCTAAGCTGATAGGCTTGACAGGCTATTTCAGCGTAACCTTAACTAGGTGAGCTCACAGGGCTCAAACCAGAGTGATCCTAACACTGACCCCAGCAAGAGCAATGCTTCGCAGAATCTACCACCGGATCGGAAACGCGACCCCCTGAGAAGATCCGGTGAGAAACTCAGTGGGCTGTGTCTATGGGTTAATTCGCTCGTGGAGCCCTTCGTCGCAAGCGACGGGTTCGACGAGGACGGTGACCGGTGCTTGTGGTATCTAAAAGCACCGTGCTAACGTACTACTCATTGACTGTAAACAAGCGAATCATTCCGGCACTCAGGTTTTAAGCGATTGATGCGGTGTCGGCGCGTTCTTTAAGCGTCTCAGATGCCACCGGAGTATAATGTGTTAACTCCTCGTATCCACCAGGGGGAAGTATTCACTCCGTGTCTATGATCATCGTCCACGAGCGGTACAACGTCCCGATCAGAGACAACGATATCGCTGTACTGGTATTGTCTTCTCCTGTGACCCTGAGCGCGAGCGTGGCGCAAGCTCGTATACCGGTGCAGTGGGCGGAAGTACCTGATAATTCCTCGGTTATTCACGTGGGTTGGGGCAGGACTAATGTAAGTTTTTTTTTAAATGAGAGCAAAGGCATCGTTTCTCAATACAGCCCATTCGCCGTCTTGAATTCATTTATGTTTAATTTTAACTTTGTCTATTTCTATTATAACTTGTCATGGTTTGTAGATATAAAAAGCTTTTAGAATCATAATAGTCTTCAGTAGTAATATAAAAAAAATCCTGTAGGTACGTCTCTATCATCATTCTCCTGCCCTTTTTCCAGTCACCTGGGGTCGGCGCAACATGTTTCTCCTATACTCCTCTATCATATACTATTCGCTCACTCCCCTCTTACACATGTCGTCTTTCACGCAATCCATTCATTTCTCCTTAGGTCTACCTCTTACTCTATATCCTTCTACATTCATAGTTAACACTTTCTTACCAACCTCATTTTCATTTCGTCTCATCACATGTCCATACCATCCCAAGCGCGCACTTCTCAGCTTCTCTGTCACAGGTGCCACTTTCAGACTTCCTCTAATATATTCATTCCGTATTCTGCCCATTCTCGTTACTTTTTTTATTATTAATTATTAGTTGAATTGTGGATGAATGAATGGTAAATTATATAATATTATAATATCTTGCACTGCACTAAAATTCGCATGTCAAATAATGACAACGCATACACGCTGCTTTTAACTTATGTAATAGCTCATTTTCACTATGCTTGGCGAATAAATGATTTCTTTCTTTCTCTTTCTTCCACACATCCATCGCAACATTCTAGTCTCTATATAGACACGATTTGTCCAGGTGAACGTAGCTCAAGCTTCTTCAGTCCTCAACGAGGTTGAGGTCCGGATAGTCAACAGGGATGTCTGCCGGACTCGGTACGAGTTTCTGGAGAGCGTGACCGGGGATCCCTTCCCAGTCACCGTAAACATGATTTGCGCGGGACTGCTCGATATCGGAGGTAATATTTCCTTTAATATACGTTACTCCTCCTCCCTTCCTCATTACTGAAGGGTCGTGACTCCCTGGCTCCGTCAATCTCTCATGTACAATTTCCCTCCATCTGCTACGATCCTTGGCTTCGTGGAGGGCATTTTGGAACCTGATGTTTAGACAAGATCGAATTTGGTCAAACCCCACCCGTTCCCCGTCGCCATCAGCTCTCTTCAATAACGTCTATGTACTATGTGTGTACTATGTTACCTAATGTATATGTACTTTTATTATTATTTTATTGTTACTTTTATTATTTCCAATTTGTATGTACGTAATTTTTTTTATTGCAGTTGTGGGTGGACTACCTCACAGCCCATCTGGTGTTAAGTGGTTACCGGAGCCCATAGACATCTATAGCGTAAATGCCGCCACCCATCTTGAGATATGAGTTCTAAGGTCTAAGTATAGTTACGACGGCTGCCCCACCCTTCAAACCGAAACGCATTACTGCTTCACGGCAGAAATAGGCAGGGCGATGGTACCTCCCCGTGCGGACTCACGAGAGGTCCTACCACCTATCCTAGGTATTCTTTATACAATTGAACTTAGTTGTACAGAGATTCATTTTGCAACAGTTTTCCTATGTTACAAGCAATTTTCGTAAAAAGGGGTACAAAGTTTTTGCTTCACCTGTCTATATATAGATAATTGAATTCAGTTGAGCAGAGGTTCGTTTTGTAGCAGTTTTCCTATGTTACAGGCAAGGACGCCTGTCAAGGTGACAGCGGCGGTCCCCTGATATACAACAACATCGTGGTGGGGCTGACCTCCTGGGGCTACGGGTGTGCGGAGCCCATGTTCCCGGGCGTCAGCGCCAGAGTCTCAAGCTACACTAACTGGATTAACAATACGGTGAGCGCTTTGTAATTTCGCTCGCTTGAGAGTTCGTTTATCGGCTGTTAGATTCTTGATACTAGTATATCGCACATCTACGATTGAAGGGGCTGAATTAACAATTCATGATTTTTTTTTGGAAATTCAAAAAATCACGTCATAATAAATGGACGTTTATACGCTTTTCGCTGACTGTTGCGTCGAAGTGCGTGAGTTCGATTCCCGCATCGGGCAAACATTCGTGTGATAAACAGTGTGCTTAGTGCGAGTTTTTTAACGTTCTCGACAGCGTAAAAGTTAACTCAAATTTGTATGGAGTTGGAACAGCGCCTCTAGCGGCAAACGTAGGCAAACACTCCCACTCTATAGAAATTTGAGTAACTTTTACGCTATCGAGAACGTTCAACTACTAAACTCGAACTAAGCACACAGGTTTGTTTTGCTGTTTGACTGAGTATTTATTATCTATATGTACATATTTAAACGTATATAAATATATATGTCAGTCTGCGGCACCTGCAAAAAAGGGAATCCTAATTTGGGACCATGCGTAATTAGTACCTAATTATTATTATTATAATACGCCAATAAATCACATACGAAGATCTTGTTTCATGAATATATAGGAATAGGAAATAGCCGTATTTTATGCAGGAAGAGCCTTAGCTAATTAGCTAATAAATAGATAAGAAATATTCATATTACTATTGTCCTAATTTATCTATGGTATCATGTCTGAAATCAACCTCACCACAAACTATGTTTCAAGGTTCACAAAATCGATTATAAAAAGATGTTATTTCCGATAATATCTTACAATCGATTTACATATTTATTTCCTAATCGATCCGACTTATCTCTTATCGTCTCGTATCGTTTCGAAGTCAATAACAAAATAAACATTCGATATCGATAGCGGATCTGTTGTGGTGCCGACATAACGATCTGATATACAGTTGAGAAGTCGGTTATCCGGTCACGTCTTGGAATGCGTGATGCAGCTTTTTAGGTTACCTCGATTATATTATTGGGTCATAGATTATTTGGAGGTATATCTAAAAAAAATTTATTTATTGCTTAGATGCGTGGACGAGCTCACAGCCCACCTGGTGTTAAGTGGTTACTGGAGCCCATAGACATCTACAACGTAAATGCGCCACCCACCTTGAGATATAAGTTCTAAGGTCTCAGTATAGTTACAACGGCTACCCCACCCTTCGAACCGAAACGCATTACTGCTTCACGGCGGAAATAGGCAGGGTGGTGGTACCTACCCGTGCGGACTCCCAAGAGGTCCTACCACCAGTGAAAAATTTTAACGTAGATACCACAATTTTGTTAAACTGCATTTGCAAGGATGTTGAAGATAACAAGGATATTTAAAAGTACTAATGGTATCTCGGTAGCCGAAATTCGACTATAATTAATTGAAATTATAAGTTTGTACACTATTATAATTCTATTGTCAAATATTATACTGGTGGTAGGACCTCTTGTGAGTCCGCGCGGGTAGGTACCACCACCGTGCCTATTTCTGCTGTGAAGCAGTAATGCGTTTCGGTTTGAAGGGTGGAGCGGCCGTTGTAACTATACTTGAGACCTTAGAACTTATATCTCAAGGTGAGTGGCGCATTTACGTTGTAGATGTCTATGGGCTCCAGTAACCACTTAACACCAGGTGGGCTGTGAGCTCGTCCACCCATCCAAGCAACAAGAAATAAATAAAAACTTCTATAATCATAGATTTCGCCAAAACTGCACTTGTCTAAATATTAATAAAGATAAACAATATTTAATATATTCTCAATAATTCTCAAAAGTTTGACAAGCGTTCTAATGTCTTAGTTTTTTTAAAAGTACAACGGCTGCCCCACCATTCCAACCGAAACGCATTACTGCTTCACGGCAGAAATAGGCAGCTTAGTGATACCTATCCGTGCGAACCCACAAGAGGTCCTACGACCAGTAATTACGCAAATTATAATTTAGCGTGTTTGATTTATATTACACGATGTTGTTGCTTGTCGTCAGGTGACGCGGTATAGCGGCGGAGCTGCGCTGGCGGGCGGGGGCTCCGCGACGCTCCTGGCGGCGATATTGTCTTTAATTATTGTGACCACATATCATTAGTTTTAAATTTAACGAGATTTTAATATATTGTTGATTTTTACTTGTTATTAACTTTTATTAAAATAGAAATGGCTTTTTATGTTAATTTAGAAATGAAAACTCAATTGAAACTGTAGTTACGGCTCTAGTGCCTTGACATCCTTGAAACAAGAGTTGGTCTGAAGTGTGTTTGCAGCGGGCAACTATCATAGAACCATAGACCTACATAGAACACAATATATTTGACAGATGCCTGAATCTCGCTAACGACATTTTCAAGATAAGTTTACATACATATATACGAGTTCGACCTATCGAGTTTACCTCGAAGAGCTCGCGAAGGGCTCGGCGAGTAAATTAACCCTCAGACACAGCCCACTGAGTTTCTCGCCGGATCTTCTCAGTGGGTCGCGTTTCCGATTATTTCCGATCCGGTGGTAGATTCTGCGAAGCACGGCTCTTGCTAGGGTTCGTGTTAGCAACGTCATCAGGTTTGAGCCCCGTGAGCTCACGTACTAGTTAATGTTGGGCTGAAATGGTCTCTCACCAAGACATCAGCTTAGGTGGGGAAAAAAATGTAGCATTCAATTTCGCGGCAGAAATAGACGGGATAGCACTACCCACTCCTGCTCGCTCACAAACACTACCCCCCATCACCAATAAAATCCAGGATAATTTTTGTTCTCCAAATATCCTTAGTCACTATGACGAACCTTCTTAGATACGTTTGTTGTTCCACCTCCAGTACATTCAAAATGAAACTCTTGTTTCCGCTATCTGACAATAGATGGCATTGTTCTTCTCGAGCGTTCTAGGTGCTACTAGATATTCGAGTATTCGGCGATAGATAACGTTACTCTTACCGGCGTAACACTCTTTACACAAAATAAAAAAATGTATTTTTTTTATTCGCACTACCGATCCGCATATACAATTCGGACTCATTAAAATAAAATAAAACAAAACGTTTAGATATCACATGTGAATATTTAATTTACGAGTAATGATATATAGCATTATATTACACGTACAATAAATATATAGTATAAGGTACAAGGTGAATCGCTAGGCATGTCATAACTGCGCCGCCTCCACCGATAGCAGCACCATCTGCCGGCACAGCGCTGCAACCAACGGACGCAAGTCAACGCAATATTTTTTTTATTGCTTACATGGGTAGATGAGCTCACAGCCCACCTGGTGTTAAATGATTACTGGAGCCCATAGACATCTACAACGTAAATGCCGCCACCCACCTTGAGATATGAGCTCCAAGGTCTCAGTATAGTTACAGCGGCTACCCCACCCTTCAAAACGATACGCATTACTGCTTCACGGCAGAAATAGGCAGGGCGGTGGTACCTACCCGCGCGGACTCACAAGAGGTCCTACCACCAGTGATTACGCAAATTATAGTTTTGCGGGTTTGATTTTTATTTTACGATGTTATTCCTTCACTGTTTTAAGACTTTAATACACCTCTCCCATGTTCCCCCTCTCCTTTGCTGGACATCAGCAGTACTTCATCTGCTATTGGTCGATAGCTTGAACCGTTAACATTACCGTCCTTAACCCACTGAGTTTCTCGCCGGATCTTCTCAGTGGGTCGCATGTCCGATCCGGTGGTAGATTCTGTGAAGCACTGCTCTTGCTAGGGCCAGTGTTAGCAACACTCCGGTTTGAGCCCTTAGAACTCACCTACACGCTAGGGTAACGCTGATATAACCTCTCAAGGCTATCAGCATAGGTAGAAATAAAAAACTTACTGTCCACATTAACCCAACTATTAGACGAGAATTATTTAGTTCAATTTCGATCTATGTATGTAGGCTGTTGTCTAAGTTGACTTACGCCTCATTATTAGTTACCACAATAGAGATTGAGGGGAACGGGGAGATGTGGCTTGATGAGAGCGCACTGATATCTCGTGACCAATGGTCAGACAGGTTTTTATTTGCATGGATGGGTGCACGAGTTTACAGCCCACCTGGTGTTAGGTGGTTACTGGAGCCTATAGACATTTACAATGTTGCCACCTACCTTGAGATATGAGTTCTAAGATCTCAGGTAGGGGGGGGTTACACTATGAGGGAGACTCACCTTTGTCGGTGAGCGTCTCGTCGAGCAGCACGTGCGCGAGCAGGCCGCCCGCCAGCACCCGCCCCCCCGGCCCCGCCGTCGCCCCCCTCCACCGGGACAGCTCCTCCGAGCACGACACCAACTCCGCACTCTGGGGGACACATCATGAAACCGTGTATACATTTAAAGTTCTGTGTATCTGCAGTGTTTATTGCTGATGCACCAAACGGTCGATTCGTTGACTCATTACCTTCTCTTTTTTTTTCTCCCTACCTATGCTGATAGCCTTGAGAGGCTATTTCAGCGTCACCCTAACGTGTGAGCTAACGGGGCTCAAACCGGAGTGTTCCTAACACGAACCCCAGCAAGAGCAGTGCTTCGCAGAATCTACCACTGGATCGGAAACGCGACCCACTGAGAAGATCCGGCGAACCTTATCAGTAGCTATAGAGGCCTATGCGAAAGCAAAATAATCTTAGCCGATGTCAAATGAAAAGATAAAAAAAAAGATAATGAATAATATGTATCTAAATATAAATTAGGGTTGTTAATAAAGGCTTTTTTATCTTTATCTTTATCAGTAACTCCGAGAGTTGTTCGGAACTTGTATATATGTAAGCTTATCTTGAAAATGTCGTAAGCGAAATTCAGGTATCTGTCGAATATCTTGCGTTGTATGATGGCTACCGCCACGTCTGGTGGTGGGTACGTACTGGTGGTGGCGCGGGGACGCGCGGCTCGGGCTCGTGGTAGGCGGAGAACCCGTCGTGCTGCAGCAGCGGCAGCCGCGGCTCCAGCACCACGCACGCCGCGTCGCCCAGCACCAGGTACCCGCCGGCGCCCTCCGTGCTCTCCGCGCCGACGGTCTTTGGACTCTCCTACATTAACATTATTGTTTAATATTCACTTTTCAATAATTACCCTTCCTTGAGACATTCCAAGGTGCTCGATGGGTTCGTAGACCTTGAGGCTCTGAACTTGAAAGAGATTGAGAGAGACAGTATTGTTTATGGTATAACAAAAAAAAACATAACATAAAAAAGTACAATCGACGGTCATATCGCTAAGAGCAATCTCTTCCAGACAACCATCTGGTGGACGAGAATCATTTAGAAACGAATTACACCAGATGAGCAAACCTATTTCAATAAAATTAAAGAGTAAACTACGCAGAATGTACATTTCTTTCGTACAACGACAAAAAAAATTAAAAGACCATAGAATCGACAGTATATTTTTTTCAAACTTGACATTTCTTGAAGCAAATACTTGAGTATAATGACACCCATAAATTGAAGTAGTAAATATTTATTAATGATAAATAGAAAATCTATTAAAGTAGGCAATTATTAGGTAAAATAGGTACGTAGGCCTTTCTGTTAAATAATCTGGTTTCCTGACATGACAGTTTACTAGGGTTGACAAAATTTTTGGCTTTCATAATAAAAAAAAATTACGGGGTATTTTGTAGCACGTTGTATGCAATTCTATACATATAAAAATAAATGATGATGAATGAATGATATTCGTTAGTCTCGCTAAAACTCGAGAACGGCTGGACCGATTTGGCTAATTTTGGTGTTGAATTATTTGTGGTGTAAGTCCAGAAAAGGTTTAAAAGGTAGATAAATATGAAAATCTTCGGAATTAAATAAAAATAACAATTTTGTTTTTTCCTCGGACGGATTCCTTTTGTTTGTTTTAAGTTTATTTTATACAAAAGTTTAGTTCTTTTATTTATCGATTGAGGCACGACGAAGTCTGCCGGGTCAGCTAGTACAATAATAATAATTTTGCTTCTTTACACATAAATAAGAATGCTTGCTTGCTACTACGAGTAGTAGTGGCGGGGGTGGGCACCGTACCGGCGTGTGCGGCGTGGGGTCGATGATGGCGACGAGCGCGCCCCCCAGCGCGTCGTCCAGCAGGTAGGTGGGTCCCCGGCGCGGCGTGATGACGTACGTGTCGGGCCCCTCCTCGCCGCCCTCCGCCCCCTCCCCGCTGTCGGCCCCCTCCCCGCCCTCCGTCTCCTCGCCGCCGGACCCCGCCTCGCCGCTCTCTTTTTCTAAACGCACCAAACAACTCACTTTAATCTAAATAATCACCTGAGCCAATGTTGTTTATAAATTGTAATCTTGTTTAACACAATTAAGCGCATCGTACGAATAGTTCCTATCTATATATTAATAAACGTGAAGTAAAAACTTTGTACTCCTTTTTATGAAAATTGCGCGGATGGCATATTATGAAATTTCCCACACTTATAGAGAATTTAGAGAAGGAGTGCAGAATGTTAATATTTTTTTTAAATTATGCATAAAAAATACATTAAATTAATAAAAAAACATTACTCACACTACCATGTATTTGATACACACACGCATACATACTATTCGTTATTCAAAACTTTCCTTATTACTTATAGTCTGTGGTCAAATGCAGAATAGATTAAATATTGTTTGTCTTTATTAATATTTGTCTAAAGTGGTCTTGGCGAAATCTGTGATTACAGAAGTATAATAGTCCTTGACAATAGAATCATAATAGTGTACGAACTTATAATTTCAATTAATTATAGTCGAACTTCGACTACTGCGGGACCACTAGTTGAAATAAATACAATAAGGTCAAGTTCAATGAGTATATGTATAGTACCCATGCGAGGACTCATTACACGCGTCATCAAATAAAAATGTGTGTTGTAAATATAAAAATGTTTTAAAAGTTAAAAAATAATGTCGTACCAATTAAATTGCAGGTTCAAATAACATTTCAGATTAACAATTAAAACCACGGAATAGATAAATAAGGTTGGAATGGTAATGTAGGCGGGGCAAGCGTGCCACTGTTATGATTGTACAAACGTAACTCGACCGACTCAGTCATTCACCGCGCTTAGTGTGTTTCGGAATACTTGGGCCAACAGATCTCTGCTTTATAATGCCGTGTTGTGCAATTATAACGTGTAAAACGAAAAGTGAGACCTCAAGTATAGAGCGAGGAGGTATATCTTTCCATCGGTAAGTCGAAATTACCATTTGATTACAATATTATTTGTCTAAAACATAAAAATATACTGATCATTATGAAATTCCAAACATTAACAACATTATTGCCTCAAGTTATAAATAACATACATTGCGCGATGTGTACTCGCCCAATCAACGCAATGACCAAGTCCGCTTGCAATGAATTACATGCATTGCGTTCTCTCACTTCAATATTTGAAATTTCGGCCTTTGCCCTGATTGGCCCTACGCTAGTTCGATAGTGAGGTGACCTGTTAATGTTATGTTATACGGTTAAATAAAATCATCGACAGATTTCTCGACTTTACATTTGACATGGATAATTTTAGTATTTTTATATTTAATTAATGATACCTAATATATTCTTAGTTAGACATATTTTGAGTAAATTAAATATTATTATTATTGAAATATTATCATTGAATTAATGTGAAGGTATAATATAAAGGGACATGTAGACCTCTGATTTACGGGTATTTACTATATTGACTAAGACGTATTAAAATCTAAGTAAAATGCTATTTGACTTATGCAATAAATTATAAATTTTAGGTTTCCTAAAGAACCTAACGCCAGGGAACAATGGATTAATGTGACAGGTAGAGGAAACTGGATGCCGACAAAGACGAGTACTATTTACTCTAAACATTTTACGGAAAATGATTTTATCATTAAAAAATTAGGCTTTAGGTACTTAAAACCAGGGGCAATCCCAACACAAAAAATTGTTCAGATTTATTCAAGTTCTTTGGTAAGTTCTTTGGTAATTGCGATAGTGCTCAGGTTAAATTTATAGTGGCTAAAGATAAGGGTGGCTTGTTATATCAGTCAAAAGATTTGATACAGATCTGTAAAATATCAGAATCTGTTATCAAAGTTTATACGGAAACCCTACGTAATATAAATAAAAAAATGTTAGTGACAAAAATTATGCGTAACTTTGTAGGTAGTGAAATATTTAAGAACATAATTTATCATCAAATTGGCCAATACCCTACAGCAGACCACGTCACAGACCTCACCAAAGCAATAATTGAAAAATATATTAACGTGAGATTACACTTTATTTTGAAAAATTCATTCGCAGTTAATAGTAAGTATTCAAATGTAGAAAACTGCTTAATAAATACATTTTATTTCAGGGACAGTGATTATTTGTATTTAATAAAAGTAAAATAGTTTAAATATTTATTTCATGTTTCATTTTTCCTCAAACATTCATCAGATAATTTATCGATAAAGAATATCGACTTTATCAAGCACTAGCGTGTATGAACATTTTTATTGCCTTTTTGCATGTGTGAGTGTGTATGCCTACGGAAGTTTAGTGCTAGTCTGCGAACGAATATCTGCCCTGAGATTTATGTGTGGATGTTTTTGTTGTGTGCGAAATGATTGTAATCATAGTCTGCGTATGTGTTGAAATTAAAATAGTGGGGGTAAAGCGGCGACACTGGTTCTGATACAAATTTAGAGCAAAGGCCTTTCCAACCTTATTTATCTATTCCGTGATTAAAACCATTCGTCGCCCGATGATCAAATTTAAGACTCAACTATTGACACCGATTTAGTTTATTTTTATGAAAAGATGGGAAAAAATTATTTAATTGGCAACACTAAGCCGCAGCTCTAACAGTACCTTGGACTTTTTGGCTGGAACGCGAGGAGTGAAGTTGTGCGATTAATTTTATTTTGTCTATTTAGTGTTTCTTAAGGTTTAAATGTGTAATAACGGTGGTTTATTGACTGTGAAGGTGCACAAATGTGGGAAACAAAGCCGCTGAACGTAGCTTCTCGGGATCCAAAAAGTCCACTGAAAAAGTCTCAGTAAATGACCACCATTTTACGGAGATTATACTTCATCCCATATCATCTCATCTCATTTCGTTTATTTGATTTCATAATATCATTATTCAAGTAAAAAAAGTTTTCATTAAAATTAAAATAAGACTTAAAGGTCTTAGTTACCAGGTCATAAAATCCCATTAAAAAAAACCAACAGTACCTGCGTGCTGCAGCAGCCTGCACAGCGAGTAGCCCGCGCACGGCGCCGCGCGCGAAACCACGAACCGCCCCGCGCCCCCCACCTCGCCTGCAACAGCCGACACGGTTACTGCACGCGCCTCCCCCCTCCTCCTTCCACCGGCGCCATGACGTATCACAAGAGTTCGTACCTTCGTAAGCGTTGACGGGCGTGTCGGTGTCGCTGGACAGCAGGTCGTGCTCCTCGGCGCTGTGCTGTATGAACACGGCCTGCAACAAGACACGGGGGGACGTTAATAAATACTTTAACAGTTTTTTTTTCCTTGAGAGGCTATTTTAGCGTATCTTTAACTAGTAGGTGAGCTCACGGGGCTCAAACCTGGGACGTTGCTAACACGAACCCTAACAAGAGCAGTGCTTCGCAGAATCTACCACCAGATCGGGAACGCGACCCACTGAGCAGATCCGGCGAGAAACTCAGTGGGCTGTGTCTGAGGGTTAATTTACTCGTCGAGCCCGAGAACGATGACCGGATAACAGTTAAATACGGTTCATTCAAACATTATATTGAAAACAGCGAATTATAATTAAATGACACGAACAACTATCTACATCACACTTATGTGCATTTATTTATTTATTGCTTACATGTGTGGACGAGCTCACAGTTCACCTGGTGCTACGATATAAATGCGTCACCCACCTTGAGATATAAGTTCTAAGGTCTCAGTATAGTTACAACGGCTGCCCCACCCTTCAAACCGAAACGAATTACTGCTTCACGGCAGAAATAGGCGGGGTAGTGGTGCCTACTGGTGCGGACTCACAAGAGGTGCTACCAGCAGTAGAGAGGCTACCTTGGGCGGCGCGTGCTTGTAGTGGAGGCTGATCTTGCTGAGCTCGTGGTCCAGCTCCGCTAGCTGCGACACGTGGCGGGACTTGTGCACCTCGCTCGCCTCTACGTCAGACTGTTGGAACAGAAAATAAAATTAAATAAATCCCTTTTTTTTATTGCCCTTGTAGACAGACGAGCATACGGCCTACCTAATGGTGAGTGGTTACAGTCGCCCATGGACTTCAGCAATACCAGGGGCAGAGCCAAGTCGCTGCCTATCTGTCATGACATGCCCCTTTACCATCTTAAGAAATTATACTTCTGCGTGTATATAGTACCATATTTCCAGCGACTTTATACATTTTTTTTAAATTGCCTTTGTAGTCCGATGAGCATACCGTCGGTCGTGGCCATCAGTACGATAGAAGTAAATCCAAGCCGTGATCTACTATTCAACTTATTATAAAGACTAAAAGCATTTAGTGAACCGACCGAATAGTGAAGTCGTCGCGGCCTAAAGGATAAGACGTCCGTCGTATGTAGCGATGCACCGGTGTTCGAATTCCGCAGGCGGGTACCAACTTTTCTATACGTACCAAATGTTCACGATTGACTTCCACGGTGAAAGAATAACAACGTGTAATAAAAATCAAAGCCGCAAAATTATAATTGTCGTAATTACTGGTGGTAGGACATCTTGTGAGTCCGCATGGGTAGGTACCACCACCACCCTGCCTACTTCTCCGTAAAGCAGTAATGCATTTTGGTTTAAAGGGTGGGGCAGCCGTTGTACTGTAAGTTAGAACTCATGTCTGAAGGTGGGTGGCGGTATTTACGTTGTAGATGTTTGTAGGCTCCGATGACCAATTAACATCAGGTGCGCCGTGAGCTGGTCTACCCACCTAAGCTATAAAAAAATTAATAAATAAAGAATTCGCACGACAGAGCACTACGTCTCTCTGAAGTTCTGTACAATACAATTCAAGATTACAATTTAAGTCTCAACACAGGTGGCGGGCCGATCGGATGGCCGATAATCCCATTCTCACGGATCGTCTGGAACCTCTGGGCCGGCGGAGGGACTTCGGTTCCCTCTGTATTTTGTATCGTATGTTCCATGGGGACTGCTCTGAGGAATTGTTTGAGATGATATCGTCATCTCGATTTAAAAAAAAAAAAAAAAGTGCTGGTACTCCAGTCTCGGGGCGCTGGTGATCGTTTGGCAACTTCTATGTCATGACTGCCTCTAAATCAAAATTATATATACCTTAGCCAAATGATGCGTGTGCTGTCGATGCGTCGGCGACAACGCTGGACTGTACTCGAGCGGAGAGCCGGGAGATACAGGACCCTGATTAACACAGAAAATAATCAACATATTTTTTAAAGTAATCACTCAAAAGAAAGCATTACTCTAACCCATACAAGTACCTCCCCCCCCCCCCGTGTCCACCGCCAGCCGAACGTTCCGGCTCGCAGAGTGGGACAACGGTTTTGTAAACATGGATTCAAGTAGTGATATCTATGGGATTTCCATAGCTTGTCTATGTATCTACTTATTTTTTCCTATCAATTCTAGTAACCTCAAGGGGTTATACTAGATTCACAGAATGATATGTTTCTACAAAGCATAGGCCATTCACATAATTAAGTCGTCGTGGCCTAAAGGATAAGACGTCCAGTGCATACGTGTCGAGCGATGCACCGGTGTTTGAATCCCGCAGACGGGTACCAATTTTTCTAATGAAATACGTACTCAACAAATGTTCACGATTGACTTCCACGGTGAAGGAATAACATCGTGCAATAAAAATTCAAACCCGCATAATTATAATTTGCATAATTACTGGTGGTAGGATCTCTTGTGAGTCTACACGAGTAGGTACCACCGCCCTGCCTATTTCTGCCATGAAGCAGTAATGCGTTTCGGTTTGAAGGGTGGGGCAGCCGTTGTAACTATACTTGAGACATCTCGAGGTGGGTGGCGCATTTACTTTGTAGATGTCTATGGGCTCAAGTAACCACTTAACACCAGGTGGGCTGTGAGTTCATCCACCCATCTAAACAATAAAAACAAAAAAAACTAAACTGACAAAAATGTGAAATAATCACACAAACCTAATACTATAGGATATTGTAACTTACGCTGTTCGATATAGAGGCCAACTTGTGTTGCAGGGAGATCATGTAGTCGTTGTACGAGTGACTCTTGTTGGGCGTGCTCGGCTGCGACGAGCCCGTAGAGTTTACGTTGTTCATGCCTGCAGACAGACCGAATGTCTCTCTTTAACCGACTTCAAAAAAGAAGGAGGTTCTCAATTCGACTGTATGTTTTTTTTTATGTTTGTTACCTCTGAACTTTTGACTGGGTGAATCGATTTTGGTGATTATTTTTTTATTAGACACCTGACGCTTTCAGTGGTCCCATTTCAATTTAGTGCAATTCTGATAATGGTATCCATGAGAAAACCATATAAGTCTTAAACTTGCATTAAAATACGTGTGCGACAAATAGATGAATAATTCAATAACTCAATATCACGCTTACTGATTTCGATGATTATTGTTTTTAGTGTATATTAATTTGTTTTGGAATATATTTCTTTTTCTATTTGAAGTCCGTTTTTTTTAAAGCATGTCTATTAACAATTATATCCGTGTGTAATACACGTTGTAGTTCACATCGCATTCACATTTTTTGAAGTAAAACTTCTAATGTGACTTCCAACAAGGTAGCGTTAAACGTTTATCGCTACCATGGAATAGAAAGAGAGAGCGAGAGTGAATGCGCGGCACTCCATACCTGTTACAAGCCAGCGCGAGCGTTAGCAACGAGTAGCGTCCAATATTTTAGTGAAGTATTTAAAAAATATATATAATATATTTATTTTTCGATTTATAATTTAAAATACATATAAAATAAATGTTGAAGATGTCGCATCTCTTATACACAGCATTCCCTATTACAAGAGCAATCTCATTTAAGGATGAAAAATTAAGAAAACCACAATACCACAATACCACACACCAATACACATCCAAAAAGAAGTTTCACGTCATTCACATTACGTCAAGTTGCACCGGTACTGTTTTTTTTTATATCTAAATACTTCAACTTATATTCTGGCTCTGATAACATGGTGAAAGTAGTCCTAAATATATATTTTCGCCCGCAGTGGGTCCCCCCCTCCCCCGTCGTGACGTCACCCACCTATATCGATGTCGACGGGCCTCCTGGCGAGCGAGACAGCTCGGTGCGCGACGAGCTGTGAGAGATTCTGTCCGACCAGTCCGCCCACGCCCAGCTTCTGCCCGCCCATGAGGGTCTGCCCGCCTAGCGACAAGTTCTGCCCAGCTAAACCTGCAGAAAATACGAAAACCTTAGGAAAGCGTTTTTTAAATTTTTTGATGTACAAATATTACGTCCTAACGTATTCAACTCTTTGCATTACCAATTTAAAACATTCTACACATGAAACAAAAGAGATATCAAGGAATTTTAAGGTAATAAGGCAGAGATCATTGATTGGTGGTAGCTGGATTGACTATTATCATGTGAGATGTTTTGGACTAAATGCACTATTTAATAATTATTTAATCAAACCTTCGTTACTTAGTCACGCAAAAATACATTAATGGATTTGGATGTATACATATGAGACTTTGTATTTCAGTAATGATTATTACCCGGGCAGCTCCAGAGGTACATCTGCTATAGTTAACACGAGTGTTAACTGATTTCACATAATAAAGGTTCTATCTACATACCGTCTAGTTGTTTATGTACCACAGAAAACACAAGCAACTTTTGTATATTCTATACGCGTATCATTAATTATGCCTAAAAAAGTGAATATGGCTGTATACGCAGAGCATGCTTGGTATACCATGTAATAATTAATTAAACAAGTTTTATACAGTATANTAGTTAACACGAGTGTTAACTGATTTCACATAATAAAGGTTCTATCTACATACCGTCTAGTTGTTTATGTACCACAGAAAACACAAGCAACTTTTGTATATTCTATACGCGTATCATTAATTATGCCTAAAAAAGTGAATATGGCTGTATACGCAGAGCATGCTTGGTATACCATGTAATAATTAATTAAACAAGTTTTATACAGTATATGTATATACCCAAATTGTGCGTAAGATTCTGCCCCATTAGATTCTGGTTGAGCGCCAAGTTGTGGGCCAGGCCGATGTTCTGATGCTGGAGAGGAAGTCCCAAGCCCAGCAGCGGCCCGCCCAGCTGTCCACTGACCGACGTCTGCAGGACTTGTTGCTGAGCTAAAAAAACATTGAGATTACATCCACCCCTTTTTTTCCCCTACCTGTGCTGATAGCCTTGAGAAGCTATATCAGCGTTACCCTAGCGTGTAGGTGAGCTCACGAGGTCAGTCCGGAGGCGTTGTTAACGCTGGTCCTAGTGCTTCGCAGAATCTACCACCGGATCGGAAACGCGACCCACTGAGCAGATCCGACGAGAAACTCAGTGGGTTGTGTCTGTGGGTTAATTTACTCGCTGAGCCTTTCGTCGCAAGCGTCGGGTTCGGCGAGGACGGTGACCGGTGCTTGAGGTCCCTAAAAGCACCGTTAATGGATCGGAAGGATCCGTAATGATGTGGTCCATCACACTAACACGTGACAGTATCATTTTGTTTAGAAACCAATTGTTTAATCTTAAAAAGAACAATGAAGCTAAAGGGTGAGGTTGCAGTTGTTGAAGCGGATCCAACCGTTAAATTACCTACATAAAATTCTATTTTCAATTTTAATTGGGGACATAATAATTATTCTAATTTTTTTATTAAATATTGCTAATCGCCATCGATCGCCACAATCACGCATGCATGTCAGCTGTTTGCCATAACATTTCAGTTAATCGTCGTATATACGAGTGAATATCTCTGGTTCACATTGCACAGGGAATCTCAGATCGGGGGCCCGACGACCATGTGGGATTTTATATCGAACAGCGGACATACAAGTCGGCTGTGGCGGTCAGTGGCAGCTCACCTAGGAGATCGTTGGCTGTGGCCAGCATGGGCGGGTAGTACTGCTGCGGGTACTGCGGGCCCAGCACGCCGCCCACCACGCCGGGCGCTGGTTAGTCGCCACACGACACAATCGCATTAATAATATTATACGTACTAAAACATTCACATCAGGCGACATTCGATTATTTGCGAGCTTTTAAAGTGCAAACGTTAAGCCGCTTTCAGACTGCGCCATAATATAATATACTAGCGACCCGCCCTCGCTTCGCTTCGGAAACATTAAAACACACATGAAACCAAAAAATAAAAAATAAAAAAAAATATAAAAAAGTAGCCTATGTTCATCAGGGACAATGTCGGCATCTAATGGAAAAATAATTTTTCAAATCGGTCCAGTAGTTTCGGAGCCTATTCGAAACAAACAAACAAACAAATCTTTCCTCTTTATAATATTAAGTATAGATTCTGAAGTCGTCGTGGCCTAACGGATAAGACGTTCGGTGCATTCGTATGAAGCGATGCACCGGTGTTCGAATCCCGCAGGCGGGTAACAATTTTTCTAATGAAATACGTACTCAACAAATGTTCACGATTGACTTCTACGGTGAAGTTTGATTTGATTTGATTTGATTTGAAGGATTAACATCGTGTTATAAAAATCAAACCCGCAAAATTATATTTTGCGTAATTACTTGTGTTAGGACCTCTTGTGAGTCCGCACGGGTAGGTACCACCACCCTGCCTATTTCTGCCGTGAAGCAGTAATGCGTTTCGGTTTGAAGGGTGGGGCAGCCGTTTAACTATACTGAGACCTTAGAACTTATATCTCAAGGTGAGTGACGCATTTACGTTGTAGATATCTACGGGCTCCAGTAACCGCTTAACACCAGGTGGGCTGTGAGCTCGTCCACCCATCTAAGCAATAAAAAAAAACTTATGGACACGTTCACACTGTACTATACTATATATTATTAGTTAAGTATACTATATGGCACTATAGTATAGTGTAGTCTGAAAGCAGCTTTACATTGTTCTCCTGCCGTACTTATGTACAGCGTGTTCTATTATCAATTAAATCGATAAGCTGTTATTCGCGAATTTGATCGATACAATAACGACCGGTAGACGTGTGCCGTGACTCATTAACACCCTGACAGCCGTGTAGGTCACCGGTGCCCTACGCGGCGCACTGAAGTAATTATGTCGATTTCTGTTACCAAGCGCCTGGATTGCCTAACTTGGCCTTATTTTGTTTGTTATTATGTGTTTAAGTATTTTAGATATCTTAGTAACAGATTCATTCTTAGTATCTTCGGATTCGTCTACTAGATATTCCGGGGCATTAGTAGCAGAAGTCGACATAATTACTTCAGAGCGCCACGGAGGGCACCGGTGACCTACACGGCAGTCAAAGGATTAGGAATCGTCTTAAGTCACTTTAACTGAACACAAGAGACGATTGAGCAAAGATGAGACAACTTTAGTTCCACGAGCGTTACAGTTAGTGCAGCGTATACTCAATATATAAATTAATAAGATTTTCAAAGCAAAACGCTAATTTAGCAGACATACTCCATTAAATAGTTGAACAAAGCTAACAAGACAAATGTGCATTGATACATACCGGGTGGATTGTTATTGAGTATGGTGCTGTGGAGGCCCAGGTCTGGCTGCGGGAAGGTGGGCTGATTGAGAAGTCCCAAGAGATTCGGACCGGACAAATTCTGTTGCTGACTGGAATACATGACAACATTCTATATACAAAACTATATTAGTTCTCAGAGCTAGTTTAAGTTTTCATAATTTTCATTTCTAATTAACACAGTTATTGTCTTAAATATGGAGTACATGTGTAAACTCTTTATTACTCTTACTTAATAACAATTTTTTTTTTTTAATTTGCGTCTATTTTGTTTTTACTTTTGTATTGGTGCAATATAAAGCATTAAAAAAAACATTTATAATATGTATCTTTTGCAAGAAAATCAAAATAATAATTTTTTTTTTTTTACATATTCGGGACATTTTTTTTCATATTACATAAGGGGCAAGAGCTACCACTACCTACTTCTGAATGAATCTACCAACGGATCGGAATCGCGAACAACTCAGGAGATCCACCGAGAAAGTCAGTGGGCTGTGTCTATGGCCTAGTTCAGTCGTCGATTTCGACATAAAGATACTTTTTTTGTTCGTTTAGCTTGGTTTTTAAAGCATGTTGTTTTTTGTTTGTTTTTATTTTATATTTATATTAGAAGCTTTTTAATATCAATATTATGGGAGTGAGACTTTGAAATAAGTAAATCATTCCCATTCAACGACCTTAAGTTAGGACTTTCTCCTGTGTTACACAAACTTATAGGAGACAAAAAAATTAACCCTATTCTAAAGCACAGAGTTTACTAGTATGAGACAACTCACTTCATAATATTCTGTTTGAGCAACATCCTATGTATGTTCTCAGCATTAGGCATGGTGTCAGCGACCCCGGGTGTTGGGATTATGTTCTGGGGGGCCGGTGCCCTCGCGGGGTCGACCAGGCCGGTTCCAAGAACATTAAGGCCGAGGTCGTTGCCCATGGGCGTGCCCGCTTGACTTAGACCAAGCAGAGGACTGTCCGTTGCAATCTGCAGGGGCGTCGTCAAATTGGGCTGCAGCATCATCGGGTTGATGACATTCTGGATGGGCACGCTGGATACCGGTACCGACATCGGTATGCTAGTAACTGGTTCCGGTACTGGCTCGACCCTCTCGGGCTGGTAGGTAGGAACTTGTGTCTCTGGCAGGCCGTTGACCTGCACCTCCCTCAGTTCTTTGGCTAGATCCTGAAGTCTCTCAGGCTCCGGTATCACAGTCTTCTCCTCGGGTAGATTCTCCCCGCGGTCCACTACTGGACTGACTAGAAATCTGGATATCTTCCTTGTGGGTTTGAACGGTTTCCGGTCGCTGCTCTGGGACTCAGTACTGCCGGACCGTTCAGGAGCCGTCGATCCGCCGTCCGACTGGTTGGAGCCTATAGACGAGGCGGTGCTGATCTTCCTGGCGAGAGTATCGACTCGTTCGGGCGCGGGTTCAGCCCGCGGTTCCGCTTGGGTTTCAGTCTTCTGTTCGGGAGGATCGTACGCCAGTTCCGCGGCGATGTTGTCGTGGCTCGCGGTCGGCGTGGTGCACTCCGAGTTGTCCTGGTTCGAGTCCGTCAGGTTCTCTTCTCGCTCAGTCGTTTCTGAATCGTAATCAGTCTGTGGAAACAGTAGTGATCAAATTGAAGTTTAGAAATCTTTTTTTTTAAGAGATTTTATGACCTGGTAACTAAGACCTTTAGGTCAAGTCTTATTTTAATTTTAATGAATAATAATATTATGAAATAAAATGAAGTTGACTAATATGAAATATGACATGAAATAAAATGAAATGAAAACGAAATGAAATGAGATGGGATGTAAAATAATTTCAGTAAAATGGTGGTAATTTATTGAGACTTTTTCAGTTGACCTTTTGGAGGATCCCGAAAAGTTACGTTCAGCGGGGCTTCGTTTCATTTTGCCACATTTGTGCACTTTCACAGATACTAAACAGTTAATAAACGACCGTTATTACACATTTAAACCTGAAGAAACACGAAATAGACAAAATTAAACAAATCGCACAACTTCACAGCTCGCGTTGGCGCCAAAAATTCCCTTGGAAATCTTTGTTATGATTCGACCATAGGATACAGAATATACAGAATGCAGCAGCGCTCGGGCGGTCGTACCTTATCGATGTTGAGTCGCAGCGCGGAGTGGTGCGCGTGGCTGAGCACGGGCGTGGCGGCGGGGTCGGCGATGAGCTGCCGCACGATGTCGCGGATGAGCTCCATGAACGTCGCGCTCTGCCACTCCGGGAGCAGGTTGTTCGACACCTACAACACGCTAACATGTACTGCTGCACTGGGCTCATTAATTAAAACACCCGAGAGAGAGATTTTACCCGCCTGCGGGATTCGAACAGCGGTGCATCGGTACATACGAATGCACCGGACGTCTTATCCTTTAGGTCACGACGACTTCGGCGACTATTTGTTATTTTACCATCTCAATATAAACAGAACTATTTATTTAGGTAAAAGCTAAGCCCTAGTCACGACTAGGCTTAGCTAGACTAGCGCTTATAGGGCTTGCCAAAGCATATTAATAATATAAGCCATTAATAATACTCTCGATCCAGCTCTGATCTCAAGCAGTGTAGCGTAGGCAAATAACTCTCAAATGTTTAATCTTTGCCCTAATGCATTCTGTATCAAATATTAAATGTCGCATCTACACTTTATCTACTCATTATATTAAGTCGTATAATAAAATAGGATACATACTCTTCCGAATTTAGACATTGTATCATTGTATTATTAGACATTGTATCATTATATTTACTGGTGGTAGGACGTTTTGTGAGTCCGCGCGGGTAGGTACCACCACCCTGCTTATTTCTGCCGTGAAGCAGTAATGCGTTTCGGTTTGAAGGGTGGGGCAGCCGTTGTAACTACTTGAGACCTTAGAATTTTTATTCCAAGGTGGGCGGCGCATTTACGTTGTAGATGTCTATGGGCTCCGGTAACCATTTGACATCAGGTGGTCCGTGAGCTCGTACACCCACCTAAGCAATAGAGATTGAGATTGAGAAACGCGGCAACGACTCACGAGATTGCTGGCGATCTCCTCCGGGTTGACGTCGGTGACGTCGAACTTGAACGTGACGGTCTTGGACTTGGACTCGAGCTGGCACTCCACCCCGGTCCCGGCCTCGTTCACCTCCAGCACCGTCAGCTTCGGGAGCTTGTCCTTCTCCCGGGAACGCTTCTTCGAGCCGCGAGATTTCTTCTCGTTGGTTACCGGCGATGAAATGGCTGTGCCTAGTAAAAGTTTACATGTCGTTAAGTATGTAGTATCATGATATATTTCTTATGAAGCTTTTTTTTATTGCTTTGATGGGTGTTAAGTGGTTACTGCAGCCCATAGACATATACAACGTAAATGCCGCCACCCTCCCTGAGATACAAGTTCTAAGGTCTCAGTATAGTTACAACGGCTGCCCAACCCTTTAAACCGAAACGCATTACTGCTTCACGGCTGAAATAGGCAGGGTAGTGGTTCGGACTCACAAAGGTCCTACCACCAGTAATTACCGCAAAATATAATTTTGCGGGTTTGATTTTTGTTACACGATGTTATTCCTTCACCGTGGAAGTCGATCGCGAACATTTGTTAAGTACGTACTTCATTAGAAAAATTTATACCCGCCAGCATTTTCTAATAAATAAATAAAAAATTACCTTCGGCTGGTGTGTCAGCTTGTTTCTCATCAACGGAACCCAACTCTGACTGTCTGACTGCATCTGCGGGTACACTGCTGGAGGGTACGTCCGTCATTGGAGTTAGGAACTGCTCCTTTTGACCACCGTTCACGTGGAAGCCGGTCTCTTCCAAGTTCAACCTCTGGGGGACCGACTCATGCGGCGCGGGATGGGATGGGATCGGCTGGGGATGCGCCGGAGTCGGGTGCGACTGGGCTGCCGGTATCGACTGTATCGGCTGACTGATGAGTTGCGTTGGCGGGATGGCCTGGGACTGCGGGATGGATGGAACCTGCTGCGGCTGCGACAAAGGTTGGGAGATCGTAGCGTTTTGAGGCAGAACCTGAGCGGGTTGTTGGACAGTTTGCATGGTCTGCGGAACTGAGTGCATGGGCGGAGGCATGGATTGGATTGGCATAGTCTGAGCCATGGATGCGGGCTGCATCGTCGGCATCCCCTGTGTGGACTGCGGGAGCGACTGAACAGGCTGCGAGATGGAATGCTGTATGGGTTGGTTCGGTTGAGGCAACGCTTGCACGGGCTGAGGCATCGACTGGACCGGTTGAGGCACGGACTGCGTGTGCATGGGCTGGGTCATTTGTTGAGGAATACTTTGTGCGACGCTCATTTTCTGCACATTATCTTGCATGGTCTGCGCCATTGAGGACGGAATAGACGACTGCATCATCTGCATCTGCTGGTTTTGTTGCTGGTACATCTGCAGGGGATTCGAAGTATAGTTCTGCACGGGCGTTCCCTCGTGACTAGATATCTGCCTGTCCTGTTGGACAACGTTGAAGTTCTGCGCCATTTGCAAATTGTGAGGAAGAGACTGCCCCTGCATCTGATGCACTTTATGGTGGTAGGGGTCCTCAGACTGAAGAGTCTGTTTCTGCAGATCCAAATACTGATGTTGGTACTGTAGCTGATCGACTGACACTTGTTGCTGTAGGGCTGGCTTCTGATAGTCCTGCATCATCATCTGCTGGTCGTGTACGTCTGTGGTGGAACTGATCTGGCTCTGCTCTGACGCTTGTCTCTGGTACATGGGCCGTTGGGCTCGCAACATCTCCTCCATCTTCTGTTGTTGCTGACCGATTAGTTGTTGTTTCTGGGCCAAATACGCAATATTCTGCGGGTCTATGTACTTCTGTTGCGCCTGCATCTGCCACTCTTGTTGAGCCAAATACTGCTGCTGCAACGTTCTCAAGTGCTGCGGGGAGAGCGTCTGTCCGGGGATATACAGGTGCTGTTGGTTAAGCATTTGCTGTTGCAACGCATACTGTTGTTGCGCCAGCATTTGCTTCTGCATATTGAGTTGCTGCTGCACTTGCGCGACTTGCTGCTGGGCTTGTTCCACTTGCTGCTGCTGTGCGAATATAGCAGGATCCACGGCCGTCAACATCGGCTGAACGTATTGTTGGTTCTGCTGTATGGATACGTTTTGTTGCTGCATCTGCATCCCTATCAAGTTTTGCATCTTCTGTTTCAGCTCTTGCTCCTGAAGTTGTTCGTTTTCTGTTTGCATGGGTGGCACCGCGGTCTGCGCTTGAGTTTGGGGTTGGGTTTCAGATTCAGACTCCTTTCTTGTTTGCAACGTTTCTGGTCTATGAATGATTTGAGCTAAAATATTCTGTAAGTTCTGCAAGGAGGGATCTAGGATCTGATTGTTGACGACGGACTGGGGAGCGTTCATGATGTGCTCCTGTGTTGTCAGTTGTTCTTCAAACTGCTTCTGCTGGATGGCGGCTGCCTGCTGAGCAATGATGTTCTGTTGCCGCTGGATAATCTGCTGCTGTAAGACTTGACTCTGGTTGTTGATCTCGGCGGTCAGCTGCTGGTTGAGGAGGTTCGGTTGAATCTGATTCTGCGAAACTGTCGGTTCGAGGATCTGCTGGGTTTGTTGTTCCATCAACACCTGACCTTGGACGGTTTGTTCCAGCATGTGCTGGTTTAAGAGATTCTGCTCCATTAGGGCCTGGAAATAAAATCACAAATAATTGCAATTTGTAAGCGAAATTTAACCAAATTTAACAATGTCTCTGATCAGTCCTGCACATTATGGAAGGCTATACTTTAATGTACATGTTCTAATATCAGAAATCTATATACATATATATAAAAATGAATCGTTGCTGTTCGTTAGTCCCGCTAAAACTCGAGAACGGCTGGACCAATTTGGCTAATTTTGGTCTTGAATTATTTGTGGAAGTCCAGAGAAGGTTTAAAAGGTAGATAAATATGAAAATTCTCGGAATCAAATAAAAATAACAATTTTGTTTTTCCTTTGATGTGTCCCCCGTCGGACGGATTCCTTTTGTTTGTTTTAAGTTTATTTTATACAAAAGCTTAGGTCTTTTATTTATCGATTAAGGCACTACGAAGTCTTTCAGGTCAGCTAGTATAGATATATTTCTTTGTAGAAATACACAAAGACCTAAATTCACGAGAAACTTGAAATCGATATAATATCTGTATGTAATTATTGGTTATGAAATTAAATAGTTTCCGTACTTGCTGTTTCAGCTTATGCTCGAGCAGCGCATGCTGCAGATGCTGTTCTGACGGCGACATCCTGGCCTGCATCAGGTTGTGCTGCAGTAGCTTCATGGCGGTCTCCTCGTTGTTCAGCTGGTGGAACTGTTGCTGAAGCAGTTGCTGCTGAGCCTGCAGGAGTTGGGATTGTTGGCCTAGCCTGTCACAGAAATTGGGGAACTCTCTGTACTAGGCAACGTGTCGCGAGTGATCTCTCTGACAGTCTAGAACTCTATCTAACACTAANATCCTGGCCTGCATCAGGTTGTGCTGCAGTAGCTTCATGGCGGTCTCCTCGTTGTTCAGCTGGTGGAACTGTTGCTGAAGCAGTTGCTGCTGAGCCTGCAGGAGTTGGGATTGTTGGCCTAGCCTGTCACAGAAATTGGGGAACTCTCTGTACTAGGCAACGTGTCGCGAGTGATCTCTCTGACAGTCTAGAACTCTATCTAACACTAACACGATCGTCTCGTAATTATATGAATGATTTTTCAAGGCTTTTAAGTGCTTAAAAGTTCTACAGCAAGAGTGGATATACTTACTGGACGGCTGCTAGAGGCGCGGGCCCCACTCCGTTCAGCAGGCCACTCTTCACTTGTTCAACGGGCCCAGGCTGCTGATTCTGCATCATCTTCATCTGCAAAAGATACATTTCAGCGTTTCCCTTCGACGTTCGCAACTCTTATCGCTTTGAATGCTCACTACAGTTGTATCACGATTGATCGTCCATTATAGTTTAGAAATTATAGGTATGATTATAAACATAGAGAAACATCCGCATGATTATTTTATATTGCTGTTAATGTGGGGACGAGTTCATGACCCATCTGGCGTTAAGTGATTAACAGTTTCTAGACGTCACAGCTCGAATACGGCCACTCAATTTCGAAAGATAAGATCGACCATTCCATTAGATCCCATCAAAATCCCAATTTGTTCCTTTCCACGGTGTTTCCTGAGCGCTATGACATGTCCTTCTTCAAACGAAGCTTGTGGAGAGTATTAAGCAGTAGGCAGCGGCTTGGCTCTGCCCCTGGCATTGCTGAAGTCCATGGGCGACGGTAACCACTCACCATCAGGTGGGCCGTATGCTCGTCACCCTACAATGGCAATAAAAAAATATTAAAAAAGGCACGTCTGACTTTTTTGTCATAATTATGGTGTGTAGCCGAAATCAACTCACCTGTCGAAGTTGTTGCTCAAACATCTGTTGTTGTCGATTCTGTTCGATCATGACTTCTTGGTTGAACAAAAGTTGAGCTTTCTTCTCGGTCCGTTCACTGGTGACATAAACGATAACGTAACGTATCATGTACATAATAATATGTAGATTTGGTAAGAACGGAACGTATCACGAAAGCGTGGAACGGAACGTTAAAATGTGAGTGAGAGAAAATTGTAAGAAAAAGAAAAGAGAATGACAGAGAAAATCAAGATGGCGAAGACGGTTGAATAAGCACCGGAGCCACTACATTCATTGGAAATGGAGCAGATTCTAAACATTTTTGACTCATATCCAGCAATAATTCTTCTCAGCTTATAGCCCCGTGAGCTGACCTACTCGCTCTGTGAACCTCTCGAGGATACAAGAACTAGTTGTCCCCCAATAGTCGAAATTAGACTATAATTAATTGAAATCATAAGTTTAAACATCATTATGGTTTTATTGTCAAAGGAGACGCCGTAGCTTACCACCACCACCACATATAGAGACATGAGTTCGAAGCTTAAATTGCATCTTATAAAACCTATCCAACCGTTGAAACAAAAACATACGAGAAATTGATGCCTGTAGCATTATTGATGGTGAAACCCGATCCTGCGGACCGAATGGTAAACAGTCGACGTCGCCCAAAACAAGTCATTTCGGATCCTCCCGATCCACTAACGGTGCTTTTGGGTACCCCAAGCACCGGTCATCATTCTCTTCGAACCCGTCGCTTGCGACGAAGGGCTCGGCGAGTAAATTAACCCATAGACACAGCCCACTGAGCTTCTCGCCGGATCTTCTCAGTGGGTCACGTTTCCGATCCGGTGGTAGATTCTCTGAAGCACTGCTCTTGCTAGGATTGGTGTTAATAACGTCAGGTTTGAGCCCCGTGAGCTCACGTACTCGCTCAATTACGCTGGCATAGCCTCTCAAGGCTACCAGCTTAGGTGGAAAAAAAAAATGGTGGAAACTTGTTTGGTTATTGTTTTAGCTAATTTTTAGTATATTATCTGTTTGTTTTGTGCTGTTGGTTCTCCTAATAAATACATTTAAAAAAAAAACACCATGACAACTAATAGTCCAATAGGTGTTGTATTCATTACAGCCACTGACGTATCTAATTATAATGATAGCTATAGCTGAAATTATAAATAAACGTATGTAGGAAATTGTTGATAAAAACTGATAAGGTTTGTATGTATTAACATAAAAGGCGTTGAATACAGCTGTATTTGATTTGAATATATAATCTAAGCACTGCCACGCGCACGGTCTGATAATTGTGTGGACGTGTTTTGTTTTACTAAAAGAATGTATTAGGTGATATTAGGCAATGAAGTTTGAGATTGCTGATTACTGATTTCGACTAGAGTTTGAATTATTTCGAAGGCATTAGGGCCATCTGATGATGACCATTACCCGTGAACAAGGCCAAGCTAGAGAGACTGAGGAGACAGATAACATATTTGGCTAAAAACAAAACCGGCATTAAACTAAAATCTCATAATCTGTATATTGAGAAACGATCGTGCAATTTTAGATTACGAGTAATAATACAATACACTTCATATAATATTACAATAATTACGTACCTACATCATAACCAACTGTAATCCGCTTACCGTGTCAAAATCACGACTCAAACATCACATCACTTCCAATTACATTTTATTACGTGCTTCTAGAAATATTATCCGTTCGAATTGCACGATTATATTGTTTCACTCACTCATCATATTAACATTCAAAACAAAGAACAGAATAGAACAGTCGATCTATGCACAAAAGACATTCGAGAAATTTATCGATACGACACACTTATCATAATAATAATATGACCAAAACAAGCACCAAGAATAAGAGAGATGTTTTTATTTATTTATTTTTTATTTAAATTAAATAATATCCTTGAAAGAATACCTCTGTTTGTGTGCATATTCGATGAACGTGTAAAAACGTTATGAGTCTAGTTCGTTTGTGAATATCGTGGATCGTAATCTTACACGATATAGTGTTTATAATTATAGAACAATATGACGATTCTTATCTATAAATTTAAGAACACTTATTTACTTTTTTATTTTATTTTTTTCACCATTACACCGTCAAACGTTGGTGTTTAAGCTGTGTGTATTGTTTGAGATAAGCATAAAATTTCCAGTTCACTTAATTATAATTTAGTTTTTGAATGTCCTTATGAAATTTAATATGATTTAAATTGACCTCGTCATGAATTCGGGTACAAGGAAAACATCTTTTTTTTTTCTCGATTACACGAAACATTTTTTTACTGCAGCGCGTGTTAGTTTAATAACTTAATATAAGTCGCAAAATGATAAATTAATACATTCACAGAACAATGGAATTCAATTGGTTAAACAAGATAACTCAAAAGAGCAAGTTATGTGAATCTATTCAACTATTTCTAGAATTTTTTTTTCAATTTTTTTTTTTTTATTGCTTTTTTTTTATTTCCTTTGTAGGCAGACGAGCATACGGCCCACCTGATGGTGAGTGGTTACCGTCGCCCATGGACTTCAGCAATGCCAGGGGCAGAGCCAAGCCGCTGCCTACCGAGCTACTACTAGATGGGTGGACGAGCTCACAGCCCATATGGTGTTAAGTGGTTACTGAAGCTCATAGACATCGACAACGTAAACGCGCCACCCACCTTGAGATATAAGTTCTAAGGTCTCAGTATAGTTACAACGGCTGCCCCACCCTTCAAACAATACACAATATACTTCAAACGATACAAATAACTTATTGTGAGCTTTATATGTACCTATAGGGTGTATAAAAACGAATTCTCGTCATCGGTAATTGCTTCTTTAAACGAAATCGACTTTATAGCTAATATAAATAGAAAGTAATTTACTTTTCAAGGTCAACTTTAATAGAGGGCTTTCACTTTTGTTCCCGTTAGTATAATATTACTTTTAAAGCTTTTACAGCAGTAGCTAACATAGGACAACGGATGGTTGAGTCGCGCTAACGACATTTTCATGGTAATTTTGCATTTTTAAGTTCCAAAGAATAAAATTCGGTTACACGGAGTTTCTCGCCGGAACTTCTCAGTGAGGCACGATTCCGATCTAGTGGTATATTCTGCGAAGCACCGCTCTTGCTAGGGCGAGTGTTTTTTTTTTATTGCTTAGATGGGTGGACGAGCTCACAGCCCACCTGGTGTTAAGCGGTTACTGGAGCCCATAGACATCTACAACGTAAATGTGCCACCCACCTTGAGATATGTTCTATGGTCTCAGTCAACGGCTGCCCCGCCCGTCAAACCGAAACGCATTACTGCTTCGCGGCAGAAATAGGCAGGGTGGTGGTACCTATCCACGCGGACTCACAAGAGGTCCTACCACCGGTAAAAAGTGTTATCAAATTCTCCCAGGTTGAGACCGTAAGCTCACCTACCCGTTTGAGCGTAGCTTGAATACCAGCGAATAGGTTGGGAAAAAAACATTCGCAACTTCAGTCTCCCGAGCAATTTCGTCCGTTCGCTAGAAGATCTTCCATTTGTAGTTAGTTCGAAACTGTTTTATTTCTCAACACTATCACAAATTTCTTCAAGCTAAACAGTTTTTTAAATGTAGTCCTATTCCCCCTCGAATGTTTCGGTTTAGTCACAGAAATCTATACATATAAATAAAATTGGAGTGTCTGTTTGTAATATTGAAATAACCACTTTTTACTACAGGCTACACTTTTTACCACTTTTTATATACGGTACATACACCAAAATAACATTTTTTACAATTTATGTCTGTCTGTCTGTTTGTTCCGGCTGATCTTTGGAACGGCTGGGCCGATTTTGACGAGACTTTCACTGATAGGTAGCTGATGATATAACGAGTAACTTAAGCTACTTTTTTTAGACTAGCTTTGCCCCGCGGCGTTACTCGCGGTACGACGCAATAATAAAATGTAATGTTTCCGAAGCGAAGCGAGGGCGGGTTGCTAGTATATAATAAATTTGAATCGAACAAATACATCGAGCCGGTAGATGACATACTGTTTCTTCAATACACGATGCGCAATTGTTACTGCAATAAGATTGCGTCACGACAATTAATCACGCGCAACGAACCGTACAATAATCATGTGGATTAATGACGCGCGTGTGTGTGTTCGTTACGCTAGCTATCATTTATTGATACTTGAATATCGAAAATTTTCAAGCCAGTTACCCATTCAAATCTTCAAAGTGTCAATTTTAAATAAAGAATTATGATGATCAGATCAGTCATAAATACACACAAAAAAGCACTCGTCTTTATTGACATTAAGATATAAAAAGGGATAAAAGGCAGTGCTAAAAAAAAGCTCGGGAAAAAGTTTACGCCAGTCCAATACTACCTGGAGGAAAACAATTATTCTAAATTCTTATGGAGATCGAAGTAGTTACATTTCGGTGTCAGTGTGCTTAGTGTGAGGTTTTTAAAGTTCTCGATAATGTAAAAGTTAACTCAAATTTGTATGGAGTTGGAACGTTTGCCTACGTTTGCCGCTAGGGGCGCTGTTCCAACTGCATACAAATTCGAGTTAACTTTTACGCTATCGAGAACGTTAAAAACCTCGCACTAAGCAAACAGAGGATCAGTGACACTAGTCTTACGTTCAGTTATGACCCGCTTGTCCCTGCCAAAGGTTTCCTATCCCCGGCCCCTAATTTCCCACTTGTCGAGGTGAATACGTGACAAGAACGCGGGGGTCGATGTGCCAACTACGCTGCAATTATTTTGTGTGTTCCATCTATATTATACCAATAGATGATAATAAACTCAATAACATAACAATTGCGATAAAATTGAACCGGGAATGTTGGCCCTATATCAGATAGAATGGAAGACAGGGATAGAAGGTCAGTAAAACAATACGCTATTCAAGAAAACATACATTGATGATTGAGTTTACATTTTCTTCTTAATAATACAGTAATACCCTTGTTCGATAGCGTTCAATGTAATCGCATATTCAATGACACTGTATGTTATAAAAGTTTATAATAATGTGTGGTTAGCATTATAGATTTTAGTACTAGAGTAGTTTAGTTGAAACTTGAAAGGATCAAACTCTTTTTTTCAAACAGAAAAATACCACATAATTAAAACTGCGATTTCGATCCGGTGGTAGAGTCAGCTAAGCACTGCTCTTGCTAGGACCATTGTCAGCAAAATTCTCTCAGGTTGAGCCCGTAAGCTCACCTACTGGTCCGAAAGTAGCTGGAATAGTCCCTTGTGCTACCAGAGAATAAGTAGGGGGGGAAAAGTACTTTTATGATTTAATCACAGACTAACTGTGAACCATGAAAAAAGATATTCCGAATGTCTTCATAAAATTTTATGGCAAGCGAATTTAAAACTTAAGTTGTTTTAATAAGGTTTACGACTCACGAGAACCGACGAAAATAAAACAACAAATAAATAATAGTTTTACGGGTAACGTTAATGTCATTAAAGTTTACATCTGAAATTCAAAATACAAATAACTTTGAAATTCAAGAGTAAAAAATTATTTTGAATATATCTATCTAGGTATCGACAAAATGNTTTATGGCAAGCGAATTTAAAACTTAAGTTGTTTTAATAAGGTTTACGACTCACGAGAACCGACGAAAATAAAACAACAAATAAATAATAGTTTTACGGGTAACGTTAATGTCATTAAAGTTTACATCTGAAATTCAAAATACAAATAACTTTGAAATTCAAGAGTAAAAAATTATTTTGAATATATCTATCTAGGTATCGACAAAATGTACCTTTAAAGCAATCCGCATTGGTTCCACTAACGACACCCAGATTACACGAAGCGTAATGATTAACAAACATTTATGCAACATTCACAATCAGACAGTCACAGTCCAAAGCGCGCGATTTCCAAACAAAATCCGATATTAAATTGTTTTCCTTATGACCCCCGGGTGACCCCCCCCCCCTGATCCTCGTTCTGCCCCCGCCCGGTCTGGTCAGTGCTGAAGCGGTCTCGCATGAAACCGTCCGATCGCGGGTAACGTCAAAGATTCAAAACTGAGCGTAACATTGAACCGTCAAACATTACGTGAATAAGTTAACGTCCGAAGAAAGGCATCGCGTGTGCACGAAGAATGTTTTCGTTGTCGTGACTACGAGCGGTTCTGCGCGGCTGCTGTCACAGGGCCGGCACTGTCAATGTCAGTGCAGTTTTTTTTTTAGTTTGTACCGCGGAGTTTGGGGATAAGGACCACCATCTTATATAGGGTAGGCAGTCGGGGCAAGTGCCCAGGTCGGCAAAATTTTGAAAGCGAAAAAAAGGTTTTTATAATTATGTAATATAATTAGGTAGGTATAATTATGAGTCACCCTTAGAGCCAAATTTATAATAGTTAGAAAAAAAACAAATATTTATTTATGTTTTTTGGAATATATAGCATATAATAAAGTTTCTGCAATAAATTAGTTTGTAAAATAAAATATATAAACTATAAGTTTAAGTAAAATTCCATTATGTATTGGGGCGGATTTTTTCCGGTGCCCAGGAGCGGCATTCAGTTTAAATCCAGCCCTGGTTGGAAGACTCACCGATATAGAGCTAATGTAGGAAATGAAAATTATATTAATATAGCAGTTTTAAACAGAGTCTAATATTCTGGACGGGAGTGAAGTGTGGTAGTATAAGGCGCTGTTTTTAAAATCCTTCCACTTGCTACTGTGGCGCCACCTTAGCTGACCCTTTCAGCGGACACTTTTTAATACACTGAGATGGTGTGCTCCTTACCTGTACCCTCCACAGTTTGTACTGTATCTATCTTATAGTGCGCACTGAATCTATGTTACCGAATCTTTAAAGGCAATTCTAGTTGATTTCAAGAGGCCCGATTCAATTGAAAATTTGCAAACATGTGACAAAAGTGTATTTACCACTACGGCCATCAGGATATTAATCCTGAACCCATATAGCCGGGAAAAAATATATATAGTCCAATTTACGGTATACCTCATGGCACAAGGTGGCTAGCGGCGGCATTCAGGCAGGTATATCGCTTGAGATAAATCGCACAAGTCTTAAAAAAAATGTTGAAATATTTATTACTTTTATACTATCCAAATATTAAAAAACAACTTATGGTATTTTTTTTTTTAATATATTCAACAATCGATATTAAATTAAAATTTAAGCGACAGCCCTGAACCAAGGTTCATTCGTTTCAGTGTCACGTGATACAAACGAAAGACTGCTGCTATAAAAATATGTTTCTACTGTTCCAAGGAATAGCATTGATAGAAACCATTTGTTCGCGAAAGACTCTCGTACAACAAGTCGAATTAGAATCTTGATATCGCTAAGATTTGTTGTAATAACCGACAGTGGATTTGCAAAATATTTGATTGTTCTATTTTTGTACTAAACGAGTCACGCGAGTCGAATGTAAAACCGATCGTCTCGTTAGGTTAGCGACCCTGAGCTCCGGGTTCGTTTGTTGAGGGGAAAAGACTTTTTTGGGCGGAAACGCGAGGAGTGAAGTTGTGCGATTTGCTTTATTTTGTCTATTTAGTGTTTCTTCAGGTTTAAATGTGTAATAACGGTGGTTTATTAATTTGTTTACTATCTGTGAAAGTGCACAAATGTGGGAAAATGAATCAAAGCTGCGGGACGTAACTTCTCGTGATCTTACATAAAGTCCACTTAAAAAGTCTCAGTAAATTACCACCATTTTACTGAGATTATATTTCATCCCATATCATCTCATCTCATTTCATTTCATGTCATGTTTCATATTAATCAACTTCATTTCATATTATAATATCATTTCTCATATAAAAAAAATTTTCATTAAAATTAAAATAAGACTTGACCTAAAGTTAGTTTATAACCTTAGTTCTTAGTTGCAAGGGCATAAAACCCCTTAAAAAAAGTTTGTTGAGGGAGCGCTGCGTATGGGCATTGCAGCCCTTGCTACGTCACAGGTGAAGTCATCCTACTCTCCACAGGTGCGTCACTGTAGAACAACCAGCAGCCGACCATCTGGTGGTCGTCCCACCACAGCTCTCAACGACACCTCAAGATTTAGATTATGTCATATTTATTTTGTATTTTTGACCCTTTTTATTTTATTCTTGAAAATTTGAAGATTTCTTTTAAATATTATTTTTAATTTTTTATAAAACAAATATGTCATATTTATTTGGTCTGTTTGTTCCTTTTATTTGATAATTGAACGAAATAATAGGATTATTAATAACAATAGTTACTAAAATAAGACAGAAGATAATACTAACTTTAGTTACATTAAGTATTTATTCATACAGAAAAAAAATCGTTTGTCAAACAGCAGAAAACATGGTGTTTTAACTGTCATCTCTTTGTCTGTTTGCGTGTAAAAAAATACTAATAGTAAACAAATAATCAAAAGTTACCACCACTCGAATAAAGTGGGTTATGCAGACATACTCTATTTGCATTAAAATGTATTTAAAAAAAAAGGAAAAACAAAAAAGGGGTACATTTGAAGAGACCTACATTGGGTGGAAGTTGGGGTCCATTGTGTGGACATGAGTTAAAGAAGATATTTTCATAAATATTCTCAATATTAGTACAGCATCTGAAAGCTGCGGGAGCATTCGCTTGTTATCTATTACAGAACTCACCGATTTAAGCTGATGAGTTGCGATTTCAGCAGCTTGGAGACGATTCTGGTGTCCTCCTCCATGATGAGGCCGGTCTTGGCCATCTCGTTGGCCACCTCCTCGCAGTCGTCGTGCTCCACGTCGAACTCAAACTGTATCGCTTCGTTCTCTTTGTGCGTGTACGACCTGCCATTATACTTTCGTTTACATTTTTAGTAGACTTTTAAGTAAAAAAGAAGGTAGTTTCCAATTTTCGCTGTTGGTTTTATTTTTCAATAAGTTAACGTTGGTAGACATGTTTCAGTCTCAATGATAACCAGACTCTTGAAAGCAATTCCGTTGCCTCGTTTGAAGCGAAGGGTGCATTGACCTCGAGCGTCATGATTGCGTTACATTGCGTGCAATTCAACAGGTTTCATCACAGCTGCGAAAACTGATCTCACCGTTTTTTGGGGTCGATGATCTTGAGACGGAACTGTATTTTGGTTACGTCCGAGGACGTGACCAGGTCTCGGTCGACTATCTCCAATCTAAGTCCAATGTCTTCGCCGAAGAACTCGTGGTTTAGCAGATCTTTCACTTTTGGCCTGTTAACCGTAATGCTTATATTAATTTATCGAAAATAAAACTGATGTAGGACATCCGTTTTGACTTTTAATTAAAATTAGCAAACAGTCGCATACAAATTATCTTTTTGAGATAACCTGCCAGACTTTCATTATAATAACTACCATTCTACTCTTGAAATCGAAGCGTTTGAATGTCTTGTCGTTTGTCAGAAATAAGGGGAGATATTAGTATATTAGTACCAAAGACTGCGGGATAATCTACTGCAGCGAGCAGGCCGACAACTGTGTGGACGTGTCTTGTATGTGATCTTGCATGCATGCATGACTTTAAGAAAATCAAGAGTTTCATATCGACCGGCATGAGTACACACACCACTCAGATATAGTGACTCGATAGAGGCTATATCTTAGCGAAACGTCCTATACCTAATAGTAAGAACATCGATTATTTTCTTTTAAGCATTAACTGAGAGATCTAGTTAGATTGGTCAAGTCCTCTCACCGATCAACTTTATTCGGCTTTATGCACGACTCGATGATCTCCCTCACCTCGGGGATGGTGACCTTCTCCAAACTCTGAGGCTTCACGCCCTGTGAACAATTTTAATGTCTCTGTTAACGAATACACCACTTAATTATAACGGGATTGAAATAATTACTCGTTGAACTCTCTCTTTATCAAAAACTATGAACGTGATAGAATTACATTCATTAGTAAGGCTAATAACACTACGGTAGGAACAGTTGATTTGGTTATTTTGACAAAATTGTGGACTAAATTGAAAAACTACATTGTTTTTGCTCTACATGAGTGAACGAATTCACGGCCCATCTGTTACTAAATAGTTATCAAAGTTGTGACATCAATAAGGGGCCACCGCCACCCGTCCAGAGACACGAGGTCCATTCGAGCTGCGACTGTATCACAGCAGGCATGAGCACAAGGTGTCTATATGTGTTGGCCAATACGCCCCACCTTCCAGTATACAGTGGTACCCACAGTACAGCTGCTCGCCCGGTGGCGGCACCGTGTCGAGCGCGTGCCGAGTGGGACTTACCGAGACGACCTTCTTGTAGATCTGCGCGGGGCTGTTGCACTCGCTGTAGGGGTACTCGCCGGTGGCCATCTCCAGCATGCACATGCCGAACGCGTACACGTCCACGGACTCGTCGTAGTGCTCCTCGTACATCTCCGGCGCCATGAACTCGGGCGTACCTGCACCGAAGACACTCTTAATTTTAAGCTATTGCATTAATTTTATCGCGGGCTTTGAGCGCGGCGACTGAATCAAGAAATTCCGTAACGAAAATAACCTGACATCCCCACTACGCCTACCATGTAGCTCGCGTTCAACACATTCACACGTTGCGCTTGTGTAGTGTTTGTGAATAAGCGCTTGGCGTGACGTCACACTGCATGCGCATCATGAAAAGTCTGCCCATCTCTCGCTCGCGCGGTCTAGCTTATGAGTGTGAAGGGGACAGTTAATGTTTTGCTTTTATTAATGTTTAATATAGCGTGGTCTTGTTTTATTATTGTTTTAATATTAAATTATCATTGTCTAATTATAATTGCATAAGTTGATAAAAAATGCTATGCAATAGCTTTACTGTGGCAGTTCCCAAGTGCCACACGTTTTTTTATTTTGTTTTTCCTACCTAAGCTGATAACCTTGAGAGGCTATATCAGCGTCGCCTTAACTAGTAGGTGAGCTCACGGGGCTCAAACCTGATGACGTTTTTAACACGAACCCTAGCAAGGGCTGTGCTTCGCAGAATCTACCGAATATCGGAAACGCGACCCACTGAGAAGATCCGGCGAGAAACTCAGTGGACTGTGTCTGTGGGTGCAGTCTTAATAATTAGCAACTTAATCTAATAAGTTCATTCTCTTGCCCTTCTCCCAATCACCTAAGGTCGTGTCGGCAACGTGTTTTCTCCTTCCATACTCTTCTATCATATACCATTTCTTCGCTCACTCCTTTTTTTTTATTGCTGAGGTTGTGGACGAGCTCAGAGCCCACCTGCTGCCAATTGGTTACTAGAACCCATAGACATCTACAATGTAAATGAGCCACCCAACTTAAGATATAAGTTCTAAGGTCTCAGTATAGTTACAACGGCTGCCGCACCCTTCAAACCGAAACGCATTACTGCTTCACGGCAGAAATAGGCAGGGCGGTGGTACCCACCCGCGCGGACTCACAAGAGGTCCTACCACCAGTACCCCTTTTACACATATCGTCTATCACGCAATCCATTCATTTTTTCTTAGGTCTACCCTTAGCCTTACTCTAAATTCATCGTATTTCGTCTCTTTCGGTCAAATTGGAAGTTGGCCGGTAATGATCGAGACACCCTGACACCAGGAAGGCGGCGAGGGCCGGCCGTACATACCGATGACAGACTTGGCGAAGCTCCTATTCTTGAGCGTGGCGAGGCCGAGGTCCCCGATCTTGACGCTGCCCGTCGTGCCGGTGATGAAGATGTTGTCGCACTTCAGATCTCTGCAACCAACACACAACCCTGTACATTATTAGGCACTAGGCTACTCGTGGTTTCGTTCCCATCTCTCAACTGTTACTCGAAGACAGAGGAACGTGACTTCGGGACTAAAATACATTAATCCGCTGTTCCGTTAATGTACTCGCAAAAGGACAAACCAACACATTTTTTAATCTTAATCAAATATCTGTAATTATAAAATTTAAATACTTTTTTTACTATTTTTTTATAATGAGTTTCCAATATAATCTATAGTCTACAGCAGGGGTTCCCAAACTTATTTTGTCTACTGCCCACTTTGAGAATAAATTATTTTAGCGCCCCCATTTTTTCATCTAAAAGCCACTATAGCGAGAACTCAGTCGGTGTCTAAGAGTCCTCCTAGATGAAATTACAAATCGCCTTCCAAGCCTCTACACAGTGTCCACATTCTTTTCTGAGTCTCTACTCAGAAAAGAATGTGGACACTGTGTAGAGTACCTAAAGGCAGGCCTAAAGGGGGGCGTTAAGAGTAACGCCCCCCTTTAGGCCTGCAGCGCCCACAAGGGGGCGTTATTGCCCACTTTGGGAAAGGCTGGTCTATAGTTTATATATGGCACGTTGTCTATGCCTTTCAACATAATGTATTCTGCTTAGTCAGAATAACAATCGAGGGTTAACAATCCTTAACACTTATATGATTTACGGATAACGGAAAGTCTTATGGATGAGACTCTTCTGAGGATTTCACAAATTATCACCTTACAAAGTACACATCTTCGTTAAACAGTTGACCCAGTGAATGATGTGTTGTGAACAGTGTTGATACCTAACGCGTACTGTACGCTTACAAGTCAGTTGTTAAATTTTTCTGTAATAGTGCAGTGTGTATTATACCTGTGTATTATAGGCGGAGTTCGTGAATGTAAAAAATTCAGACCCTTGAGTATTTGGCGGCACCACGACTTCAACACCTTCGGGTTGATTCGCTTGAATCTTCTGAGGTAGCTGTTGAAACAAACAGAGTCTAGATTAATAACGTTGTTCTAATTATTTCGTTTGTAGGTGAACTTCAGTTTGGTAGATGAAGGTTAATAAATTAAGAAAAAAAAAAACGTCTTTTGTAACCGTTTTTTTATTGTTTATAATTTCAATCGACCCTACTAAATATCAAAAATAAAAATATTGTACGCTGATCAGACTCTACGGTTTAAAAAAGTCAAGTAAATTACTTTTACTATGAATATAGTAGGTTAGTGAGGTTACCAGCGCAATACTAACACAAAGTAAGCATTTGTGTTACGTAATCAGCTGTCCAATTTTATTATCCAATTGATTATTATTTTTATGGCCTCATCAAAATCCTATTCCGCCCAGAACGAAATGTTTCGAATTTTACGGTACACAAATAACCTGCTTTTTGTACAGTGACGTCAACGTTTGCATCGTATAACACCAATTCAAACTATCGGATTGCGAGAAAGAGACAAAACAAATTGTCTGTTAAATCTCATTAGCCATTATTTTTTAACCTATTCGTTATTATGTTTAATTTGTATAATGCCTGAGCAAGTTTATTTGTAGAGTTTATTTCAATGGGAAATTTCACGGAAATTCCGAGTTTGAGCACTCTTCAAGACGTTTTTTTACAGCTTTCACCCTCAGGTTGCAGCACAGTGGGCTTGTTGAGCCGTGAGAGTCTGAAAACCATGTCCGAGCCGGGTGTGCGGGGTACTAACGCCTTGAGCGTCCCGGAGAGCATGAGCTCGGTGATGAGCACGATGTTCTTCTTCTTGGCGACGGTCCCCTCCCAGTAGTTGTAGAAGCGGACGATGTTCGGGTGCTGCAGCTTCTTCAGCATGTCGGCCTCCTCGCGGAAACGCAGACGCTCCGTCTTGTTCAATTTTTTCTCCTGCGGTTTTCAAATCGAACATTAATAATTATTTTTTTATTGGTGGTAGGACCTCGTGTGAGTCCGCGCGGGTAGGTACCACCATCCTGCCTATATCTGCCGTGAAGCAGTAATGCATTTCAGTTTGAAGGGTGGGGCAGCCGTTGTAACTATACTTGAAACTTTAGAGCTTATATCTCAAGGTGGGTGGCGCATTTACGTTGTAGATGTCTATGGGCTCCAGTAACCACTTAGCACCAGATGGGCTGTGAGCTCATCCACCTATCTAAGCTATAAAAATAAAAAATAAAAAACACACGAGGGTCTATTAATTTAAAAACTTTCATTCGAAGTCAATAATATTTTACTTCATTGACTTTTTATGTATTTTATTCTTAAATGAACGTTAGTCGTCTCTAAAAAGTAAATCAACGTGTTTTCGATTCACTAAGAATACCACTCTCATTTTGAGGATAAGTCTCGATACACAAGCGTGGCCACTTACGAGTAACTCGCACCAGGCAACGGCGACGCCGGTCTGGGTGTCGAGTCCGTGGTAGACGGTCTTGAAAGAACCGCGACCGACTTCTTTGTCGTATTTGAAAAACCTGCAAATCAAAATTTAAAACTTCAGACGCGGCTGGGTAGCACTAGTCCGACTATTTCTGCAGTTAAGGAACCTTGCGTTATCGTGAGGTAAAATAGAGCGAATTCAATTCTATCTATAGGATAGGATAATATATCTAAAGCCAGCGGTATTATCATTGTCTATGAACTACGGTAAGCCACGAGTTAGCCTACCGTCCAATGTCTACGCCAGGATAATACCATGAAGAATTGATCAGAAAAGTCCTGTTACCGCCACACATTACCTTCTGCATCAAACGAGAATTCTAGTACTCAACACATAATCAACTTTCAAACGTATTCTATCTCGTTCTCTCGCAGACAAAATAAACCCCTATAGATGCAAATTTTTGTCTCTTTCTAATGTCGCTTTCCCGTTTCATCCAATTAAAAATCACGGTATTGAGGAAGTTAAATATCATTTTACTGGTGGTCGAACCTCTTGTGAGTCCGCACGGGTAGGCACGACCACCCCGCCTATTTTGGCCGTGAAGCAGTAATGCGTTTCGGTTTGAAGGATGGGGCAGCCGTTCTAATTGACTATACTGAGACCTTAGAACTTACATCTAAAGGTGGGTGGCACATTTACGTTGTAGATGTCTATGGGCTCCTATAACCACTTAACACCAGATGGGCTGTGAGCTCGTCCACCCATCTAAGCAACGAAAAAAAAAGTGTTGTAAGCAATCATTTGACTCTGCAAGACGCCCATACCTGCCGCACGGTGATACTCCGATCGGCTCCTCCTCATCTTCCTTGTCTTGCTTCTGTTTGTCTTTCTCTTCAAGCTTCTCCAGCTCGTAAATAGGACCGTATTCTAGACCTGAGAAAAGAGATCAGAAAATTCATATTCCCTATTTATTAGGTACTAGATTAAGGCCAGCCTGGTGTGAAGTAGCTACCGAAGTGAAAGGGTTACCTGGAGCATTAAGGTCGATTTTTTTATTGCTTAGATGGTAGACAAGCTCACAGTTCACTTGGTGTTAAGTGGTTACCGGAGCCCATAGACATCTACAACGTAGATGCGCCACACACCTTGAGATATCAGTTCTAAGGTCTCAGTATAATTACAACAGCTGCCCCACCCTTCAAACCGAAACGCATCAGAAGCGTGAGTTAAGCCGTCAGTGTTTATATCCGACCTGAATTCCACAGACAGGTACCATCGTTTTCTGAGTAAATATGAACCCAGCCCCACTGGTGGTTTTCTACTGGAAGTGGGACATCATGTGGGTCGCACGGGTACGTACCACCACTCCGCCTGTTTCTGCCGTGAAACAGTAATGTGTTTGAGTTTGAAGGGCAGAGCAGCCGTTGTACTGTAAAAACTGAACCCTAAGTACTCATGTCTCGAGGTGGGTGGCGGCAATTACGTTGTAGATGTCTATGAGCTCCGGTAACCACTAACACCAGGTGGGCCGTGAGCTCGTCCAGCCATTTGAGCAATGAAAAAAAATGTTAGGATAAGTCCGAAAATCCTCTATTTCTACGAAGCCCTGCAGTTTCAGTCAGTGGTGGGTCGGTTGTGGGACAATAGTGCACTGGTCAAAGGGCCACTTGCGTTGTGACGTCTATTGTGAAGATATATTATCTTTGGAAGCCAGACGAGCATACATCATACCTGACAATGACTGACCACCAGCGGGTCATAGCTAAGTCGCTTCGTGGCATAAGTTCAATTTATAGACGGTTCTCTACCTAAATCTTGTGATGTGTAAGATTGTTTTTTTTTGTTCGAGTGTTCCTTTCGTTTTGTCAAATGTCAAAGCACAGCGACGCTAAAGGTGAATTTTAACTTCAACGATAATCGTTTTAATCTCATACCATTAGTAGTAGTATAATGTGCTGGTTTACCGTTCTGAGGCTCTTGGGGCTGCCCCTCATCAGCGGCGGCGCCGTGGCGGGGGAGACCCTCCTGCGTGCCGGTCGCTATCTGGATGTTCTCTTCCTGCAGATCATTTAAATGGCTCATCAAAACTTTCATAGCCATAAAAAAAACCTTTTTTTTTGCTGACGCTACTTATTTTCGGGCGACGATAAGCAAACAAGCAAACGACCTGGTTCTTTAAGATTATTATTACATTGAGCTTTACTATTGTAAAAGTTGCAGTTACTCGAATTTTTATCATAACATTGTTTTTATTTTATTTAACTCGTAGTAAGCTGCGTCATGCAAACAAACAGTAATCGATACCATTAGTAATGTTAACAAACGGCCGGTTGCGAGTCGTCACGTAGCAACAGTATGAGTAATGTTGGCCCAACAAATTTCTTATACAAAAACTGCGCCAATGAATTGGTCAATTTTATTTGATCTATGTTGGCAAGGACGTTCTAGCTGTTAAGTGCTTATTGAAGGTCACAGGTACCACAACTTGAATACCATCACCCGATCTCATTTCTTGGTTTTTTTTTATTGCCCTTGTAGGCAGACGAGCATACGGCCCACCTGATGGTGAGTTGTTACCGTCGCCCATGGACTTCAGCAATGCCAGGTGCAGAGCCAAGCCGCTGTCTACCAGGTTCGACAGGACGATCTGAACGTGTAGTCAAGTACAGATCAGTCTGCCTCGAACGGTTCGAGGGCGCGTTGGAGACCGTCGCTACTGACCAGATCCTGTTCGGATATGAAGGCGTCGTCCTCCAGCCTGGCGACCAGCTTGTTCCCGCTATCATCCAGCTCAGGGTCGCAGAGAGCGCCCTGACCCGAGCTACGCCGGCGGAACCCGCCTACCACGGGCTGACTCGCCTAAAAGAAAACGAATAATAAAATTCACACATCACTACATAGTATAAAACAAAGTCGCTTTCTCTGTCCCTATATCCCTATGTATGCTTAAATCTTTAAAACTACGCAACGGATTTTGATGCGGTTTTTTTTAGTAGATAGAGTGATTGAAGAGGAAGGTTTATATGTATAATAGCATCCATTAAATAGTGGAGAAATCAATAATAAATTACAGTTTCCGAAGCGAAGCGAGGGCGGGTCGCTAGTTTTACTTATAAAAGGATAAAGATGAATCCTTCCAGACGGTAGTATCGTTCTCATTGGTGAAGTGTATTTCTAATCTACACACTATTTTGATGACAGTCTGTCATTAATTACACCATTAAAAACCTCTGCTGATTGTTTGTGTGCAAACAGCATTGTGCTGATTCGGGTTAATGACCATTTATTTATTTATTTTCCTTAAATATTGTTGTGTGTCTTCGACTGTGATGCATTTGCAGACACTGTTCTCTGTCAAACACAAGATTACAGTTTCGTTTGTATTTATATTAAAACTATCCTTGAAACACGAACACATAGTGCACTGCGCAATTCATTGATACTAGAGGTCCCGCAGTAGTCGAAATTCGACTTTAATTAATTGGAATTGTACACTATTATGATTGTATTTTATACTTCTACAATCACAAAATTCGGCAAGACTACACTATAAAAAATATTAACAAAGACAAAACAATATTTAATCTATTCTCAATTTGACAACAGACGTCTAGAACAAAAGTTTGACAATAAATAGTATGCATGCGTGTGTGCGTCAAATACATGGTATGTAGTGTGTATAATGTTTTCTTTATTGATTTAATAATGTATCTTTTATGCATTATTTAAAAAAAATATTAGCATTGTGCACTTCTTCTCAATATTCTCTATAAGTGTGGAAAATATCGTACTCCTCCGTCCGCGCAATTTTCGTAAAAAGGGATACAAAGTTTTTGCTTCACGTATTAATTCATTGATATAAGACCATGCCAACACATTTATTAGTAAAAAAATCTACTAAATTCTCATACTAAAATGAGAGTTCAATCTACATTAATAGGGTACGTAATCAGTCATTCAATCTATATAGAACCGGTTAACACAAGACCAATTTGAATACATTTTCAATGTGTCATAAAACGAGTAATCATAACATTTAATCTAAAATCAAACAATGTTTCTTAGCCAATTTAAAAAGTGACACCCCTATCTCGTGTATTATTGTTCTCTTTAGTACACGTGACCATTACGCTTCACACGTAGCAAGAGAGGCGACTGAGGAGTGCCCAGGATAGAAACGTTTTTTTATTTTATTTGTATGGGTGGACGAGCTCACAGCCCACCTGGTGTTAAGTGGTTACTGGAGCCCATAGACAATTACAACGTACATGCGCCACCCACTTTGAGATATAATTTCTTCAGTATAGTTACAACGGCTGCCCTGCCCTTCAAACCGAAACGCATTACTGCTTCACGGCAGAAATAGGCGGGGTGGTGGTACCTACCCGTGTGGACTCACAAAAGTTCCTACCACCAGTAAGTAAATAGTAATAATAATATAAAATACAAAAACGTTGAATACACTTTTTTGTCAACTTTACAAAAAACAAAATAAAATATTAAAGTAAATAATCACTATACGAATGTAAGTCTTGATATGTCAACAATTTTATAATCGAATTTCGATAATTTTCTGAGCCGGATAAATATTAAAAAAATATACAAAAAAAGCACAGACCAATAAACCATTAATAATACTAAATAAAAAGAAAATAATAATGTAATTTTTCAAGTTTTGTGCATCACAAATTGTGTACAAAAAAAAAACCCGACTTCTCTTTTTTATTTTATTTATAAAATGTATTAAGTCGAAATATCTAAATATTATCGCGATAAATATCTCAAATCTAAATACTTAATTCGGAACATATTGCGAACTTGACATTTAAAGGCGATGATAAAAATAATAGCGTTTGTTTACAAATAGACAAACATCTTGTTTTGAATATTATTACAATAGTTTTAAATTATTTTCTCGAAAACTGCAGACCGTTGCATAACTTTATTCAATAATCGATGAGACAGTTGATTTTATTTGATTTATTTATCTTCATTTGCACAAAAATACAATAATAATACATCAGAAAATATATTAACAAAATAAGCTAACTCATACATTTTTATGTTATTAATTTGGAAACTATTTCGTGTTAAAATTGTTAAGCTTAAAAAAAATTTAAATACTTATTCCAATGATTATTATATAAGTATTGGTTACTAGAGTAAATATTGGATTTATTTTTTAACAAATTATGCTCCACGGTTTCTCTCATATATAACTCGTAAAAGGAACTAATGATCATGACGGTTCGTCTCTTCCTTGCTGCTTTGTAACAGACAAACAAACCAAGAAACACTCACGTATCGCGGTGTCTATATACACTTTGTATACAAAGAGACTTCATTCATTCATTCGTTCATTCGTTCATTCAGTCATTCAATCCTTCAACCAGTAAATCGGTCCTATATATCGAGGGGTGAAAGGGTGGTTTAAGCGACATTTTTAAAACTTTACAGGAGAGCTATTTAGACGATACAATTTGGAAAAAAAATATGTTTTTTATTGCTTAGATGGGTGGACGAGCTCACAGCCCACCTGGCGTTAAGTGGTTACTGGAGCCCATAGACATCTACCACGTAAATGCCACCACCCACCTTGATATGAGCTTCTAAGGTCTCAATATATTACAACGGCTATCCCACCCTTCAAACCGAAACGCATTATTGCTTTACGGCAGAAATAGGCAGGATGGTGGTACCTACCCGCATGGACTCACAAGAGGTCCTACCACCATTAAAAATAGTTCTCATAACGTAAAAATCACAACGTAAACGTCATAAATATTTCTAATAGATCAAAGTTTGTTAATCAAACCTTTTCTATTTTTCTCAAACGTCTTTAACAGGAAGGAGAAGGATAAAAAAATTATCCGTTCACGTATAGAGATAGAGTACTCACTACGCTTGTGGTCATCGAGTTGAGCATATCAAAGGTGTTGCTCTGCTGAGTGTGGATGATGGCGAGCGCATTGTACGGCCTCGGACCCAGGACCGGAGCCTTCATCACGCCGACCTCCCCTCCGCCCACCACGACCTGCAACACATAGCATTGCAATGACAACTACAAACTAATTCCTAAGACCACAAGAGTCAGTCATAAACATTTCAAACATCTATACAGAACCAGTTAACACAAGACCACTTTGAATACATTTTCAATGTGTCACAAAACGAGTAATCATAACATTTCATCTAAAATAAAACAATGTTTCTTAGCCAATTTAAAAAGAGACACCCCTATCTCGTGTATAATTGTTCTCTTTAGTACACGTGACCATTACGCTTCACACGTAGCAATGAGAGGCAACTGAGAAGTGCCCAGGAGAGAAATGTTTTTTTTTTTTGCTTAGATGAATGGACGAGATCACAGCCCACCTGGTGTTAAGTGGTTACCGGAGCCCATAGACAATTACAACGTAAATGCTACCTTGAGATATAAGTTATAACGTCTCAGTTAAGCTACAACGGCTGCCCCGCTCTTCAGATCGAAACGCATTACTGCTTCACGGCAGAAGTAGGCCGGGTGGTGGTACCTACCCGTGCGGACTCACAAGAGGTCCTACCACCATTAAAAATAGTTCTCATAACGTAAAAATCACTACGTAAACGTCATAAATATTTCTAATGGATCAAAGTCTTCAAAGATCAAAACCTTTTCTATTTTTCTCAAACGTCTTTCAACAAGAAGGAGTGACTGCTTCGTAGGAGTAACAAAAAGCAGTAACTTAAATTTTTCGTGTTTGCTCTCGACTGCACGATATTTTTCCTAACTAAGCTAATGGTCTAGAGAAATCATATCAACGTAACCGTAACTAGTAGGTGAGCTCACGGGTATCAAACCGGACGACGTTGCTAACACGAACCCTAGCAAGAGCAGTGCTTCGCAGAATCCACAACCGGATCGGAAACGCGACCCACTGAGAAGATCCGGCGAGAAGCTCAGTGGGCTGTGTCTGTGGGTTAGTTTATTCGCCGAGCCCTTCGTCGCAAGCGACGGGTTTCGACGAGAACTATGACAGGTGCTTGATATACCTAAAAGCACCGTTAGTGGATCGGGGATTCCTATTTTCCCTTCTCGTAAGGCTTTCGATAAGTAAGTGCTTAGAAAAATTGGTACATTCATGATGGTTAGAATAAACGACACATTACACACATAATATATTCAATTAAAAAACTTAAAAAGTGTTAGCCTTTGTTGCCTGTTAGCGCACCTGACTGCTGCGCCCTAGTACGTGGGTTCGATTCCCACATCGGGCAAACGTTCGTGTGATGAACAGATTTTTTTGCTCATTGTGTGGGTATTTATTATCTACTAGCTGACCCGGCAGACTTCGTAGTGCCTCAATCGATAAATAAAAGACCTAAGCTTTTGTATAAAATAAACTTAAAACAAACAAAAGGAATCCGTCCGACGGTGGACACATCAAAGGAAAAACAAAATTGTTATTTTTATTTAATTCGGAGCATTTTCACATTTATCTACCTTTTAAATCTTCTCTGGACTTCCGCAAATAATTCAAGACCAAAATTAGCCAAATCGCTCCAGCCGTTCTCGAGTTTTAGCGAGACTAACGAACAGCAATTAATTTATATATATATAGATATATAGATTAATGTATTCATTTAAACGTATATAAGCGTGTGTGTGTGTGTGTGTGTGTGTGTGTATGAAGCTGCTCTGGTATCCATAACCCAGGGAATCCTAATATGGGGCCGGATGAACGTGCGTGATTTGTTGCCAGTTATTTAAGTGCCAAACTCACTTTAAACGTCTTTTCTTTCCCGTGTATTGTTTTCTCCTTGGTGGGGATCACAGCGGCGGGGTCTAGATGGTGCGCGGGAGGCTGCGGGATCTGGTGGCCGTGCCCGTGAAGCCCAGAGGTCATCTATAGCACAACAATATCCACATTTTACAAGAAAAAAGGGATGGCAATGGCAATTTCTAACTAGAGACTTTTACTGGTGGTAGGACGTATTGTGAGTCCGCACGGGTAGGTACCACCACCCACCCAGCCATTTCTACCGTGAAGCAGTAATGTGTTTTGGTTTTAAAGGTTGGAGCAGCCGTTGTATCTACATATACTAAAACCTTAGAACTCATATCTCATGGTGGATGGCGGCATTTACGTTGTAGATGACTATGGGCTCCGATAACCACTTAACACCAGGTGGGTCATGAGCTCGTCCACCCATCTAAGCAATAAAAGAAAAGATTTGGCATTGGCAATGTTTATTGGCGACGTTGACCTTTTAAGATCATATGGGCTGTACTTCTTTCGTTAACATCAGATGAATGAACAGAATTTCGACTTCTTTACGATTTATTTGCTAAATATAGATATTATAACGACATAATATAATAATATAGTAGTTTTTATTAAATATAGAAAAGTCTAGTTAATTTTTTAAATATATCAGGTCTGCTTATAATATATGTAGTTAGTAACCTCAACTGAATACTAATAACTACCATGTCTGATCTGAACCTATTATCTACGTGCTCCAGTATCCTCTTAACATCAGGCGGGTCATGGGCACGACTGCCTGTTAAGAAAAAATACAAATACTAAGCCAACTTTAAAAAAAAAGCAGCTTTATAAATTGTGATTAAATATAGGATGAATTCAAGTGTGTACCCAGGTTTATCTACCCAATAATGCGTACGTATATTAAACATAAGGACTTTTTGGCGGGAACGCGAGGAGTGAAGTTGTGTGATTTGTTTTGTTTTGTCTATTTAGTGTTTCTTCAGGTTTAAATGTGTAATAACGGTGGTTTATTAACTGTTTAATATCTGTGAAGTGCAAAAATGTGAGAAAATGAAGCAAAGCCGCTGGACGAAACTTCTCGGGATCCTCCAAAAAGTCCACTGAAAAAATCTTAGTAAATGACCACCATTTTACTGAGATTATATTTCGTCCCATATCATCTCATTTCATTTAATTTCATCCCAGTTGATTAATGTCTCAAATTAATCACTTTCATTTCATTTCACTCCGTATTATAATTTTTCATAAAAATAAGATTATAAATTAAAATAAGACATGACTTAAAGGTCTTAGTTACCAGGTCATAAAATCACTTTAAAAAAAAAAATTTAACATACTGTTGCACATACATAATTCGAAGACAAAAACATCCGTCAATAAAATTCTGTGTTCACTACGCAAACTTAATTGATAACTCCGAAACAGTAGACGTTCATACACAAACAAATTAACATTAAAACTTATAATTCACATGAAGTCGAATCGATATTACCGGAACCAAACATTGAATCATCCGATTACACCGAACTTAAAGAACAAAACAAAATAAAAATAAATAATATTAATAAAAAAACAACTAATCACTGCATGCGATCAATGCATTTATCAGTCGATATATCATTATTCACAAACAATCACGGGAACGAACGTTTCGATGGTTTAATTATTTAATTTTTTAATTCAGTATCGCTCTTATAGCAAGGATGCATAGAGATGCGGTGACGGCGAGCTAATCTCGACTGAATGGGAAGAGCCATACAATTACATTGTGATAACGGAGAGATGTCTCGACTGCGAACGTTAAAGTTTACGTGTGTGCGTATTCGTGTACTGATATAAGTGATATTAATAACACAACAACGATAGCGGGATATATGGAGTGGGCAGAATCGAAGGTTAAACATTGGTAACAGGACCATGCCGATCGAGGCAAATTTATTGGGTTTTGCATATCAGATGACTTAACTACGCAACAGTACCGACGGCGCAATGTACACGAAACTATATAATGATTTTTTACCTACCCTACTTAATTCGTAAATTGAAGAGGCAGTTGAGTTGCCGCATTTCAGCTGGAGTTTTTTTTTGTCCTACCTAAACTGGTGAGCTCACTGGGCTCAAACCTGACGACGTTGCTAACACGAACCCTAGCAAGAGCCGTGCTTCGCAGAATCTAGCGCCGGATCGGAAACGCGACCCACTGATAAGATCCGGCGAGAAACTCAGTGGGCTGTGTCTGAGGGTTAATTTACTCGTCGAGCCCTTCGTCGTAAGCGACGAGTTCGACGAGAACGGTGACCGGGCAGCTGGAGTAATTAACTCTCAAATGTATTGAAAGACACGATTCATTTGCGGACGCGTAATTAAATTCAACGCACTGGCACCGTCTTAAGGACTAATTCGGTTCAAATAAGGAATTAAAAATGAAAACGACATAAGATTAACACTGAATGTCTCACTATTGAAGATTATAACCAACTGACTAGGGATTACAGAGTTTCCGATCTCAAAAAATCAACGTTAATATAATGAAGTCACATACCGTAATTTTCTCAGATTAGGCCTGTCAAATTTAACCTACATTGCTCGGTTAATATTTGAATGTTCCATATAATTTTTGCACGGTTAGCACTGTTGTGCATCGCAAAAATACACGTTGCCACTAAATTAGATAATCTGCAGGAAACTAACTGCTTCAACTATTCTGCAATTGAATGATGATAGAGCACCAAGTGGCCCCGATGGAATGATACATATTTTTATTTTAAGTACACAAATATATTAAACACACGACGTGGTAACAAGATTTAGAAATTTCCTTAACTTTTAGTAAACACGATCTTCTAATACCACGCACGGTTGCAAAATCAATCTATTTTTCGTCACAACAAAAGCCGTCCCATTGAAACGATTCAATATGTTTAACCCAAACTTGGATGTCCAAGTCTCGAACTAAGTTAAACATAAAAAGTCTTCAACAATATTTAGAAAAAAAGACGTAAATAATATCGATATAGTCGAACTCAAACTGAATATGCATTATTAAGAATAACTCAAAAAACTGGTCAGATCTTGATAAAATTTAAATGAGACCACACGAGAAACACCATATTTCAAATAAAAGATCTTCAAATCGGTTTAGAAAAATTCTGAGGCAACACATATACAAAAAAATACTGTCGAACTGATAAACCTTTTGAAGTTATACTTCTTTAGGCGCGTTATGAAAAATTGATGAGAGTGAAATTTTACGATGCGCGCGCACCGTGACACAAAATTAACAGAATGAAGTTGCCCACTAAATCGCTCATTACAATACGACCGACGTAACTTGGCGAGTCTGAATATAGCCGCAGGTGAACTTTCCGAACCGTACCGAGAATTACCGAATTTANGATGCGCGCGCACCGTGACACAAAATTAACAGAATGAAGTTGCCCACTAAATCGCTCATTACAATACGACCGACGTAACTTGGCGAGTCTGAATATAGCCGCAGGTGAACTTTCCGAACCGTACCGAGAATTACCGAATTTATACGATGTCAAGAAAAGGGATGTCCAATATGCGTGTTTGAGGATGTTGTTTAATCGTTTTTTTTTCAAATTGATTAAAATAAAAAAAAAGAAATAAATTTAATAAAAATAAAGTATAACTTCTTACGCGCGTACATAAGTACACGCACCCTTTTTTTTTATAGACTATGATTTATCTAGTCTAGTCTAGTATCTAATCATGATCATCTTATAAAGTAGTCTATGATTGATGTTCGCCATCTCAGCTTATAAAAATATGAGACTTCAACAACCGAACGACTAAGGCCACAGTAATGTTTACCGTAATTACTGATTACCAAGCAGAGATCGGATGATATTTATTTTTAGATGCCGAGGGTTCTAATAACAAAACTCGTTAACGCTTGACATTTTGACATATTGCACCTTTAGAAACAAAGTGGCTTAATCCAAAATTCTTATTTTTAGTAAACTCCAAAAATGTAACTGAGGAATAGTAATTTTTTTGTTATTAAATTTTAATACGAAAGAGTTTTTTTTTTTATTGCTTATATGGGTGGACGAGCTCACAGCTCACCTGATGTTAAGTGGTTATTGGAGCCCATAGACATCTACAACGTAAATGCGCCATCCACCTTGAGATATAAGTTTTAAGTTCTCAGTACAGTTACAACGGCTACCCCACCCTTCAAACCGAAACGCATTACTGCTTCACGGCAGAAATAGGCGGGGTGGTGGTACCTACCCGCGCGGACTCACAAGAGGTCCTACCACCAGTAATAACACAAATTATATTTTGCGGGTTTGATTTTTATTACACGGTGTTATTCCTTCACCGCGGAAGGAAATCGTGAACAACTGGTACGTATTTCATTAGAAAAATTGGTACCCGCCTGCGGGATTCGAACACCGTTGCATCGCTAGATACGAATGCACCGGACGTCTTATCCTTTAGGCCACGACCTTTGTCCTTTTCTGGATTTAAAGAGACTATTTAAATTTTATAAACTCTATCAGTTTACAGTGAAACAGAAGAAGCTGGAGCTGAGGTCACGTTTGCTGACCGAAAGCCGTTAAGACAGACTGTTAGAGTTCAAAATCCATGATCTCAAAAAAAAAGATTGACTTACATAGAAGACCCGGACCAAATGTAAACTAATATCATCAGCAGAGACGTCATAACATCACATCCAAAACGATCAACACAAATATTAACTCACTACAAAAAAAATGAATCTAAAAAAAAGCAATACGATTTTACTCAAATTAAAAATTTATATAACCGTTGTCATTGAAGGCGCTCACTCGAATAACGCTGAAGACATTTTTAAAACAAAATCGACTAATGATTAATGATTTCCAGAAATCATTCTGCCTGTATTAACGATTTCGGAGAACATAATGACACTTAAGTAAGTTGCTCTCTAATTACACTTATAAATTTATTTGTTTCACACGCGCTCACCGACCTTATTATAGAATTGAAAATCGCATTTGATATTTTGATGATGTAGGGCCCAAGACGGTATTAATTATATAGACTTGAATCGAATTAATCGAAATCTATAATAATTTTTTTTAAAATGATTCCATCCTAAGGTA